GGAGAAATTGCACATTGCCTGACTGGAAATGACAAGCATTCCAAAATGAAGTGTATAAACAAATAATAAAGAAACCAATTACTGTTTTCTTTCCGATTTTGGAAGAATATTTATATTATTCGTTTCTGTAACCCTGTTAGTTAATCCTCAGTTACGGGAAGATGGACGCGTATTCGAGTAGAGCTTCCGTACGAAAATATTAAGCTGCATGGGTATTTTTCTTATTTGTTATCAAGGTAACAGATACGCAAGGAGGTATGGAAAATTCGCCTTGCTTCTGATACGTGCAACGGATAAATTGCACAATGCCCGACTGGAAATGGCAAACATTCCAAAATGAAATAATAAACCAATAATTGTTTCCTTTCAGAGACTTTTTATATGCCTCGTTCGAGTAAACCTGATAGTTAATCCTTAGTTGCGAGAAGATGCACACGTATTCGATTGAAGATTCCCTACGGAAATATTAAATTGCTTAGGTAGGTAATTTTTTTATTTGTCATTATTGTAATAGATACGCGAGGAAATATGAAAAACTTGTCCTGCTCCTGATACGTGCAACAGAGAAATTGCACATTGCCTGACTGGAAATGACAAGCACTCCAAAATGAAGTGTAATAACAAATAATAAAGAAACCAATAATTGTTTTCTTTTCGATTTTGGAAAAAATATTTATATTCTTTGTTCCTGTAACCCTGATAGTTAATCCTCAGTTACGGGAAGATCCACGCGTATTCGAGTATACATTCCTTACGAATATATTAAACTGAATGGGTGATTTTTTTTTATTTGTTATCAAGGTATGGAAAACTCTCATTGCTAATAATACGTGCAACGGTGAAATTGCACACTGGCTGACTGGAAAAGACAAGTATTTCAAAATGCCATTTTTGTTCATGTGGCGGAGAGCACAAATTACTAACGTATATACAGGGTGTTTCAGTCTATTGTTGCATAACTTTAAGATTCGATAGAACTTCTAAAATTAATGCATAAAGTCTATATAAACATGGGTCGAAAAGTGCGTGGCTTCCGAAATACAGGGTGTTTAAATTTACTTTCTAAAATAGTTTTTTTTAAATATTTCGAACAATATTTGATGTATAACAGTGAAAATTGGTATACAAGGGTTTTTTGGTACGACAAAACCAACCATGGGCATAGTTTTACTGTAGCCGCTAGAGGGCGCTCTCTACTGTACCTGTAGTGTATTAAAATGACCGAAAAATTGGATGCATTTTTAATTATTTATGGGAAAATAATATTTTTTTACATTTTCGATTTGGGCATTACAAGTAATTAAGATGATCGTTTAGATTGTGTTTTTAAACTCAGCAATAATTCCTAGCTCCAAATAAACACAAAAAAACAGAATATTAATTTGTTTAATTTTCCAATATTATTTTTAACAAGTTAAATTAATTATTTACAACTAAAATGCTATTGGATAGTTAGGACAAACATACAAAATCTAAAGTAGTTGCTCGAAATGTAAACCCAATTGTTCAATACACAATTCACATCTACGAATGATCGAACGTGGTATAGCATTATTCAAATAAGGCCTTATTTCATCACATGCATTCCTGATTCTGTCTATTACCATATCTCATGTGTGGTTACGGGAGTCTGGTACACTTTTTCTTTTAGAAATCTCCACACAAAGAAATCTAATGGATTTAGGTCAGGGGATCGTGGAGGCCAGGCGACTGGTCCTCCACGGCCGATCCATCTTTCTGGATAATTTTCGTCCAGCCAGTTTCTAACTATTCTCGAATAATGAGCTGGACAACCATCAAGCTGGAACCAGGCCAATCTTCTTAAATCTAACATAACATCATCCCACATATTTGCATGTTCAGCCTTTAAAAATTCCAAGAAGGTCGAAGCATTTAACCTTGCAGGCAAAAGGTAGGGTCCAAATAGTCGATTAGGGTAGATACCAATCCACATGTTCACACTAAATTCATGCTGAAAATTTTTTTCCCGAACTGCATGCGGATTTTCATGCGACCAAATATATTGATTTTTATAAAACTTACAAAAAAAACAGGTAAAAGAAACTAAATTTCGTGCATTCACAATTGCAAAAAAACGTTTCAGGTTTCAACAGACAACAAAACTAACTGTCAACTAATTGACGTTTAACCTTATTCTCCTTTCAATTTCAAAAATATTTGCAGGCACAGCCTACTTCTAAAAATTATCGAGATACTGACTTTTTAACGTTATTTTATCATAAATAATTAAAAATGCATCGAACCTTAAAAATCGAAATATCTCAAAAACGGCTAACTATAACGAGAATTCACAAGAGAGCTTTTTTATGTTGAAAAGTGCGAAGAATCAGTTTTTCTATTCAAAAAGCAAAAAATTGCACTAAGAAAAAAAATTCGGTCATTTTAATACACTACAGGTACAGTAGAGAGCGCCCTCTAGCGGCTACAGTAAAACTATGCCCATGGTTCGTTTTGTCGTACCAATATATATATATATAGACTTTATGCATTAATTTTAAAAGTTCTATCGAATCTTAAAGTTATGCAACAATAAACTGAAACACCCCGTATACTCCTCTCATCGTGTATGATATCGAAGCTTAATGGAGGGTAATCTGGAAAGCTAGAAGCTCATGGCACTAGTTAGGCTAAGGGTTATATCCGTCATATCTAATGTCATGAGAAGACAAACATGTCAGTTGCTGTTAACGTCAATAGATGTCAAACGTGAAAAATACGTACATTTCAAGGAAATGTGTGTTTTCTCCATCTACGTTTGACTGCTTTGACCCCCAACCACACAAGTACCACCTTCAACTGAATGCTCAACTGCGCTAGTAGAAATTTTATAATATAAAGAAATGCGAGGAGGTATGAAAAACGCGCTCTGCTCTTGGTACAGGATGCATACTACCTAACTGAAAATGGCAAGTAATCCAATCCGTCATCATCGTTTCTGTCCTGCCAACGTACTTAGCTCCGTTAATGCTGCCTTGATACGGAACTTTTAGTGTCCGAACGTTACATATTCGACCCGCAGAGTTACCAGTAGAAGAACCACTATTCCTCCGCGGTGGCTGAAATGCTACCTGCCATTTGGATGGGATCGCCCTTTCATTACCTGCGGTAATAGTCCATGAAGTAGCTTCCCATCTGCTCGGGAAAATGTTCTGATTAGTTTTTTAATAAAAGAGAAAAACAATTGTTACAGTTGTTTATTTATTTTTAGTAGGGGTCTTTTTTGAATAAGAGTATGCGAAAAAACAATCAAAATATTTTTCAAGTAGATACGAAGATCCTTCCTGTACTGTAACTACACAGGTAGTCGATTGCCCGCCCTCGAAAGTGCCTACCTGGATTCAAAATAAAGGAAGCAAAGATTGCCAGATTCTTTGCTAATGATGGGTGATGTTGTTCCAGCATTTTGGAATTCGTTTTTTTTTTCATGAAAAAGCTCAGGTCGAGGTGTAATTCACGAAGGAAATTTATCTATGATTCCGTAGTTTTACAACTAGTGCGATTGGATAATCGGTAGGGTTATACTTCAAAACCTACACAGGGTGTCCGCAAAGTTGGGGTTTTCCTTTTCAGAAACAACTACCCTTGACATAACAAAGGTAATGTGTAGCGAAACGAGGGCGACCAAGTAAAAAAAATAAAGGAAAAAGTACTCACTCTCCAGTTGACGAGTAGGGCTAAGTACGTCTCTGCCCGAAATCATACCGCTCCAACAGAAAATGAAATCAGCAGATGCGCTACCGAGCAGACGCAGAAACCACATTGATTGTCTTACACTTAATGGCACATCTTCTAACAAGGAAGGCAAAATGTTGCGTAAAAAGTCTAGGTATTGCATCCCGTCCAATCGATTTGGGAGAATAAATGGTCCAATGAGCATACCGTTCACCATGCCAGCCCAAACATTCACTGAAAATGTTTGTTGAAAATGTGCCCGACGGACAGCGTGCGGATTTTCTACTGACCAAACATGAGTGTTGCGAAAGTTATTTGCCCCATTACGCGTGAACGTAGATTCGTCGTCACCAATATGCACTTCAAAAAGTCCGGATTATTGTCATGTTGATGCAACAATCACTCACAAAACCGCACTCTTGCTGGAAAATCGTCAGGTTGAAGGGCTTGTACACGTTCTTAAGTCAAAAACGGCTGGTGAGGTGTATGGTGGGAGTAAGCAGCACTTATAGTTGCAGAGAATGATTCAAGAGATTGAAAATAATGACACTGCCTTCGCTTTTTCTCTACAATATGGCTATCTGTACTTTTTTAAATAAAGATGATTTCACCTTGAATAGTCATATACATCAAATGGGCACTCCCAGACAAAACGACATCCATATACCTTTTGCGCATTATAAGTTTGGTAGCGGATCACTATGTATTTTAGGACCTAAGATTTTTAACAACCTTGCCTGGCTGTCAGTTTTTAAATATCGTTTTTTTATCACTAATTTTAACTTGTTTGTTTTTGGATGTTATTTGATTGTATTTTATTTATTTACTTTGTACATATTTACTTACTGTATTTTTTGACGAAACCTATACATGTTCATGCATGTCTGAAGGAAAATAAATTTATAATTATTATTATTATTAACCTATATAATGTCAAAAAAATCCGACATAATGTTACTTTTGAAGACACATAATACCCCTGCGCTCGTAGTGAACGAGTGATATTACTAACTAGTTCACTTAGTTCGATTGAACTAGTTCGCTCGAGAACTAGACTATACTTCCTACGGCTTCGTTTGAGGTTTCTCAGAAAAGCGATGAGTCAGGTCGTTTCTAAAGGCGGAATCGAATCGCTTCATGGAGATCCATTTATGGACACTCCTCTATTTTATATGTCTCATAAATTGCATAAAACGTGAAACTCCATAGACCATAACTGGATGCACTAATTAAAGTAAATCTCTTTTACACTATATGGGGAAAAATAAATCACCCTTGAAACAAAGGAAACAAGATTAGTCAACATCGTTCCTCTCACGTTCATCGATAAAAATGGTAACTAGTAACAACATATTCATTACCCGCACACAACCACTGCAAAAAATTTTAAAAAGCACGAATCGGCTATTTAGCTTCATATTGTTAATACATATATATTATTACGTAGGCCAAAATCAGGCCGGTGACAGGTATAGCTTCCACTCCATTTCCACGTCCCACTTACTCAAAAGCATATCAGTATCATTCCTAGATTTTATATACTAAGTGACATATAAATCCGAACACCCAGTTTAAATGGTTTTATTTTAATAAAAGTTGGTGAATGTATTTATCTTACTGTAAATAACAAGTGAAAAAATTTTCAGCCTTATCAGTTGGACATTCCGGTTTTTATACTACTTTTTTTTTAATTCACTAACGCTCTAAAAATGAATAGTTCAGCCGCAGTAAAGAATCAACGTTGGCGGATTTTGGTTCTTGACATCCTTTACGATCGGTTACGATGCCTAGAGTACGGAGACCTGTACGATTTCGTCAACTTAATGAGTTTGATAGGGGTCGTATAGTGAGACTTCGGGAAGCTGGACTTTCTTTTCGGGCAATTGCAGTTAGAGTGCAAAGAAGTGTAGACACTGTGGTTTGGTGTTGTCAGGCATGGCTTCGAGAAGGCCGTACGCAAAGAGCAAGGGGCACTGGACGCCGCCGTAGAACAACAGACCGTGAAGATCGCCGCCTAAGATTATTGGCCTTAAGAGACCGTTTCTCCACTACCAAGTCCATTGCAAATGAATGGTTTGCAGAACACGGAAGACCTATTGGCATGCGAAGTGTTTACCGACGAATGAGAAGTTTTGGCTTATTTTCATACCGGCCACACTAGGTCCTCCCTTTAACTCGAGAACACCGACGTAATCGCCTTGAGTGGTGCAGACAATGGTCACTCTGGGATCAGGAATGGAACAGTATTGTCTTTAGTGACGAGTCTCGATTTTGTTTAGGCATGCACGATGGTCGTGCCAGGGTTAGAAGGCGACGTGGTGAAAGGAGGAATCCACAGTTTTTTGTTGAAAGACACTGTTGGAGTTATGGTTTGGGGTGCTATAGCTTATGGTTCCAGGTCACCTTTAATCTTCATCAGAGGTAACATGAACGCGCAGCGTTATATCCACGAAGTTCTAGAACCCCATCTTTTACCCTATCTTGACACCCTGGCAAATCCAACTTTCCAACAAGATAATGCCCGACATGTTGCAAGAGTCACAATAGACTTCTTTCAACATAATGATGTCACATTGTTACCATGGCCACCAAGATCTCCCGACTTATCCCCAATTGAGCACGTGTGGTATATGATGGGTAGGAGATTGCTCAATTTGCAACGTCCTCCTCAGACTCTAGAAGCACTTCGAGAGGAGTTGATGGTTGCCTGGAATGAGATACCACAGGAGGACATTGACCACCTGATCAGAAGCATGCCTAGGCGCGTTGGAGAATGCGTAGCACATCAGGGTGCATCCACACATTATTAAAGGTCAAAGGGCTTTAAATTTTGATCATTTACTTATTATTCTTCATTAAGTACTTATACAAAATTTTATTAAAATAAAACCATTTAAACTGGGTGTTCGGATTTATATGTTACTTAGTATATTAGTACGTATACCAAAATCAAGACGGTGACAGGTGTAGCTCCCACTCCGTTGCCACGTCCCACTGACTCAAAAGCTCATCTGTCTCAGTATCATTCCTAGATTTTATATTTGACGCGAGGGCAGTAAGATTTCTCTCTTTACACAACTGCCATAGCTCTCCCGCAACCTGGTCTAGACGTGGAAGCTAAAAACTCCATATTCTATTGATGTAGGATATATTTGTCGCATTATCAATGGGGTATAATATTCCACAGACCCTCAAGTCGGGAGCAAAGCATTCACCACCGAAGAAAACTGCCAGTAGTTCTGGATGATAGCTATAATCAATTTAAAAATGGCGTCAAGTAGATTGACTCTATACCTTCAACGCCCAACTTCGATTCACAAGCTTTCTGTTGCTTGAAGATATCTCCCCCGCACAAGTCTCCCCTCCAGACCCGGCGTTTCCAGCGTTGCCAGATCGAACGCTACGTTGCCAGTCTCATTACTCAATTTACAGACCTCGTACATACAAACATTCTTGCTTCCATATATATAATATTAGTAGGGATTATTAATATATCCCACAGGTATCCCCTAATTATTTTTGTCACACAAATTAAGTCACCTAATAATTTTCAATGTTTCCCGAAAAAGAAACGCCCCGTACGTTCCAATGATCAAGGAAGTTCAGCAAAACTGGTTTATTATACCATCAACAGTATTTTTACGATCAATCACTGCAAAACAAATTAACAGCATTTACACTTAATTTGAATTATGCATAGAATGATCGCGGACGCCTGGTGGAAAAATCTTATCGAATGTTGATAAAAATCGAGTGTTTACTTTTTACCAAGCTGAAACAGATATGATTCAGTTATCTTTAATATCATCTGAGGAACCACATGAACTGAATAGTCGCGAAATATGGATTTTTCTGTTAACAAAGAACAAAGGCTTGAAAAAGCCTTGGCTGGATATGGTGTAAAAAATGAAGATCTCCAGGACAGCATCCAAACTATCAAGTCCTGGTTTACCACGCAGAAGCACCTACCTGAAACTCCAAGTAAGTGCCAGTAATATGAACTCTTTCATTAAAAATGCTTCCTGGTTTGGTTGAGAAAAGTCATTGTTTCCTCTACTTCCGTAGAGAAACAGAAAAAAACTTAATCTTTCATAAATAGTTTTATTTTTTCCTGGCTTTATTTGTGGTCGGATTTCACATTAACATTGCCAGTTTTTAATTACAATTTCAATATGACGTTTCGTCTCTTGCCCTCCAGGCATCAACGTTATTTTTTATTATGGACGCCATTCTGGGTTTTTGTACAGATGAATAGAGTGTTTAATTGTGATTCCAAAAGTTTATAATATGTATTAGTTATTTCAGAAAAACAGAATTTCCTTTGAAATTATCAGATACTCGTTTGTTTCGTATACCAGACCAAACATCAAACAGAACATAGTAACAGAGTTTGGAAGACTGAGAAGAAGGGAAATAAAATGAGCAGTGAACAATGTACAGAAAAGAGTCAAGCTTTCCCTACAGAATAACGGACAATATTATGAACATCTGCTATGATTTACCTCTGCTTATTTATGATTATTATTGCTATTAATTATTACTATCAATAAAATTTGTATTGTGTGTTCTAATGGCAAATTCATGGCCAATTCAGGGAATAAATCACTAAAGTTGGGACTGAAAACTGCATTTAAATGTACAAAATTCGAACACAGCGTCCACATGAAAAAAGTTGATGGAAGTCGATAGAAGGAACCTCAAATTGAAAATTTGACTACGCCATCTTTTGTAGAGGAGAAATTGCGACATTTATTTTGAAATTCCATCTGAAACGAGGTCAGGAGAAAATAAAAATGATTTTGGGATAAATCTCGTATGCGAAACAAATGACTATCTGATAATTTCAGGGCCTACCTAGCAAATTATGTTTTTTTGTAACAACTAAGGTTTGGTAATGTCAATGTAGCTTTTATTATTTCAGACGACAATACCATAATGAATTTCCTATTCATGACGAATTTTAGTATAGAGAATACGAAAAAAAGACTGGATATGTATTATACAATCAGAAATTTGATACCCGAGATGTTTAAAGATAAGAATCCAAAGCTCCCACACATGAAACGGGTAGCAGAAACTGTGTAAGTACAGCATTTTCTTCGTAAATATACTCAGTGACAAAAAAGAGAACACGCAAGTATAAACGCACTTCTGTTAACGAACCTTTATATCTATCATACAAATTCTAAGAAAGAAAAAAGGCCAATACATGTTTTCACTTGAATTATTTCTTAAAAAATAAAATCATTTCTATCAAGTGTTGTATTTTCTTTGGTACTGAGTATTCACTGTATACTGGGTATAACAAACGTGACGGTTTTACTAACTTTGAACAAGGAGTTCAATGGCGACCTTGAGCATCGTCTTGAAGGTTATTTCAAAGGTCAACTATTGTATTTTACATGGGAAGCCCACTTTTTGAGATCATAAATCAAATGAACGGAATATTCTACGTCATATTTATTAAAATCTGAGCTCAAGGTCATCTTTAACGTCAAATGAAGGTCAACTGTGGGCGGCTAGGGTAAATTCCTAGGAATTTAGCAGGATCTTATTTTCGAAAAACTTCGCGATTACAATAATTCCCCGCCCGTGTGAAGTGAAAGAATAAAATGAGTTTAAAAAAATTAAAATCCCCAATGGATACTAAGATATGTTGAACAACCATTTTACAAGCTGGTGGCCCCCAAGATCACCAGATTTAACGCCCTCACACTTTAATCAAAACAAGAACTATAGAGCAGCTGGAAATTTAGAAGCTGTTCAAGTTACTCCTGCCACAGGGTAATGGAAGAGAGAGTTCAGGCTGTGAGGCTATTTATTTGACCACAACTTTTCTTTCAGTGATATTGGATTATATGTTGAAAATATTCGAGAAATAGATCAGTAATTTACATGTTGGCCTATCTTCGTTTTCTTCTAGATACTGCATTCCTCTACCAAAGGTAACTGAAGAGGGTTACAGAATAACTGTATTAAGAAATAACGATCTAGCACCGGAAGAATTTGATCCATATAACATCATAGGACACATAAACAATGTTTTGGAAATACGGATGCACGAAGATGTCACTATGGGTGACATTCACATATACGATTTTAGTAATGCCAAGATGGGACACGTCGTTAAATTGACACCCATTTTTCTAAAAAAGTGTGCAGTAGCGTTTGAGGTGAGATTTTTAACGTTTAGTATTTTTGTATTTACACAACTTCTAGCTTGATTTTATAAACAAAAATGTTGCACTAACAAGAGTTTTGGAGCAATTATAAAAATAAGTTTCCCACTCTTTCCCATAAGCTTGCTGTCTATGTTTGGCGTTTGGCTTTCTTCACACATTCCGCTCCTTCTTTTTTGTTCTCTATATTCGAGAGTATCGCATCGTTTGTTGTGCATCTCTCTTCCAGAGCAACTTGTTTCGGAATGCGACATATTATCGTTATTGAATTGAAACCGGTTAAATATCGAAAATAACTGAAAACGATCTTTTGATTTTCAAGTTTCAATAGTCATAAAAACGGGAGACGTCGCATTCATTTTATCTAATGCACATGGGCAAATAAGAATATGCGTGTCATGTCAATACATGGAACGTGAGAACTGATTGTCGGCAATTTTTCCCGTTGATGTTTGCCGAGATAGTCCGCATAATGCTAGGCAACCCATTATACAGAGTGGGGTACGCGCGCTTGTCTACCAAGCGGCAACACTGACAGCTGCTTGCTGGTGTTAATTGAACGTGATTGTTAGATTGATTCAACATCTGTGAGTAAAAAAGCTCATTCGCAAAATTATCGTACATTCAGCTATTATCCTACACATACTATCACAGCCGACGTCAACTACGAGCCGTGAACAAAGAAATCTGGCAACGTAGGTGGTAGTGTTACTCCCGCCGCTGCTTGCTGCATCGACGCAACTCGTGCTCAAAACGCTGAGAAAACATCACCTTTTCAATTTGTGATTTGGGAATCCCAGAGGCTGTAATTAAGAGATAAGCTTGTTTTCTAAGCCTCAAAGTGTGTGTATGTGTTCAAAGTGATCGGTGACTATAATATATGAGAAATAGACTCCAGTTGTAGTGCTTCTGTGCTTTAAAAATAAACTAAGAAGTGTGACTGTGGCTGTTCGCGCCTCAGGACGCTAAGGATTTCAACTATTGAAAACGTGCAAATTCAGGTTGTACTTTTCTTTTTTCATTTATCAAGTATTTGACGCAGACAATATGCCTCGTTGTTGCTGTGTTCCTTTATGCAATGCAAACTATAATTCTGCTTTGAAAACAGAAAGCTATGTTTCAACTTTTCGCTTCCCAAGTACCGAAAGTCTGAAAACCAAATGGCTTATGGCAATTCCCAGAAAAAATTGGACACCTTCAAAATATTCAGTTGTGTGCAGTCGTCATTTTAGAGAATCGGATATCATCAGGACAGAAAATATAGTTTTTGCGGATGGAACAAGAAATCGTCATTTTCTTTAGCAGAAATTAAAACAAGGTTCCAAAACTGCTTAGAAACTCAAGAAAATTTTGATTTCTTGGATACCAAACAAAATCCTGAAGTTTTGGATATATTCAATGAAGTATTTGAGACAAATTACTTAGCCAATTGTGACATAGAGGATAGTACTAAGACTTATATATCTGGATATGCTTCACACGCTATCTCTAAAAACCTAAACTGCGAGATATGCAAATCGCTAATAGTTACAGAAAAAGGTTCATTAACAACAAATGTTTATTTTGATCATTTGCAAAGAGGAGGACTGTCAATTCCAACCAGTTATGTACCAATCATATTCTACCATATGTATGCCATTTTTGAATCTATTATTAATGTAGATAGATTGGAAATTTTCTTCTTGAAAAGCAATAATCAAAATTTCATTTTGTGTCAGTTAACCTTGCTCAGCATTCAGTCTGAGTTTATATACAGTGAATTTTCTTTAACTTGCATCTGTGGCCGCAATTATGCAGATATTTTATCTAAGCTTTTGTCTATTTTTTCAAACATAATTTTGAATGATTATGTAAAATTGAAAAATAACAGTAAAACTGAAAGTAAATGTGTTAAAAACAAACAGGTAACTCCATATTTCCAAGCTGGGCCTGTTGGAACACAGTGTGCTGACACCAAAAAACGTAAACTAAATACTTTTAATTAGGTTAACTGCATTAGCGACTCATATATATCACGATTATTTCGTATTTTTAAATTTTTTAGAGCTATTTCATATTCAGACGATTTGTATCGAATCGAACTGTCCTCTTTTCCAAAATTAAATTTAGTTCTTGAACGTTACACGGAGACGGAGCACACAGCCGCTGGCGGCCGACGTTCACACGTAGCACTACCATGCCGTCCGAGCGCGGTGTTGCCTTTCTTTCATCACGGCTCGTAGTTGACGTCCTCTGTGATACTATCGTACATCGTAAAGTACTTGAAATTATCGTACGTCTGGCAACGCTGTTTGCATGGTTTTAACCGCGGTTTTGTTGCAAGTTGTTTATTTTAGAAAAGCGCGTATATAATCTCTGATTATGTTTATTATCACTTAATAATCGGTGCTTTTTCGTCTACAACTGTATAGGGAAAGTTTAAATAAGAAACCTTTCGTAATATTCATGGGAGAAATGTTTTTTTCAGTTTTTTTTTTAATGATGGAACCATGGCTTTGTAGCTATGATAACTTTCAATTCTCTAAATTTTTCCGCATGTCAAAGAAAACAGTTATTGATTCAACAGAAATGATGAAAAAAGAAATTAGCAAAACCGTATACAGGTGGATATCATCTAGTGAGTTTATATGGCCATATTTTAGTATTCTTGTGGTATATGGCTACACAGGATACTTTGTTAAGCATAGGAACTACATTTAAAGTGTCCCCAACAACCGTAATGAGTATAACTAATAAGGTGCTCCACTTTATGGTAAAACTGAAGTCAGCCTGTATCATTTTTCTCAAAAATGAAGCTGAAGTACAATAACAATATCCAATACTCGGCAAAATTCTAATTTGTCACATTTCAAATAATAACCAGAAATATAAAACTACTCTTGAGTTGGGTAAATACCACAATTTTGCGGTGATAACTATGACATATAACAGCTGATTCGTGACGTCATGGATCTTATAACCAAACTGATAACTACACTCGCTTGAACGGATTGGTAGATACCAACCCAAAATGGTAAATACCATTTCCAATTGGTTATCCGCTTGAATTTGATTTATATTTAGTATTTTACGTTGACATCTTAAGGTCAGCGCGCACTGGAGTCAACTTACTTGATTGACTTTATTTGTATATCCGAGAGGTAAACCGCACCTAGAAATCTGTACAATAACGGGAAATATTTCCACGCAATTCCTATTAATGCCCAATAATTCCCCTTGTTTTAAATGATTCCCCCGTAATTCCCTCTAATGCACCATAATTCCCCGATAATTCCCTCTAATGTACCATAATTGCCCTAATTTTTGACAGCTGCTTGAATCATAAAAACTTTTTATTTTTACGCTATAGTTATATTTTCCTATTTCAGGAAGTATTCAGCAACAAAATCAAACAAATGCATTACATAAATGTCCCATCATTTGCGGAAAGTATCATCAGTTTAGCAAAATCGTTTCTCAAGCCAAAACTTCAAGAAAGGGTAATTGAGCCAATAAATACAACGTGAGGCAGCATAACTTCTTTTTTTAATTTTTTTAGAAATATAAGATAGCATGTATGACTTGTCTCAATCGTCTTGTGTTTTCCAGCAACCCGCACCAACTTCCATTTTTCTTATGGCAGCCATATTGGATTTTTTATTTTGAAAAAAGTGGAAAATTTCCAGTCTGTGCATACATAATAGATTGGAGTATCAGAGAAATATCATCACATGTGATGTTATGTATTAGTTTCTTTAGGAGACCATGATTTATTTGTCAGGAAATAACATTAATGAGTAACGCATGGATTGCATCTGTTTATCTTTGTCGCACCTTTTCACTTTTTGAATTAAATCTAAGTGTTGCGCGTTATGTTGGTACACAAATACTTTAGATTTATTCAGGTGTGAAATGTTATCAAATTGTTGAAGTATTCTTAAAATATCGATTTTTTTAATGATCCAGCAGATAAGAAGGCAAAGTCTGAATACAGAAGCCATCTGCTGATTGTTAGAGAGGCGTTATCTCAACAACAAAGTCGAGAGAGATTAAATGGTGTGAGCATAACCACTGCGAAAAAATGACGTCAAGTAGATTGACTCTATACTTCCTCCGATAATATTCGAAATTCGGTACAAAAGTTTCCTGTTGCCTAAGATATATGTATCTCACAAGTCCGTGTTTCTCATTTATGTCGGTTTGACAGTTCATGTCTGTTGCATAACAAAACGTCATAAGTACTGAGTCGATCTACTTGACGAGATATTCAGAGAACCATCATAGACGTAGTAACACAAATTAAAGGTTAGACAGGACAAATTGATAGAAATCGCAAAAATTACGATTCAATCGAAAAAATCATATTTTTTATTTTTTCTAAAAAAAATCAACTAAATAAAAAAAATCGACGAGTTCAAGCGAATTTTTTCCACTGCTGTTATCGGCAGAAATAATGAATCACACAGAAATAGCTGATTTGTAACCAATATGATTATAGTTTGCAAATAATAGCTGCAAAATGCAAATAAATCAAAAACAGACTAACTCCACCAATACAAAACGAAGAGTTTGTTCCTGCCCACTTCTCTCACGAAACAGCAAAAACTCGTTGGAACGCTCGTATCAGTAAACAGAAATAGTCCCACAAAAAATGTTTGACGCTGATGGGTCAACCAATACGATTATCGTCTGCAGAATATTCTACAGTATATTCAGATAAGAGATAGACCGGATGTAAACAAAAGGTTCGGGTGATTTTCACGCTAACGCCGCCGTCTCGACGTAAAACAGAAGCCCTCATTGGTCAATTCGCAATTAAATGCCTATGCCGAGCGGCAGAGCAGTCGTATTAAGGCAGAGTCACATTCAGGTTCAGACGTGTTACGTATGTCGTGTGCATCATTGCAATTTGATATTTCTTTGGACGTTTTCGTTTGTTATCTTATTAAGTTGTTGAGTTTGTCGTTGTTATTGTTATACCTTGATATTGATTGTTATTGTTATCAACTGCTTGCGCAAAATGCCCAGTAGTACAGATACTGCCGATGAAATTGTAAACTCCTGTAGTCCACCTAGGAAACGCTCTAAAAAAAACACCTGAGTGCAGAAATGAAAGAGGTCATTTTGAATATATATAAGATCGAGCGCGAGGAGAACGAGGCATCAACCATCAAAGAAATTGTTGTGAAGGTTTCTCACAAAGTTGGGGTGTGTCGCGCATCAGTGTTTAATGTGTTAAGACAATACAAAAAAAATCACACCTTTTCTGAGCCAATGACCAGTAAACATCGCAAAAGTATTGTTAAATCATTGGATGAAGCTGATAAGCATGCGATTAGGAGGAAAGTGCATGAATTCTTCTTTAGGAATGAAATACCTACTATAGATAAAGTACTGCAGGAGGTAAATGGAGATACAACGTTGCCAAATTTCAAACGATCAACTTTCCATGCGTTACTGAAGCATTTAAATTTCAAATGGAAAAAACGGGGTCGTAATAGTTTACTACTGGATAGAGAAGAAATTGTGCTATGGAGGAGGGATTATTTAACAAAAATTGGGAAATACAGAAATCAAAACAGGAAGATTTATTACCTTGATGAAACGTGGGTAAACGCAGGACACACTACAAGTAAAGTATGGGTTGATGATTCTGTAACTTCATCCAGGAGGGCCTTTCTAGATGGACTGTCCACCGGATTAAAAAATCCAGCAGGTAAATACGAGTAATAGACAACAATCGGATGTTTTTCAAACCTTGGGAACAAGGTTCTAAACATTAATTCCAGGGGGCAGATAAAACATATTACAAGTAACAAAACTTTTATAACTTTCGATAAAATGCGTGGATGTTTTATTGTCATTTTCATTTGTTAGAACTTTTTTAAGCCATGTTTTTATGTGTTTTCGATATTTCAATAATTTTTTAATATAATCTTAAAATATGTCGAATATTACTTAAAAAAAGTTACTAAGTTTTATATTGTGTACCGTTCCTAATATTTCTAATCATTTTAATTCATACTTTAAGCTTTATAAAGTTATAATTTGTTAATATTAATATTTGCGCGTATTTCAGGTTCCTGATCATTCATTTTTTAAAGGTTTATAACTTTAAATTAAATTGTGAAGCGCTGAGTAATCATACGACGTTCAATATTCTTTCTTTCAATATGACTAAATAATCCCAATTATAGAAATCTGATACTCATGTCTCAATGTTTTTTCGCTGAATCTGATGAAAACATTTGAAAAAGGTTCGCTTATTGAAATAAATCTACACCAGTTAGTACTTCGATTTCCAGGTAAAGGGAAAAGGCTCATTATCTGCCATATTGGCATTGAGGATGGATTTGATTTTGACGGTCTGTGGTGCTTTGAGTCTAAGAAAACTGGAGATTACCACGAGGAAATGAATGGCGAATCGTTTGAACAGTGGTTTTCAAAAATTTTACCGAACTTAGAGGAAAACGCAGTAATTGTGTTGGATAATGCGCCTTATCATTCTCGAAGAATGGAGAAGGTCCCAACAACGGCTTCAAGGAAAGTTGATGTTCAAAATTGGCTCTGCTCGAGAAATATCAACTTTGAACAAGCAATGCTGAAAGTACAATTATTAAGAATTGTCAAGGATCACAAGGCGGAATATCAAAAATACGCCATTGACGAAATGGCAGCAAGTCAAAATAAAACTGTGCTCCGTTTACCTCCATACCATTGCGAGCTCAATCCCATTGAGCTCATATGGGCAGAGGTTAAAAATTATATAGCTAAGCACAATACAACTTTTAAATTTTGTGACCTCAAAGGACTTTTCAAAGAAGCACTAGAATTAATAACAGCGCAAAAATGGGAAAACTGTATTAAGCACGTGAAAGACAAAGTTGAAAAGAGAATGTGGGAACGGGACAATATTTTAGAGGAACAAGTCGAGCCATTCATTATTGACGTTGGTGCTTCAGGCAGTAGCGATGATGAAAGCTCATCAAGCTCATCTTTCCAATAAAAGATGTCGTTCATCAAATTCGGTAAGTTATAAGTAATAGAGTGTCGCGTCAGCATTGCTAGGCAACGCGGCGATGAGCTTTGCTATCTAGCTGGCTCCTATATCTACCTAAAATATGTGTCTAGACACACTTCTCTCTTGTACACATTGAACTCAAGCCGTCAGACAAATTTGGTTTTCCTGTATACAGAGTGTCCAAGTTTCGGTTCTCTGTACTGCGATCTCGGCTCCTGTTATACCTACAGCAAAAGTTAAATGGGGAAAGTTTTAGAAAGAATTTAGTACTTTCGATAGCCGGCTTCAGATTTTCGTTCGGTCCATCGGTTTTGAAAATATCAGCGAAAAACCAGTACATCCAAAACGGTTAATTTGACAGCTGTCAAAATGTGACATTATTCGGACATTTTTTTAACAAAAATAAGATGTATGACATGTCTCAATCATCTTTTGTTTTCCAGTAACCCGCCTCAACTTCTTATGGCCTCCATATTGGATTTTTTTTTATTTTTGAAAAGAGTGTAAAATTCCCAGTCCAGTGATGTCTCACAAGTGCGTGAAAGATTGAAGTATCATCGATCTATACTAAGTGACATATAAATCCGAACACCCAGTTTAAATGGTTTTATTTTAATAAAATTTTGTATAAGTACTTAATGAAGCATAATAAGTAAATGATAAAAATTTCAAAATGATTGCACTGCTTTAAAGCCATTTGACCTTTAATAATGTGTGGATGCACCCTGATGTGCTACGCATTCTCCAACGCGCCTAGGCATGCTTCTGATCAGGTGGTCAATGTCCTCCTGTGGTATCTCATTCCAGGCAACCACCAACTCCTCTCGAAGTGCTTCTAGAGTCTGAGGAGGACGTTGCAAATTGAGCAATCTCCTACCCATCATATCCCACACGTGCTCAATTGGGGATAAGTCAGGAGATCTTGGTGGCCATGGTAACAATGTGACATCATTATGTTGAAAGAAGTCTATTGTGACTCTTGCAACATGTGGTCGGGCATTATCTTGTTGGAAAGTTGGATCTGCCAGGGTGTCAAGATAGGGTAAAAGATGGGGTTCTAGAACTTCGTGGATATAACGCTGCGCGTTCATGTTACCTCTGATGAAGATTAAAGGTGACCTGGAACCATAAGCTATAGCACCCCAAACCATAACTCCAACAGTGTGATGAACATGTCTTTCAACAAAAAACTGTGGATTCCTCCTTTCACCACGTCGTCTTCTAACACTGGCACGACCATCGTGCATGCCTAAACAAAATCGAGACTCGTCACTAAAGACAATACTGTTCCATTCCTGATCCCAGAGTGACCGTTGTCTGCACCACTCAAGGCGATTACGTCGGTATTCTCGAGTTAAAGGGAGGACCCAGTGTAGCCGGTATGAAAACAAGCCAAAACTTCTCATTCGTCGGTAAACACTTCGCATGCCAATAGGTCTTCCGTGTTCTGCAAACCATTCATTTGCAATGGACCTGGTAGTGGAGAAACGGTCCCTTAAGGCCAATAATCTTAGGCGGCGATCTTCACGGTCTGTTGTTCTACGGCGGCGTCCAGTGCCCCTTGCTCTTTGCGTACGGCCTTCTCGAAGCCATGCCTGACAACACCTAACCACAGTGTCTACACTTCTTTGCACTCTAACTGCAATTGCCCGAAAAGAAAGTCCAGCTTCCCGAAGTCCCACTATACGACCCCTATCAAACTCACTAAGTTGACGAAATCGTACAGGTCTCCGTACTCTAGGCATCGTAACCGATCGTAAAGGATGTCAAGAACCAAAATCCGCCAACGTTGATTCTTTACTGCGGCTGAAATATTCATCTTTAGAGCGTTAGTGAATTAAAAAAGCAGTATAAAAACCGGAATGTCCAACTGATAAGGCTGAACATTTTTTCACTTGTTATTTACAGTAAGATAAATACATTCACCAACTTTTATTAAAATAAAACCATTTAAACTGGGTGTTCGGATTTATATGTCACTTAGTATATTAACGTTAATATCGACTTTTCAACAAGTCAAATGTTTTGGGACAAATTCCCAACTATGAGTGTATTGTTTGTTGCCTGATCCACAAATGAAAATGGGATTCATCGCTAAAAAAACAATAGCGTTCTCGGGAACGACTTCGAGAAGACGCCCTCACGCGAGAGATGAAGTCACATTGAAAGTTCCAGCACAATTGCCATCTTGTAAGGATGGAAATGAAGATCATCATAAAGAATTATCCACGCTGTGGTGATCATAACATTGAAGCTCTCACTGCCTCAATATTTTCAGGTGATCTAATGGGCCGTGGTGCACCAGTTCGTCATCTTGTGATCCACATAACAAATGATTTCCGGTGGGTTAAATTAAAGCGAACATCCGCTTGAAAAGTACGCCGTAACGACAAAAGCATGCTCCTTATTGTTCCATCGCGTGATGGGGACCAAAAACCTTATAGTCCCGCCTGACGAACGAGACCACTAGCCCTCCGCTAAATCAACTGACGAGCATTTTGAAAAATGAAGTTATGCTGCGGCACTCTTTATATTCTAGATTTAGTGAAAGTCGGTCTTCACAGATTATGTTTTTAGATACACATTCACAGTTCAACTGATGGCCTCAAGAAATATATACCACTGGAGATTTTGCCGAAGGATTTGGGAGGAGAGGAGCTTTCATGCAAGGAACTCAATAGTAAGTGCACTTATAGTCGAAATAGTTTCTTATCTACAAATTTTATGTGAATTTTTTTTCATTAATGTAAGAAAGAACTGTTACGACTCTGTTCTCGTGGAACGAAATGCGTAGAAACATCGCAGCAACATGCTCCGCAGCCTATAATAAGTGGTAGGAGTTCATTTTTAGGGACTGAATTTCGTTCAAATGGATAATTAGCTCTCGAGGTGTGACTGTCTACCTTCTATCAAAGCAACAGACTAAAAAATTAAGCTTCTTGCAAGCTAAAAAATGATCGTTGCGTGAATGACGATATTGGTCTTCGCCATGAACAGTGCACACAACCCACAGCAGTGTGGAAGCGATAAATTGAAATATACCCTCCTCCATCGTCTGCAACTCCTGACCCCAATTTTAAACCCCAACAATGTTTTTTCCAAAAATAGTCAGGATGCTTTGAAACGTCAAAAAACAAAGTTTAAGCGATTTTTTTTCGTATTAGGCCTTTTTCTCCGTCATCACTTGACCGATTTACAAAAACTACAAAGTTTTTTCGTAGGGAGACAAGTCTCAAATTATAGGATTAGCAGACAGATCACCAGACAGACCGACGGAAATGAGTGACATGGTTTTTCGTGATGTACATGTCATATATCAAAAAACATATCTCACATTCTAATTTTTTCGCGATTCCAACACTTCCTCGCCAATAGGCATGGGAATACGTTAGCGCCATCTAGTCCTCATAATTAATACCTCGCTATTGTCCATGTGCCTGAATGAATGCAATGTTTTGCAGTGTTGCCAGATAGAACGCTACGTTGCCAGTCTCATCACTTACTTTACAGGCCTCGTACAAACACTGACCTTAAGGTCTGCAGATGTTGGTATGGTATAAATTGATATAATTTTTTCAGGTATGGTTTTAAAGAAACTGGAGGAGTACCAGGACAGGTTTGATACCATCGATCAGCTCAAAGTAGATGAAAAATTGCGCCCTACCCCGCTTGTGAATGACGAAGTGCTGGGATTCCACGGGAACTTCAGAAAATTGAATGTTGACTGAGAGTGTGGATCAAAGTACTGAATGTTTGACATGATTTATTTTTTATTTCTATTCGTTTTTAATACAAAATACTATTGTTAATAGTTGTGTTATTTTTTCACATATCACCTTAAGAAAGTTTCGTTCATATTTATACTTCTCCTTTGTCATTAAGAATCAGTGGCGCTCCCAGGATTTCAGTCTGGGAGGGGTAAATGGAAAGTAAATTGTCAGTGTGACGTACTGAAGTGTCATAATAATTTCTTTAGTGGTACGGTAACAATTTTTCCAAATTTAGTTGATTTATGTACTCCTCCTAATTTTGCAAAAACTACGCAATATTTACAGAAAAGCCCTTGTAGTTCCTCTGAATAAAAGTGTTTTTCTGATAAGTAACATTGCACTTCTTTATTATTTTTAAGTGCGTGGAATATGGATATTTGAAAGAGTCATTAGGGATCATTGCACACCTCAATAAGGTATATTTTTCATGGGAAGACAAGTTGCCGCTGAAATTTACATATGGCGCAACATCAACAAAATTGGATCCTTTAGGTATCGCACCCGATTGTTCAACACTTGGTTCAGCATACGGTGCAACATCAAGAAATTTTGTAATTGAATTGTAGGATTATCATCAGTTTTTTCCGGTAATTCCTGTGCTGGTGGATCAGACAGTTTGTTTTGTTTAGAAAGGAACCAATCGATGGTATTCTGTTTCCTTTTACTCATCCTGACAACAGCAGCACTAAAAATTACACAAATATTGTCAAATAAATGTCATTGTTGATTTTCACGCATTCACGTATCTCATAACAAAGAACCTTTTCTGTTTGGATTCGATTACAATACTCCATCGCCAGTGGCGTGGAAAGTAAACTGGCGAATAATGAATTGTTGAGATCTAGCGGATCTTTGATATTGTAGCGTTTTTCTGGGTTCTTTTGGGTGTGGATTAAAGCACTGGATTCCACAAAAAGAAAAACACTAATTTATTTAACTTGATAGAACATTTATGTACACCACCATTTATGTCTGACTAATTCTTATGTCGCCATTGACTGCACTATACTCCACTCCGCTCTGCTCTGGTGTAATCACAGCCGACGTCAACTACGAGTCGTGATGAAAGAAAGGCAACACCGCGCTCGGACGGCATGGTAGTGCTACCTGTGAACGTCGGCCGCCAGCGGCTGTGTGCTCCGTCTCCGTGTAAGGTTCAAGGTTCAAGAACTAAATTTAATTTTGGAAAAGAGGACAGTTCGATTCGATACAAATCGTCTGAATATGAAATAGCTCTAAAAAATTTAAAAATACGAAATAATCGTGATATACATATATGAGTCGCTAATGCAGTTAACCTAATTAAAAGTATTTAGTTTACGTTCTTTGGTGTCAGCACACTGTGTTCCAACAGGCCCAGCTTGGAAATGTGGAGTTACCTGTTTGTTTTTAATACATTTACTTTCAGTTTTACTGTTATTTTTCAATTTTACATAATCATTCAAAATTATGTTTGAAAAAATAGACAAAAGCTTAGATAAAATATCTGCATAATTGCGGCCACAGATGCAAGTTAAAGAAAATTCACTGTATATAAAGTCAGACTGAATGCTAAGCAAGGTTAACTGACACAAAATAAATTTTTGATTATTGCTTTTCAAGAAGAAAATTTCCAATCTATCTACATTAATAATAGATTCAAAAATGGCATACATATGGTAGAATATGATTGGTACATAACTGGTTGGAATTGACAGTCCTCCTCTTTGCAAATGATCAAAATAAACATTTGTTGTTAATGAACCTTTTTCTTTAACTATTAGCGATTTGCATATCTCGCAGTTTAGGTTTTTAGAGATAGCGTGTGAAGCATATCCAGATATATAAGTCTTAGTACTATCCTCTATGTCACAATTGGCTAAGTAATTTGTCTCAAATACTTCATTGAGTATATCCAAAACTTCAGGATTTTGTTTGGTATCCAAGAAATCCTAATTTTCTTGAATTTCTAAGCAGTTTTGGAACCTTGTTTTAATTTCTGCTAAAGAAAATGACGATTTCTTTTCATTGAAAATATGCTTCAGCCGTATTTTCTTTTCAGCATTCAAAATTTCATCATATGACACATTGTAATTTGCAGCCACATAAAAGTCTATAATTGCCAAATCGTTTTTCTAAATTATCAGTGTTGAATTTTTCACTTAATGTCAAATTGATTAAATGAATATTCAATTATATTAAGTAGAGTCAGCGTGCTTTGATATAGAGCTGTATACGTTTCTGGTGTCAGGTGTCCATTATTATTCTCTAGATTATGCCATTTTTCTAACCATATCAGGAATTTTTTTAAAAATTGTACTCTATAATCATATTTATTGGTAATAGGCTTACAAAATTCGTTTCGCTTCAATTCTCCTTTTATTACACTTGTATTACTGACAATATCCCACCAATTCCTGATTATTTCCAAAAAGTGTGCAGCATCATTAAACTTTAATTCTTTCATAGCAGCTATTGTTGAGTGATGGAATAAATTATCTACAAAATTTACATTTTGCCTTTCAAATGAATTTGGATGCAATGTTTTATAATTTAATTTATATGCTTTCTTAACTATAGCTTCTTTTTCCAATTGATATACAGCACGAATGTTTTCAAATTTAGCATACTGAATAATATCATTATTGTCAAAATTAGGATATACAAAAGTTTTGTCTAGGTTTTTTAAATTAATCCAATTATTTCTGATACCCTTGAAAATATGCACATCATAAGTTAAATATATGTTCTTATCAGGATTATGTGGATTTGGAATAGAATAATTTTCTGATGAATCCTTTGCTAATTTCCTGAACATTGCTCTATTAATTCGGTGATTATCAGTAACAACACAAATAACTTCAAATCCACATTTTTGAACTAAATTTATCTTTGATCTTATCCATATCATCGAAATTCTGGATAGCTTTTTCATGTTTCTCAATTAATTTTTGTTTTCTTTGCATTGGGTCAGTTCTTTTGGGTGCTTCAGTTTTTGAAAGATATGATGGCAAGTTTGGGAAAATGGAGGGAACAGCATTTTCTTTCAATTTTGGATATTTCAAAGGTATATTATTTTGGACTGTTCCATCCGCCAAAACTATATTTTCTGTCCTGATGATATCCGATTCTCTAAAATGACGACTGCAGACAGCTGAATATTTTGAAGGTTTCCAATTTTTTCTGGGAATTGCCATAAGCCATTTGTTTTTCAGACTTTCGGTACTTGGGAAGCGCAAAGTTGAAACATAGCTTTCTGTTTTCAAAGCAGAATTATAGTTTGTATTGCATAAAGGAACACAGCAACAACGAGGCATATTGTCTGCGTCAAATACTTGATAAATGAAAAAAGAAAAATAAAACCTGAATTTGCACCTTTTCAATAGTTAAAATCCTTAGCGTCCTGAGGCGCGAACAGCCACAGTCACACTTCTTAGTTTATTTTTAAAACACAGAAGCACTACAACTGGAGTCTATTTCTCATATATTATAGTCATCGATCACTTTGAACACATACACACACTTTGAAGCTTAGAAAACAAGCTTATCTCTTAAGTACAGCCTCTGGGATTCCAAAATCACAAATTGAAAAGGTTATGTTTTCTCAGCGTTTTGAGCACGAGTTGCGTCGATGCAGCAAGCAGCGGCGGGAGTAATACTACCACCTACGTTGCCAGATTTCTTTGTTCACGGCTCGTAGTTGACGTCGGCTGTGATAGAATCCACCGAAAAAATGATCTTAAGCAATAGATTTGTGTATAAACTATTTTGGAAGTAAGCTCTGAACCAATAAGGTAATTTTCACTATCCCAAGATTGTCATAAAGGTAACTGAGAGCAAATTAAATTCTTCTTTTCCCTTAGCAATAAATAACTAAACAGGTATAACAATAAACACAGTTCGCCCAGGATACCTGTGTTGATAAAAAGAGAGCGTAATAAATTCGAGGTGTTATACTAAGTGACATATAAATCCGAACACCCAGTTTAAATGGTTTTATTTTAATAAAAGTTGGTGAAAGAATTCATCTTACTGTAAATAACAAGTGAAAAAATGTTCAGCCTTATCAGTTGGACATTCGGGTTTTTATACTACTTTTTTTTAATTCACTAACGCTCTAAAAATGAATATTTCAGCCGCAGTAAAGAATCAACGTTGGCGGATTTTGGTTCTTGACATCCTTTACGATCGGTTACGATGCCTAGAGTACGGAGACCTGTACGATGTCGTCAACTTAGTGAGTTTGATAGGGGCCGTATAGTGGGACTTCGGGAAGCTGGACTTTCTTTTCGGGCAATTGCAGTTAGAGTGCAAAGAAGTGTAGACACTGTGGTTAGGTGTTGTCAGGCATGGCTTCGAGAAGGCCGTACGCAAAGAGCAAGGGGCACTGGACGCCGCCGTAGAACAACAGACCGTGAAGATCGCCGCCTAAGATTATTGGCCTTAAGGGACCGTTTCTCCACTACCAGGTCCATTGCAAATGAATGGTTTGCAGAACACGAAAGACCTATTGGCATGCGAAGTGTTTACCGACGAATGAGAAGTTTTGGCTTGTTTTCATACCGGCCACACTGGGTCCTCCCTTTAACTCGAGAACACCGACGTAATCGCCTTGAGTGGTGGAGACAACGGTCACTCTGGGATCAGGAATGAAACAGTATTGTCTTTAGTGACGAGTCTCGATTTTGTTTAGGCATGCACGATGGTCGTGCCAGTGTTAGAAGGCGACGTGGTGAAAGGAGGAATCCACAGTTTTTTGTTGAAAGACATGTTCATCACACTGTTGGAGTTATGGCTTGGGGTGCTATAGCTTATGGTTCCAGGTCACCTTTAATCTTCATCAGAGGTAACATGAACGCGCAGCGTTATATTCACGAAGTTCTAGAACCCCATCTTTTACCCTATCTTGACACCCTGGCAGATCCAACTTTCCAACAAGATAATGCCCGACCACATGTTGCAAGAGTCACAATAGACTTCTTTCAACATAATGATGTCACATTGTTACCATGGCCACCAAGATCTCCCGACTTATCCCCAATTGAGCACGTGTGGGATATGATGGGTAGGAGTTTGCTCAATTTGCAACGTCCTCCTCAGACTCTAGAAGCACTTCGAGAGGAGTTGCTGGTTGCCTGGAATGAGATACCACAGGAGGACATTGACCACCTGATCAGAAGCATGCCTAGGCGCGTTGGAGAATGCGTAGCACATCAGGGTGCAGCCACACATTATTAAAGGTCAAAGGGCTTTAAAGCAGTGCAATCATTTTGAAATTTTTATCATTTACTTATTATGCTTCATTAAGTACTTATACAAAATTTTATTAAAATAAAGCCATTTAAACTGGGTGTTCGGATTTATATGTCACTTAGTATATTTGGTTGTTCTCACGAATTGTTGTTTATGTTGGTGGTTTCTGTGGTGGAAAGTGTTCAAACGAGCACCCTGTATGATCTAACCATCATAATTTTGAAGGTGACGTAGAAATTAATATTAAAGATAGACTCAGTTAAAGTTATGCCCTTGCATAATCTGTTGAAATAGCATCGGTAATATTTAAATCAGCTAACTTTCTTATTTCCCGTACCACTAAATAACCTTAGAGATATGCGAAATGCATGCAATTTCTGAATAACAATTGCACTCGATGCTAGAAAAGATTTTCGCTGGAGGTCAACAGGTACTGTTACTTTATCTCGGCGATTAAATGTTTAAAAAATCGGGTGGTCCGTGACTTTCTGCTCAACGCACGCTTTACTCTTGTTGAATCAGTGGCAAAATGAACGCGATAGTCAAGGACCGAGATGAGAGGCTTAAGATGGCACTTAGGTCTCAAGAAAAGACACTGGAGCAGCTGCAAGTAGATGTGAACATAATTAAGGAATGGTTGAAGAATCAGAAACATCTGCCAGAAATGCCACGTGAGTATATACAAACTTTTTAGTTCTTCTTAGGGCGCAATGGACCTATTTCTTGGCCTGCTCGCTCCCCGGATGCATTTTAACACTATGGTATAGAATTCGGCACCAGCCTTAATTTTATTGGTCAATTTCAATTTATTCAACCAATAACAAGCCGGGTGCCGAAATCACTACCGGAATGTTAAACAGTGCTGAGCATGGGGTCAGAATGTTATCAATTTAAATTTACTTACCTTCCGCTAAAAATACGTAAGATAATAACCAACGCACATTGTTTCCTATTACGATATTTAATGATTTTAAAATTAATAATTTGGTTTAGCAATAAGAAAAATTACATGAAAAATTTATATATATTTATACTAAGTGACATATAAATCCGAACACCCAGTTTAAATGGTTTTATTTTAATAAAATTTTGTATAAGTACTTAATGAAGCATAATAAGTAAATGATAAAAATTTCAAAATGATTGCACTGCTTTAAAGCCCTTTGACCTTTAATAATGTGTAGATGCACCCACGCATTCTCCAACGCGCCTAGGCATGCTTCTGATCAGGTGGTCAATGTCCTCCTGTGGTATCTCATTCCAGGCAACCACCAACTCCTCTCGAAGTGTTCCTAGAGTCTGAGGAGGACGTTGCAAATTGAGCAATCTCCTACCCATCATATCCCACACGTGCTCAATTGGGGATAAGTCGGGAGATCTTGGTGGCCATGGTAACAATGTGACATCATTATGTTGAAAGAAGTCTATTGTGACTCTTGCAACATGTGGTCGGGCATTATCTTGTTGGAAAGTTGGATCTGCCAGGGTGTCAAGATAGGGTAAAAGATGGGGTTCTAGAACTTCGTGGATATAACGCAGCGCGTTCATGTTACCTCTGATGAAGATTAAAGGTGACCTGGAACCATAAGCTATAGCACCCCAAACCATAACTCCAACAGTGTGATGAACATGTGTTTCAACAAAAAACTGTGGATTCCTCCTTTCACCACGTCACCTTCTAACCCTGGCACGACCATCGTGCATACCTAAACAAAATCGAGACTCGTCACTAAAGATAATACTGTTCCATTCCTGATCCCAGAGTGACCGTTGTCTGCACCACCCAAGGCGATTACGTCGGTGTTCTCGAGTTAAAGGGAGGACCCAGAGTGGCCGGTATGAGAACAAGCCAAAACTTCTCATTCGTCGGTAAACACTTCGCATGCCAATAGGTCTTCCGTGTTCTGCAAACCATTCATTTGCAATGGACCTGGTAGTGGAGAAACGGTCCCTTAAGGCCAATAATCTTAGGCGGCGATCTTCACGGTCTGTTGTTCTACGGCGGCGTCCAGTGCCCCTTGCTCTTGGCGTACGGCCTTCTCGAAGCCATGCCTGACAACACTTAACCACAGTTTCTACACTTCTTTGCACTCTAACTGCAATTGCCCGAAAAGAAAGTCCAGCTTCCCGAAGTTCCACTATACGGCCCCTATCAAACTCACTAAGTTGACGAAATCGTACAGGTCTCCGTACTCTAGGCATCGTAACCGATCGTAAAGGATGTCAAGAACCGAAATCCGCCAACGTTGATTCTTTACTGCGGCTGAAGTATTCATTTTTAAAGCGTTAGTGAATTAAAAAAAAAGCAGTATAAAAACCGGAATGTCCAACTGATAAGGCTGAAAATTTTTTCACTTGTTATTTACAGTAAGATAAATACATTCACCAACTTGTATTAAAATAAAACCATTTAAACTGGGTGTTCGGATTTATATGTCACTTAGTATATATAGGTGAAAAATTAAAGCTTCCGCCTTTTGTTGGGTACTTCGACAAAATTTAAGCAAGGAGGACTCTTTATACTTTTTTTATTCTCTCTAGCTTTCAATGGCCTTTGCCATCATCATCAGGAGAGTAGTATGTGAGGATGTTGCTAATTGTTGTTTACGTTAAGGATGAGGGAAACACCCAGTAACATGGTGAAAGCTGGATAAATGGTGGGCATGTGCAATCATCAAGTGGCTTCACGATGTAATGTTTAACTTTCAATTTCTAAAAACTTTTTTTATCTATTTTTAACTTGTTCTTGTCATACAGCTGTGTGTATTTTATATAATTTTGACCATTGTACCATTTATCCAGCTTTCACCATGTTACTGGGTGTTTCCCTCATCCCTAACGTAAATAACAATTAGCAACATCCTCACATACTACTCTCCTGATGATGATGGCAAAGACCACTGAAAGCTAGAGAGAATAAAAAAAGTATAAAGAGTCCTCCTTGCTTAAATTTTGTCGAAGTACCCAACAAAAAGCTTTAATTTTTCACCTAACTGGTCTAGACGACAATATATATATATATATATATATATATATATATATATATATATATGTATGTAGAAGCAGTTTAAATTGATAGCATTCTGACACTGTTTTCAGCACTGTTTAACATTCCGGTAGTGATTTCGGCACCCAGCTTGTTATTGGTTAAATAAATTGAAATTGACCAATAAAATTAAGGCTGGTGCCGAATCCTATACCATAGTGTTAAAATGCTCCCCGGATTTAACGCCTTGCAGTTTTTTCTATGCGGCTATTTGAAAGGGTTGGTGTATCATGATGCAAATTTTCAACAGCGCATTGAATAAGCTTGTAAAGAGTGTGGATTCGTCGAGCAAGATTTTGCGTTAATCGATCAAATGGGGACAATTTTGAACAGATTTTGTAAAAACGGTATCCCATTTAACTTGATAATTATTTCTTAAATGATTTTTCATAATGTAAAGTAACTGTCTTATTGTGCAGCTTTTATATAGGTGATTCTTGGTATGTCAATTTCTTTTGACGAGTTCTAAAAGCAGTTAATAAATGACTGAACTTTGAAAACACCTAAATATTTAATTGATTCAACATTTTTAATTATTTCACCATTTATCCCAACTGTAATAATATTTTCATTTAGGTATTTTGGCATTCAATTTTAGTCTAATTACACTTAACCAATTTATGATTTTTGTCAAGTCAAATTGCTGAATGTATTAACGCTTTCAGACGATCATATGATACAAAACTTCCTGCTTCTGAACAAATTCAGCATTGAAGCAACCAAGCAAAAGTTAGACATGTATTATACATTAAGAGGTGTTTTGCCTGAGGTGTTTGAAAATAAGCATCCCAATTTACCTCATATGCAACAGAATATGAAGGCAATGTAAGTATTTGTTCTGAATACTGACTGCGGAGGGTTTAAATCTCGGAACCCAGATCCAGTGAGTGGTTTTTGAGATTTTTAGTGGAATGAGATTAAGATACACTACTCAAAAAATCAAGGGCCAAGGAAAAAATCAAAATTTTTAAGTGACTTTTGACAGGCTGTATATCGATAAAAAATGGTCGTATTTAGATTTTTTTAAAAGTATTTTTAAGGTTTAAGATTCCAGTTTTTAGTTTTATCGCCAAACATTTTGTCCTTCTTTTTAGCTCACGGACATGCATTTTTCTCCATGTTAGGTCATTATATGGATCAGGTAGTAATTTTATTCAGCTTCAAGTTTTGAAAATCCCCAGACGATCATTTGGCGCGGAGATAACTGAAAAAGAATCCTTTTGTCATCCACCACCGATATATCCCTCTAACCCTCTAACCAGTGGTCGCACAGAGTTTCCTCGGAAATGATTTAAAAAAAGTCAAGAATAGTTATTCATTATACAAGGGAAAAAGTACTAGATTTAGATAAAAAACCGAAAGCTAAAATCTAGTATTTTTCCCGTGTATAATACACAATTTTTTCTGTAACGGAAAAAACGACGATTTAATATTGAAAAATTATATTATTACAATATTTATGTCAGAAAATTATCGATGTCACATTAGCAGGCTATGTTGTACTTATAGCGACAATTGGACCTGCGTTGCTAAGGAAACTTTTAAAGTAATCAAATAGCTGTCAATTTAAAGAATCCCACAAACCGGCGCGAAATATTCGCTTTGGCTGCGAAAATTTCGCGGCGATGAATTCGCGATCAGATTAAAACGCGGCGGTTTACGGACAGGCTCAGACTTGTGCGAAGCGAATGCGATTGTTCCAGCGTTTTTATCGCGGCGTATTTCAGTTCGCCTTTGACCGCGTTTTTGACGCCGTTCTTCAAAAATTCGCAATGGCAAAAACGGAATTATTGATAGAAATAGTGAGAAACTATCCTTGTTTGTATGATTTGACGAACGATGAATACAGGAATGTGAGAAAGAAAGACAAGATTTGGATGGAAATAGGAAAAGAATTAAATACAAATGGTATGTACCTAATATTTTTTATTAACTTGTTAAATAATATACAGTCTACACAAATGTGAAAACGAACATTCTATATATTGGGCATAGGCATATCAGAATTAAAATAATTTACGAATTTGTCACGAGTAGAAAATGCTAGCCTTGCTGCCCGCCGAGGATCATTTGCTATATCAGTAAAAGCTCCAAACACGGGTTCTGGAGGATCTAAGAATTGAAAATATTTATCATCGCCACTTTTACTTCGTAAAAAATTGTGTAAAACACATGCCGTACGTACAATTAGAATAGTAGTATCTACTTTAGTTTCTAATGGCCTGTAAAATATTCGCCATTTTTGAGACAAAATACCAAACGCATTTTCCCTTCTAGCTCGACAAAGTCGTACATTGTATTTCTATTTTCTGACGTCTGTTAAAGTCTGCTTATAAGGAAATGGTCTCATAAGGTATGGTTTTAAAGCAAATGCTTCATCACCAATTAAGACGTACGAGCAGATTTCATTTTGCCCAGGGAGAAATCTAGGTGCAGGGACACTCATTAAATTTTGTTCAAATCGTTTTCCCATGTTTGAGGTTTCGAAAATACCCCCATCACTATTTTTTCCGGAACCACCAATATCAACACATATAAATTTATAGTCCGGGCCAACAATGGCCATAAGTACTATTGAATATTTATGTAAATAGCACCAGTAATTGGAGCCACTGTTGTTAGGTCTCTTGATTGTTACATGTTTACCGTCCACGCTGCCAATGCAATTGGGAAATCCCCATCTATTTTCAAATTCTTCAGCACATTTTTTCCATATATTCTCTGTTGGTTCTGGTAAATATATATGCTCCATATGTCTGCATATCGGTTACGATTGCACTCACTGTTGTAAAGCCAACTCGAAAGCTATGCCCAATGGTATAGAAGGTGTCACCAGTGGCAAGGAATCTATAAAAAAAATCGTTCTTAGGTGATGAAGTAAAAAAAAAGGTGGAAGAATATCAGAGACACATTTGCAAAATATATAAAATCTACCAAACCAAAGACCGGCCAAGCAGTGGGCAACATAAAGAAATGGCAGTGGGCTGACTACATGGAATTTTTCCGTCCTTTTTTGGCATTTGCCAAAACGTCGTCTAATGTGAAAGATATTGACGTCATACATTATGAGACTGCCGAATTTAACTCAAATATATATCAGGAAAGGGCTGGAAATGTAGAAACCGAAAATTTGGAAGACCGCGGCCATGGAGAAGATGAAAATGCTGATGTAGATGCAGGAGATGCACAGAACGCCTCGGCAACACAGACAGCACCACCTTCTTCATTGAACACTACAGCAGTGACTACTCCAGGGCACACCTTTCCGCAGACTGCAACTACACCAAAATATAAAACGAGCAGAAAACGCTATGAACCACCATCTTCGTCTGTACAACAGCTCATTGATTATTTTGAAGGTAAAAAACCTAGAGAACGAGGCCATTGATTCACTTTTCTTGGCACATGCACAGACTGTGAAAACACTTCCCTTAAAGCGTCAAGCCCGAATAAAACTAAAAATAGCCGAATTAATAGCGCACGAAGAATTTGAACATATTGAAGAAATGTCTTCAGCGTCTACCCAGAATTCTGCAAGTATGTATGATAGTAGTATGTCGTCCTTCCCAAGCGGCACTGGGTTTACTCCAATAATATACCCAACAGAGGAGGCAAATTCTGCCTCGAATTATTTAGCAACATTTAATCCTAGTGGCAACATGTAGTCCAATTATTACAATAAAATATTTATTTCACGATCCCTGAAGTTTTCGTATTCGATAAGCCTACTAATTTTAATACATATAATTTTTTTACCTGAGTGTAATAGCAAGTCGTTCTTCTGGCGAAATAGCTTCACGATAATTTGTGTCAGATTTTCGTATTTCATCTTTCACCAAGTTCAATATTTCATCGAAACACTTTGGAGTCATTCTAAAATATACGTAAAAGCGCTGTTCATCCAGCCGAAGTTGTGGCATCAAGGTATGGTATTCCCCAAATTTATTTCGTTCCAAGTTAATATCATGTACCCACTTCCTTCGTTTCCTAAACAAAATTGAAAATATTTGTTTTATGTACTTCGTTAAACTTAATACATACCCAACTATCAAATGGCGTTAAATAAACATAACTTACCGTGCATTTTGTTCCTCTTCTAAAGCAAGAAGTAGAAGTGCCTCCTCTTCTTCTGAAGACGAGCTCATTGCAAAAGGCAAAAATAAAATGTACGCAACCTGTCGAAACCTTCACGTTCGCGGAGCGAATAAGACGCTTTGGTATGAATAAACAGGCGAAACAGATTGCGAATTTCGCTCTGAATTTCGTTGCGAATACTTCGCCGCGATTGTTTCGCGCCGGTTTGTGGGATGCTTTATTTTGTGATTTGATTTAAAAATTGTGAACTTGGGCCAGTTTATGGCCTCCTTGATTTTCATAGTTTCCTAATTTTCCGTGTCAGCGCTCTATTTTGAGGTTATGTCACAAATATCTATTTGCATCAAATTGTTCATGCTTTTTATTTATATCATGTTTTATCAGCCTGAAATTTCCTACAATTCAAAAAGAAAACATAACGCTGACGCTGACACGGAACAGGTGCAATCTAGAAATTTTTGAAGGAGAGAAAAGACTATGACAATCAAGTAGGACAGAAAAGCGTTCTACAATTGTAGGAACGACTGACGATACGGCGCTTAGTGGTTGTTTAGAAGTTATTTTTAATACTATAAAGTAAAAAATGTGTGATTCCGAGTTTTCTTTGACTCCACCGGAATTAGTAGAAGTAGCCAAAATAGCGTCACAAAAATTATTACCAGCTAAATCGCGGAAAATCTATGAAACAAAATCCGGGAAAAAAGGATTAATTTTTTTCCCGAGGAAAAAATAATTTCATAAAAAGTGACATTTTGTTACCTGTCAACAGAGATAAAATGTCAAACTTTTTTCCCGTCTCAGAAAAAAAGGTACTGTTTGCCTTATTTGGAAAAGCGACCGCATTTTTTGAACTGCTAATGAGAAAGGTAATGTTTTTAGGTTTTTTACACCTCAATGTACCCCTAGTAACCCTACATGATGGTACGGTTTCTCCAGCCCGATTGGTCAAAATTTGAAAGAAATAAAAGAAGCAAAATTTTTGTAACAAAACATCCTGTAATCTGATAAAAATGGAGAACCTTTTTGTTCTTTTGTTGTAACTTTTAGATATCTGTACCACCTTCAATACGGAAATACAAACTGTCAAAAATCATTGAAAAATTTGGATTTTTTCTTGCTTTTTTAATTTTTTTGTGCGGTGTATAAGTTTTGTGCATTTTTTGAATCTCACAGCCTGAAAAAGAAATGACGAGAACAGCGTCTACGAGGGATGTCTTTTAAGTTTTGCATATGGAAATAAAACAACACGGTAGGTAGTTTTAAATGACTTTATTGTTTTTCAAAGTATTCTCCACGAAGATTAATACACATCTGCATGCGCTGGAACCAATTTTCGAAGCACTTATTCCACTCGTTTGCTGGCAGATCCAAAACGGCATTTTTGAATGCGTCAACTGCTTCTTCTGGTGACTGGAACCATTGACCACGCAGTCTGTTTTTAATTTTCGGGAAAGTAAAGAAATCGTTAGGACAGATCGGGACTATATGGAGGATGGTCCAATAATTCCACGTTTTCTTCCGTTAAATATTGCCTTGTTTTTTGGGCTGTGTGCGAGCTTGCATTGTGTTGGTGGAGGATGATTCTTCTTTCGGGGTTGATTTTTCGAAGCTCGGTGATGACTTTTGGCAAAAAATGGTGGTATACCAACCCGCAGTAACAGTTCTTTGCTCATTAAGAGGAATTGTTGCGATATGACCCGCTTTTGACACAAATGTCGCGACCATCTTTTCCGAAACACTTCGAGAACGGATGACTTTTGTTGGCTTTTCTTTATTTATTTATTTATTTATTTATTTCCAACAGGTGAAACCCAATTACAGGAAACGCTGAAAAAAATAACAATTAAAGAGACATGGTTCTTGGACTTAAATCTATAGTATCACACATTCTAAATAAAATTGCATGATCTATACCAGTTAATAATCGATGCACAACTGTCACTGTAAATGTCACACGATTCAGTAACACTGTTCATGACGCAGCACATGAGATTAATTGGCGATTTTGTCATAACATTTGTACGGGCAGTTTGACAATAGAATGCCGTTTGTTGTCGACTCCCTAGCCTTGGAACGCGGAAACATATTTTTTCAAGTAAATTTTGACAGTCAATTTTATTGTGAATGAGGCCATACAGAAACGACAAAGCAAATATGTTTCGTCTTGTTGACAGTGAATCCAAATTGAAAAACTCTAATAGGGCACTATGGTCACAACCTCTTTCTGGATAAGAACCTGTGCATTTAAGGTGAAAATACTTTAAAGCTTTACGTTGAATGGCCTCAAGCATCACGACAGAATTTTGGTATATAGGAGACCAGATCAGAGTCGCATACTCCAACTTGCTCCTGACAAAAGTAAAAAATAAAGTCATTAATGTATCAACATTGGAGAAACCCTTCCAGTTTCTGATACAGAAACCAAGTAGTCGAGTGGCAGCCGACGAGATATTGAGAATATGCTCAGTAAACGTTAGCTTGGTATCAAAAATAACTCCAAGGTCTCTATAAGAGGTGCATCTGTCTATAACCTGACCATTGATGTTATAATTATCATAAATTAAGTAGTTAACTTTTCTTGTATAAGTCATAACTTTACATTTCGAAACATTCAGACTGAGACAGTTTCATGAACACCATGACGAAATTAGAGCTAAGTCATCTTGCAACATGACGCAATCCTCGACTGTCTTGACTGACGTGCAGATTTTAAGGTCATCGGCGAAAAACAATTGGAAACACTTCAGTTCAAAAGACAAGTCATTAATAAATATTAAAAACAATAATGGACCTAGATTTGACCCTTGAGGTACCCCAGACGTGGCCCGATAGTAACTTGACCTATGGCCACCATATTCGACAAATAACCTTCTATCCCTCAAATATGAATTCATGAGTGACAGCATTGCATCAGACATACCCACTGTTTTAAGCTTATCCAAAAGTGCATAATGATCAACTTGATCAAACGCCTTCTGAATATCTGTGTAGATGACATCAACTTGTCCCTAACCGTCCAGTACTTCAGAAATGTACTGAGTAATTAGAGCCAAGCTGGTGACCGTAGATCTGCCTCTCATAAACCCATGCTGGTTAATAGAGACTGCACCCCTGACCGAGCAGTAAACCGTTTCATAAGCGATGATCTCAAACAACTTGCTGAAATTGCACAGGATTGCTATTTGGCGATAGTTGGAAATATCAGAGATATCTCCACTTTTGTGAACAGGACATATTTTAGAGGTCTTCCAGATATTTGGATATGTCTCTGATTTTAGAATTACTTTGAATATGGAAGCCAGCGGTTTCGCTAGTATATGAATGCAATCTTTAACGAAAAAACTTGGAATACCATCACATCCAGACGTCATTTTGTTCTTTAATCTTTTCGAAGCCCTAATTACGTTTTCTTCACTTATATTTTTTAAAGAAATGATGTCGGTAGAATTATTTGTTGGAGGAGATGACCCTAGTAGACCAGACGAGATAAAAACTGTTGAAAAGAAGGTAGCAAAACTGTCCACTATATCCTGAGGCGTATCGCAGACATTGCCGTTAAGCGTCATCCTTGGGGGGATTCTAGATTGCTGTTTTTTGATCTGGGCAAATGACCAGAATTTGCTAGGATCATTGACAATGGCATCCTCAACCGATTGGACGTAAGCGGAGTAGGCAACACTGATCTGGTTCTTAATGAGCTTCCTAAAATTACTGAACTGATCATAAGAAAACTTGGTACCGTCACGTTTCCAGTTCCTTCTTGCTATGTCCTTCTTCTTGATATTAAGTATAATTTCACGTGTGAACCATGGGGGATACGAAAACATCTTATTTTTACATTTAGGGACATGGACCTCAAAGATGTTATTATATCTTATATCTTATATCTTCACCTTGGAACGCCCAAACAGCCGACTGTCGTTTATTTTCTGGTTCATAACAGTAAATCCACGATTCATCACCACTAACAATGCTGTACACATTTTTTGAGTTTCCGGTATTGAAACGATCCAGCGTTTTTTGACACCAATTAACCCTGGATGCTTTCTGCTCTTCAGTCAACAGGTGGGGTAGAAAGTAATTCTCTTACTCCTAATTTTTCAAGTAACTTTTTTTTAATTGAGGTCTTTGAGATCTTCAAGGACGCCTCAATCTCGCGATATGTCACATGTCTATCTTCAATGATGAGTTTGCGCAGAGCATCGTCGTTTTCCTGGGTCACTGCCGTTTTTGGTGCACCCACCCTGGGATCGTTGCTAAGACTCATCCGTCCACGTTTGAATTCTCCATATCAACGGGAAATTATCGACTGTTGAGACGCTTCGTTGCCGAAAACAGACAGTAGCTCAGCAAGGCATTCTCGTTGCGATAATTGTCTCTGAAAGTTGTAATAAGTTATGGCGCGAAAATGTTGTCGGTTGCGGTCCATTTTTCTAAAGACTTGATGACACTTAAAAATTCACTGTAGTGAGAACACTGCACGTATTGTTGTGAAACTTTGAGTTTAAGTTTGCTAAAGAGTGAGGTTAAGATTCAGGACTGACGTTTCTATATGCAAAACTTAAAAGACATCCCTCGTAGTAAAATGGTCGAGTGAGCTAAGATCCCTCAGCTCAAGCATTCCTGGACCTCCGCTTCTCCAAACTTAAGCGCTCATTTACTTGATTTTTCAGATACATCTTCATGCTCCCAAAGCTAACCGACGATGGTAACAGCATAGCTGTCATGAGAATCGCATCTGAAAATTCCAACATCCTCGAATTAGATCCGTACATGATCTTCGCCCATATGTACAACGTAGTAGAAGTTCGACTACATGAAGATGTCGCCTTGGGTGACATTTGCATCTACGACATGGCTTATTTTCCGATCCGGCAGATCGCCAGGTTGAATCCGGTGTTGATGAGAAAAGGAACCATTCCTTTAGAAGTATGTTATTGCTCAACTAGAATCAAGTTATGAATTCTTGGGATGTGGGCAAGATAAAATATTTATTAAAAATACGTTTCGGCGACTTGAACGGGGATCATGGAACAAAAATGTTCACACGAAGCCACTTGTACAGGATACGTATCAGATGTTGCATACAAAAGGGATGTTAGGGTATATCTGAATCTTGTTTTTTATTCATAACACTGGTACCTCTTCGTTTTTAACACGCTTTTATCAGCTTGGCCTGTATGTATGTATAGTTTATCTGAAGTCACTTGAAACACTGTGAAATACCGGGTGCGTTTTATATATCTATATTTAACACGCTCTGTTGCTGCAAAAATCGCCAAATTTCGTAGCAAATATCCCCCGTATAAGATCAAAGGCAGTTTCACCGGTCCCCGTGGAGTAAAGCACGCCTATGCGTGGACATAGCCAATGAGAAAGCGTGTATTTCGGAGCTCCTAACAAGTGCAGGTGGCTACTGAAAATTGAAACAGTTTAGCCAGTGCCGTGTAGCGGTGAATAAACGTGTTTTCTTTAGTCTGTCCGTGTTTTTTCATAGATTTTATTAGTTAGTGTGTTTTTGACTTTTGAATACTCAGTTTACTTGTTGATTTAATTGTTGTGTTGATTGTTCTTGTGTGTCCTAAATATGGCTCTTTGGAGACCTTGGGAAAATGCTCCATGCCACGAGGAGATGGTTGATGAACCTGTGCAGGCAGAAATCTTTCATAAAGATTTAGAGGAACAGACCCAAAGAGTAATCCTAAATATGTATGATTGTCTGAAAAACGAAAATCCAGATTCCTCGCAAAATCAAATTTTAAACAGAATTTGTATCCTGACAAAAATCAGTCGGTCTACCATTTATCGGGTTATAAAAAGGGGAGATGTAGTCAACCATTCCTTCCACAGAAAGCGCATAGGGCAAAAATTAAAAAGAATAGACGTGGGTTTTCAGGAAGATATTCGTCGTATAATATACGGATTTTATAAAGAAAATTTGGTGCCCACGTTGGAAATGATACGGGATAAATTAAAAGTTTATCCTGAAGATTTTTATAATTACAAATGCTTAGACTCACTGCACTGTATTGTAAAACTGTGTGGTTTTCAATACAAAAAATTAGATAAAAGAATGGTGATTATGGAGTCGTCTCGAATCTTTGAATTGCGCCAAGAATTTTTGCACAAAGTTAAAATCTATAGAGAGCAGAAAAGAAATCTGATTTACCTGGATGAAACGTGGTATGATACCCATGATGTTATGCAGTACGGCTGGGTTGACGACAGCAACAAGTGCATTTTAAATGCACCATGCAACCGTGGAAAACGAATCATTATTCTCCATGCTGGCAGTGAAAATGGATTTATACCTAATGCCTTGCTGTTATCTACCAAAAATATCAAAGAATCATGTGCCGACTATAATGAGGACATGACCTCCGACTTATTTGAAAAGTGGATAGAGCAGCAGTTAATACCAAACATTTCCCCAAATTCAGTGATTATTATGGACAATGCGCCATACCATTCCCGACAGAAAAACAAAATGCCGAATACAGGCACAAAAAAACAAGACATTATTGATTTTATGAAGGATAAGGGAATGGAAATACCACAAAAATCAACCAAAGCCATATTATTGGATCTTATTAAAAGACAAAAATTTGAAAAAAGAGTATGTTGTTGACAATCTGCTTCAGCAAAATGGCCATGAAGTATTACGTCTACCTCCCTATTACTGCATTTTTAACCCGATTGAGTTGGTCTGGGCTGCTTTAAAAAAAAAGTAAGAAAACATAATCAGACCCCTCAATTAAGTGAATCGCTATTGGCCACAATAAGAGATGCAGTATCTCATATTGCTGCCACAGACTTATGGAAGCAGTGTTCTAGGCATATTATTGAAAAAGAAAATGAATATTGTGTTTTGCCTCCTGTAAATCCCGTTGTAATTCCTCTACAAGATGACTCTAGCGACAGCTCCGAAGGCGAGGATGATATATAAATACCTATAATGTAAGTCTTTATATACCTTTTTATATACCTACCTGCTATGTAAATATTTGCCTATGTCAAACGTTGGAATTCTGTAATTTTTCCATTTCTTAACTTTCAGTCAACATAAATTAAACTCCCAATATAAGTATGTTTTATCCCAAATCAAAAAAATAAGAAGATAGTAAAATCCATTTATTGTGATATAAAAACATTATTATTATCGTTCTAAATAAATGACCGCACGCCTATGATACGTCATGAAATTACAAAGGACGCGCCGACCAAAGGTTTTTATGCTATTTCAAGTGACTTCAGATATACCATACATTCAAATCCTTGTGGAGAATGCGGAGCAAACTGGTTCTCGAAATGCCCAGTTCTTGGGATCGACGCGTTGTTGATTGTTTCGGATCGTCTCTCACACTCTCCTTCACAACAGCAATATTTTCCGGTGTGCGAACGCTCCTTGGCCGGCCAGAGCCTGGCAGATTTGCCACAGAACCTGTTGCCTCGAATTTACGCACCAGACGACCGATGGTTGTTTCGTTTGGGCGGTTGTTGCGACCGAAATGTTCACGAAGCGCGCGAAACGTGTTTTTATTTTTGCACCATTTTTGTAGTGCTCTTGAATAACTTTAATGCGGTCTTCAATCGAATACGACTCCATAGCGATCAATGGTAAACATTCAACTAACAAAATGACATGTCGGTGACAGAAAACAAAGATGGCGTCTATGTCAAATTGACGTTTACTTTCCTGCGTCCCTATTGGACAACTCTAAAAGAACAAAGAAGTTTCAAATGAAAGCCTTCTTCGAGAGGTCTCTTTTGTGATTTCAAAAGAAAGAAGTCTGGGAAAATGTTTATAAGAACTTGTTACAAATAACTTTTTAGTATTTGATATGGCATACACATAATAACAAACGCATCGAGTATTTGATATTTTTTCAAATTTCAGAAAATATATAGCTCCAGAGTAAAAGCAATCCACATCCTACATGCACCAGGATATGCGGAACCTCTGATAAAATTGATAAGGCAACTATTGAATCCAAAGTTGGCAGAAAGAGTAAGTGATATCCCATGAGATGCTAATTGCAATACCGATGTGTAATATTTTTAGATTCACATTCATGATTCGGTAGATGGTCTTAAGAAATTTTTGCCGAATAACGTCTTACCAAAGGATTATGGAGGTGACTTACCACCTCTACAAGAAATCAATGGTGGGTATGAATGTTGCCAGTTTTTTTTTTCATTGCTTAACTGCAGGGGTATTGCGTATCTTGAAAAGTGACATATGTATAGGTTATTGTGACATTATGTAGGTTTTTCTACAAGATGTCAACTTGGCATTACCTGTTGTGCACTTGATCTGTACTCGTTCATCCGTCAAGTAAAAAATACAAATCAGCGGCTAGATGTGAGGCATAGCGAAAATGTTTTGTATGTGATGCGTCATTCCTAATTCTGTGATGTGGCTGGATTACATACCAACGCGGGTGTGGTACTGTTTCAAAGTTTTGAGAACGCAACAAAAGATGAGGAAACTTGTCATATATAAGTTTGAACATAACCTCTCTTCAGAAAGCACAACACAAATAACCCGTCTGGCACAGCTAATAGATTTATTTCATGGGCAGCATAATCAGTAATAGTTTTATCACATAGCAAATATCACTGATTTTATACATATGCAGACCAATACTCAAAATCATCCGGATGTGATCTTGCTAGTCAACCACACATCTTCTCAGACCATCCCAGTATTCTGCAACCAACAAAGCATGACGAGGGACTGATTTACAGTTTGCAGCATGGTCATTGGGCGTGTCGTTCAGTCATTCCTCCATAGATGGCGCTTTTGATGACGTTCACAGCGCCCATAGCGAGCAAACGCGGAATGTACTATTTGTTGACATTTTGTCGGCTTCTTTTTTGACGTTTTACATGTTTTTTTTACGTAATAATCTTGCGGTTCTTTTCTGTAACCTTTCCATGCGAAAATAGCGCGTTCCATCACTGTAACGTACCGTAGTATAACTAAGTGACATATAAAATGCAACACCCAGAATTATTTATCGAATTTTGATGAAAACTTGTTAACATATTTGCTAGCATGGGACATCTCTGCTATTCTGCGAAATTTCGAGTTAAAATTTTAATCTCTTTCTATTTATCAGAAGACTTAAAACAGCATGCTAGTCGGTATTGCATTTTCTATCTCATTTACTAATTTATCGACGATACTCGAATCTACAACCAGTGATCCACATCGACGAATTTTGAATTTTTGCACAGACACAATGAATGTGACAGCGATTAGAAAAATAGTAGCAGAAAAATCTGCCATTCTAATGTTTATCATTTTTTTTAGAATCTTGGATGAAAGCCTTTGAAAAGTACTCGGATAGGTTTGATACGATTGCAAAACTGAAGGTTAACGAGCAACTGAGGCCTGAACCGCTAGTAAACGACGACATACTGGGCGTGTATGGCAATTTCAAGAAACTGAACGTCGACTGAATGGAACAAAACCAATTTGTATGAAAATATATACATCTAGCAAATTAGACAGACTTTAATGTTCGTTATACTCAACATCCTTACTCTCCTGCGGTCATGCAGGATGCAACATTTGAAACAAGTGTGTAACCGAGTATTCGGAGACACGTTACACTTTGTTATCGTTTGTTACATATAGTCGAAATCACGATTACGTCATCATTTTAGTATGTAGTAAAGACTAACGACAGCGATATGTGAATATTTTTAATGAAGTTTCAGATATGTTAGACAGAGACAAACATAATTTTATTGTCTAAACAAACTGTATTGCTAAGTCGCAGGTATCCGATAAAGATAGACGATGTTTTCATGTTGCATGATCGATCATATTTGAAAGATGAATAGTTAGGTTATGTTAAAGCAAGTTAGGTTGTTTCCGAATAATACTTTGGTCTTTGGTGTTCTTGTCTTAAGGTATTCTATACCTAACTGTCTTTTTTCAAAACAAAAATTACACTGATCAACAGCCAAAAAATATCCTAAATAAAATCAACAAAATATTACTATTTTTAATGTGCTAAAACCGGAATGAAACTTATTTTTTCAATATTAGTTCAAGTTTTAGAGATACGGTAATTATATGTGTTCCTGCTGTGACAGTGTTAATATACTGTAATTCACAAGAATGCACGTGCTACATTTTTATATTCGGCAAGGAAAGATGATGTAATCGGCATGATTGTGTTACGTTATACATACGTGTACATTATATTGTTTTATATTAGCCATTTTTTCCTCAGTTGGCTGACAGCGTTCATGCAAGATGTCTCGAAAGTGTGTAAACAATCCAGATCAGTTTTGTTACGTGTGTGGTGATGTGACTTTTGCGTCTCAGAGACGGTCTATTACTCCACTAATAACAAAGGCATATCAGCTTTATTTCGGTTGAAAACTAGGTGATCAAGACAAACAGTGGGCACCCCACATCTGCTGTAATACATGTGCTTCAAGTCTGAGGAGCTGGTTAAATGGCAAAAAACGGTCTATGCGCTTTGCTGTCCCAATGGTTTGGAGAGAGCCTACAAATCATATTAATGATTGTTACTTTTGCATGGTACCTTGTGTTGGACAAGCCACAGGTATGTCCAAGAAAAAAAAAATCGGTTATTAACTACCCAAACATACCATCTGCGATGAGACCTGTGCCTCACAGTGACGAAAATCCTATTCCAAAACCCCCAGAATGCTACACTTGCGAATCAGAAAACGAATCAGATCATGGCGATCGAGTGATTCGTCAGGAAGAAGATATGCCATCAACGTCAAGAGATCCTGATTTTATACCGAGCACGTCATGCCACCAACCGCACAAAATAACACAGTCAGAATTAAATGATCTTGTAAGAGATTTAGAACTTCCAAAATGTAAGGCAGAGTTACTTGGATCAAGACTGCAGCAGTGGAACTTGTTAGAAGACTATGTTTCGGTATGTATTTTTCGTAAACGCCACAAAGACTTAAAACCATTTTTCAATATGGAGAATAACTTGGTTTTCTGCAGTAACATTAACGGCTTACTGGCGGCTTTAAATATAAACTAAAACCCAGAAGAATGGAGATTGTTTATTGACAGTTTAACATTGAGTTTAAAGGCAGTGTTATTGCATATTGGAAATATTTTACCATCTCTTCCTGTAGGGTATGCCGTTCACATGAAAGAATCATATGACAATATGAAGTACCTATTGACATGCATAAAATACGATGAGCACCAATGGCATATTTGTGGCGATTTGAAAGTTGTTGCACTTTTACTTGGGCTGCAGCTAGGCTACACAAAGTTTTGCTGTTTTTTGTGTGAATGGGACAGTCGGGCAAAGGCACTTCATTACACCAGACAAAGCTAGCCTGTTCGTCAATTCCTAGAGCCAGGTCAAAAAAAATGTACATCATATGCCATTAGTAGATTCGAAAAAAAATGTATTACCACCACTGCATATCAAGTTGGGCCTAATGAAAAACTTTGTCAAGGCATTAGATAGAAATGGGTCAGTTTTTCAATACCTGCGTCAGAAATTTCCAAGACTAAGCGAGGCAAAGGTTAAAGAAGGTATTTTTGTTGGGCCACAGATTCGAAATATTTTGAAAGATACACAGTTTGAAAACACTTTAACAGGTATTGAAAAAACTGCTTGGAATGATTTCCGTCTGGTGGTCACTAATTTCTTGGGAAATAGAAAAGCTGACAACTATAAAACCCTTGTCAAAAATATGCTGTCATCGTATCAAAAGATGGGCTGTAGTATGTTATGTCTCTTAAGATACATTTCCTACACTCACACCTGGACTTTTTCCTGACAATTGCGGAGCCGTAAGTGATGAGCATGGCGAACGTTTTCATCAGGATATTTCAACAATGGAAAAAAGGTACCAGGGAAAGTGGAATCCTTCCATGCTTGCAGACTACTGTTGGACTCTTGGTAGAGATACTCCAGAAACGATCTATAAAAGAACAGCAAAAGGATAACGCATATAGTGATTCTTATAAGTATATGAATCTTGTTACTTTTTTTAATATATCCTTAAAAATAAAATTTTTTTTTTCTAAACCGCAACCAATTTTTTTATTTCATTGTCATTTTTGGATTCAGCGCCCCAAAATTAACAAAGAAGTGCACTTTTCCCACAAGATACAATTAAAAAACTAAAATTTGTTGTCCAGTGATTATTAAGGTATCACTCCAAACCATCGTGATTTTATCATCGACGTACGTCCATTGATTACGTCAGTACAATTTATGGTATGACGTAATAGTCATCTTCGTGATTTTGACTATACAGCAGCGTTGAAAACAAAATTCCAAACTACGTATCGCCAACTATATCCTTTGTTATATAGATCCTCCAAATTAAGCTTGATAAACGGTCCGATAAGAAAAACGAAACTTTTGGAAAAGTGGCGATTTATTTTTCAACTAGTCTTCTTTTAGTCCGATCCCCTTGACACAGAACAGGTCTAGAAAGTAGGCCTCCGTGGCGGCGATAACCTCGTAATTCGACTCAAATTTCTGCCCGGCAAGTGACTTTTTCAAGTTTAGAAACAAAAAGAAGTCCCAGGTGTGTCCTAACACTTTTGTCACAAAATATGTATTGAATTTATCTTAATGCAGAAATCTATTTAAACACTAACTAGTTATCATAAATTTCAATTCAATACTTAGGTAAACTACACTATCGAGATATGTGGAGTGGCCCATTCTGTTCTACCAGACGCTTCGAATGTTTCTCATAAGGTCCAGTGCCCCTATTCATGAGATTAATAGAAAACCACACTCCCTCTTTTTTCTAATTCCCCGGTTTTCTATCAATTTGAAAATACTGTAATCTTGAAAGGACTCGATAGAAAGGAGAAAGGAAATCAAGACACAGGGTTGCCAGGTTTGGGTAAACGTGTTAAACCAATCAAAATAGAGATAATTTTGACAGCCAAAACCTAACCAAAAATTTTGGACAAGATTTCCTCATTATTTTATCTATAGAGCCGAAAACTTTGTAAAAGCACATTACAAATGAACAAAAGGACAAAATGATTGAATTTCTCCGAGAGCAGCCCCAAATGCTCCAAGGAAAATTCAATCATAGATTAAAGGATACTGTTTTTTAATGACCAAAACTTAGTATCTACTCTTGCCTTTGTTTTGATCGAAAGTGTAGAAGCTCGTGGAGGTGATTGTATGAAAGGAGTCAATATCTCCAGCAATTCATAAACCAAATCTTTTGTCAACCTAAACATCTGTACAAGTTTTCGATCCGAAATTATGAGGGGATCTCGGTGCCCAAGTATATCGCAACCAATCTCCAGTTCCTCAACTGCCTCCTCTACATCCTCGTTAATAGTATAGTTTCAATGCATCAACTGACTGAAATTAAACATTTTTTTGCAAAATGTTTAGCAGGAACGACAATAACAATGCCAAACACGTCAATTTTTCTACTATTTTTTCCAGTTTCTTTTGGTCGGTACCAAGAGAAATCGCGACTCCCTAAAGTGAATTCATTTCTATCACTTTTCGGTAGAACTGATTTCAAGAATACTGCATTTCTTGGCCACACCCACTTTTAGCCACTTTCTCTCACAATTTCTACTCCCTCAAACTCAAGAATAGAGGTCCTGGACGGGATTCAGATCAATTTCTCTCAGTTTTTCGTAAATTCGCCTCCTTCAAGCAAACTAAAGCAATTTGGAAAGGCAGTTATCAATATAGCTCTAACTATTGTGACGTTGGCGCTATCTGTTGGGAGACTCTCCTACTCGCCAGACCTTCATGGCCGACCACGACCGCACAAGCCGCTTGGCGACATCTGTTCAGGACCGTACCAGTGACACGCCTTCTAGATCGACGCGAAGTGACCTCGAATATTCTAGATGCCGCTTTGTGGCTCGCCAGACCTTTCTCGAATCAGCGATGGGGACTATATAGTTCGGCGGCCGGGAGATGGAAGCAGAGTACAGAGTACGGTAGAGTAAAGCGGAGTGGAGTATAGTCCAGTCTATGGCGCGACATAAGAATTAGTCAGACATAAATAGTGGTGGACATAAATGTTCTATCTAGTCAAGATAAATAAATTATTGCATTTCTTTTTGTGGAATCCAGTGTTTTAATCCACACCCAAAAGAACCCAGAAAAACGCAACACTTCAACCCTAAAGGATTTTATCTTCAATAATGTCGCTTTATGTTTGTATCTAACATTCGTAGGTCATGCCTCTACGTTGTCCGTATAAAATCCGTCGTTTCCCTTCATTTCCGAATTATTCAAAGTGAAATACTTTTCGACATCTAAAATAATGATTTTTTCCATTGGCAAAGTGTGCCCGCCTCCAATGACGACAGCATTGTGGTATACGGAGGAGTTGCGCCTGAGAATATTTGGGGCACTTAAGTCTCTTACGATATTTAAGACCATTCCTCATCAATTCCTTGTTGACATTCCAACATGATTTTTTGCCGTTCTTACCAATCTGGCTGACCTCTGTGCAGTAAATGCACGTGATCTTCCATTTTTTGGGAGATTCAGGCATGGTATTCCCTGCTCGCATGTTTTTATTATGGAACATTCGACAGATTTCAGCTTTGGGTACCCACCCAACCAACTTGTTGAAACTTTTTCTTATTTCTAATTTATACATCTTAAACCGAAAACTTCAAAATAAATAGATGTCAACTGACAGTAAAATTAGTAAACAAACTTTTGTTTCTAAAGGCGACTTGATATTATTGTGACAAGAATAAATAGTACCGTTGGCGCCATCTGTTGGGAGACTCTCCTACTCGCCAGAGCTGCATGGCCGATCTCTGTTTTTACGCGGATCACGACCGCACATGCCGCTTGCCGACATCTGTGGGGACCGTACCAGTGACTCGCCTTCTAGATCGACGCGAATCGACATCGACGATTCTGGAAGGCCGCTATGTGGCTCCCGGGATTCTTCTCGAATCAACGATGCGGACTACATAACTCGACGGCCGGTAGAGGGAAGCAGAGTACAGTAGAATAGAGCAGAGTGGAGTATAGTTCAGTCGATGACGCGGCATAAGAATTAGACATAAATAGTGGTGTACATAAATGTTCTATCCACACCCAAAAGAACCCAGAAAAACGTTACACTATTTAAAGCTGCACCCCTCACTCTTCCTACAAAAGGTTGGGATAAACCCTGTTAGAAATTGCGCACCCGACAAGGATCTTATCTTCAATAATGTCGCTTTATGTTTGTATCTAACATTGTTAGGGCATGCCTCTACGTTATCCGTATAAAATCCGTCGTTTCCCTTCATTTCAGAATTACTCAAAGTGAAATACTTTGCGCCTTTGGGGCACTTAAGTCTCTTACGATATTTAAAACCATTCCTCAATTCCTTGTTGACATTCCAATATGATTTTTTGCTCTTCTCACCAATCTGGCTGACCTCTGAGCAGTAAATGCATGTGGTCTTCCACTTTTTTGGAGATTCAGGCATGATATTCCCTTCTAGCATATTTTATTCTGGAACATTCGACAGATTTCAGCATTGGGTACCCACCGAACCAACTTGTTGAAACTTTTTCTTATTTCTAATTTATACATCTTAAACCGAAAACCTCAAAATAAATAGATGTCAACTGACAGTAAAATTAGTAAACAAACTTTTGTTTCCAAAGGCAACTTGATATTATTGTGACAAGAATAAATAGTACCGTTGGCGCCTTCTGCTGGGAGACTCTCCTACTCGCCAGAGCTGCATGGCCGATCTCTGTTTTTACGCGGATCACGATCGCACATGCCGCTTGGCGACATCTGTGAGGACCGTACCAGTGACTCGCTTTCTAGATCGACGCGAAGCGACCTCGACGATTCTGGAAGGGAGCTATGTGGCTCCCGGGATTCTTCTCGAATCAACGATGCGGACTACATAACTCGACGGCCGGTAGAGGGAAGCAGAGTACAGTAGAATAGAGCAGAGTGGAGTATAGTTCAGTCGATGACGCGGCATAAGAATTAGACATAAATAGTGGTGTACATAAATGTTCTATCCACACCCAAAAGAACCCAGAAAAACGTTACACTATTTAAAGCTTCACCCCTCAGTCTTCCTACAAAAGGTTGGGATAAATCCTGTTAGAAATTGCGCACCCGACAAGGATCTTATCTTCAATAATGTCGCTTTATGTTTGTATCTAACATTGTTAGGGCATGCCTCTACGTTATTCGTATAAAATCCGTCGTTTCCCTTCATTTCAGAATTACTCAAAGTGAAATACTTTGCGCCTTTGGGGCACTTAAGTCTCTTACGATATTTAAAACCATTCCTCAATTCCTTGTTGACATTCCAACATGATTTTTTGCTCTTCTCACCAATCTGGCTGACCTCTGAGCAGTAAATGCATGTGGTCTTCCACTTTTTGGGAGATTCAGGCATGTTATTCCCTGCTAACATGTTTTTATTCTGGAACATTCGACAGATTTCACATTCTTATTTCTAATTTATACATCTTAAAGCGAAAACAAATAGATGTCTACTGACAGTAAAATTAGTACACAAACTTTTGTTTCTAAAGGCGACTTGATATTATTGTGACAAGAATAAAGAGTACCGTTGGCGCCATCTGTTGGGAGACTCTCCTACTCGCCAGAGCTGCATGGCCGATCTCTGTTTTTACGACATCTGTGAGGACCGTACTAGTGACTCGCCCTCTAGAACGACGCGAGGCGACCTCGACGATTCTGGAAGGCCGCTATGTGGCTCCCGAGATTCTTCTCGAATCAACGATGCGGACTAAATAACTCGACGGCCGGTAGAGGGAAGCAGAGTACAGTAGAATAGAGCAGAGTGGAGTATAGTTCAGTCAATGGCACGGCATAAGAATTAGATATAAATAGTGATGTATCCACACCCAAAAGAACCCAGAAAAACGTTACATTATTTTGTGTTTGTTAAAATTAAAGCCAATGAATTTTGTGCTAAAACTTTTAAGACATACGTTATAAGTAGTTTTTGAGAAAGTTAGATCATTCAAAATTTATGCTGCTTGCTTTCGCTGACTATTTATTTTCCATGTTAATCTAAACATCGTTCGAATAATCTGTAAAACAACCATTACAAATAACATTATACTATACATCTCTTTATTTTCCATTATGACCAGTGCTAATCATGAAACAAATATCGAATATGCCAAATATCCGTAACAACAGAAACTGTACTACTCCTAACATTATATAACTGCTTAGCATATTAACACGCAATACTGAAAAATGGCCAGCGTTGAAGAGAGTAAGGAAAAGATTTTGCAAATAGCCTTAAAAGATTTAGGGCGCAGTGAAAATGACCTACAAGCCGAATTAGATTCGTTGAAGGAGTGGTTCAAAACTCAAAAGCACTTGCCCGAGATACCTGGTAAGTAAAAAGATGAAGCCAAGTAGAACTAAAAACGTATTAAAGAATTTTTTCACTATGCCGTAAAGTAGTGTTGAAGTAATTACTGGAGAAACAAATCTAATTTTGTTGATTTGAGATCAGATTTATTTCATCACGCCGATTTGTTCCAGATGATCACATATTGATAAACCAAATTTTGTCAAACAAATTCCATATGGAAAAAACCAAGAAAAAAATTGACACTTACTACACGATTAGGTCGATATTGCCGGAAATATTTGAGAACAGCAACCCGAATCGACCAAGCATGAAGAGCGTCCTCAAACAAATGTAAGTAAAACATTCTGTTTTTACATTCTACAGAGAAATCCAAATATTACCTACGAGACAGTGATGTGCGCATTGTATAGACCATGTATACTAAGTGACATATAAATCCGAATACCCAGTTTAAATGGTTTTATTTTAATAAAAGTTGGTGAATGTATTTATCTTACTGTAAATAACAAGTGAAAAAATTTTCAACCTTATCAGTTGGTCATTCCGGTTTTTATACTGCTTTTTTTTAATTCACTAACGCTCTAAAAATGAATATTTCAGCAGCAGTAAAGAATTAACGTTGGCGGATTTTGGTTCTTGACATCCTTTACGATCGGTTACGATGCCTAGAGTACGGAGACCTGTACGATTTCGTCAACTTAGTGAGTTTGATAGGGGCCGTATAGTGGGACTTCGGGAAGCTGGACTTTCTTTTCGGGCAATTGCAGTTAGAGTGCAAAGAAGTGTAGACACTGTGGTTAGGTGTTGTCAGGCATGGCTTCGAGAAGGCCGTACGCAAAGAGCAAGGGACAGTGGACGCCGCCGTAGAACAACAGACCGTGAAGATCGCCGCCTAAGATTATTGGCCTTAAGGGACCGTTTCTCCACTACCAGGTCCATTGCAAATGAATGGTTTGCAGAACACGGAAGACCTATTGGCATGCGAAGTGTTTACCGACGAATGAGAAGTTTTGGCTTGTTTTCATACCGGCCACACTGGGTCCTCCCTTTAACTCGAGAACACCGACGTAACCGCCTTGAGTGGTGCAGACAACGGTCACTCTGGGATCAGGAATGGAACAGTATTGTCTTTAGTGACGAGTCTCGATTTTGTTTAGGCATGCACGATGGTCGTGCCAGGGTTAGAAGGCGACGTGGTGAAAGGAGGAATCCACAGTTTTTTGTTGAAAGACATGTTCATCACACTGTTGGAGTTATGGTTTGAGGTGCTATAGCTTATGGTTCCAGGTCACCTTTAATCTTCATCAGAGTCAACATGAACGCGCAGCGTTATATCCACGAGGTTCTAGAACCCCATCTTTTACCCTATCTTGACACCCTGGCAGATCCAACTTTCCAACAAGATAATGCCCGACCACATGTTGCAAGAGTCACAATAGACTTCTTTCAACATAATGATGTCACAATGTTACCATGGCCACCGAGATCTCCCGACTTATCCCCAATTGAGCACGTGTGGGATATGATGGGTAGGAGATTGCTCAATTTGCAACGTCCTCCTCAGACTCTAGAAGCACTTCGAGAGGAGTTGGTGGTTGCCTGGAATGAGATACCACAGGAGGACATTGACCACCTGATCAGAAGCATGCCTAGGCGCGTTGGAGAATGCGTAGCACATCAGGGTGCATCCACACATTATTAAAAGTCAAAGGGCTTTAAAGCAGTGCAATCATTTTGAAATTTTTATCATTTACTTATTATGCTTCATTAAGTACTTATACAAAATTTTATTAAAATAAAACCATTTAAACTGGGTGTTCGGATTTATATGTCACTTAGTATATAATACACCATTGTATACGCGTATTCACGTCTAAAATGTATATAATGTATACAATAGCAAATCATTTTTTCCATGTGTACGAGGAGGAGACAGAGGAGGACAAGCGGGCACCACTTGTGTAGAAAGTGTGCGCCACACACCTAGGGATGGCAACGATACATCGATCTATCAAAAACATCGATAAATCCGACGTATAACATCGATGCTTGGGCATCGATGGTTTTATGTCGATATATCGATGTATCGACATCGAAAGGATCATAAACATCGGTATACCTCGAGTATATCCTGTGCTACCATCTCTAAGCGAGGACTGGTAGCTTCTAAATTGAAAGCCCAAAAAGCTGTTTAGTAGTAACTCTAATATTATCATTACAGCCGTGACATGGACTGTATGTAGTCTTCTCTTTATTCTGTACTTCCCCAAGGGATATAATAAAATAAACTGAAAACAGCGCATTTACGCATTTAATGATTTCAGGTCCTTTTGATTATTTTATTGTATGTAGTTGTAGTGTCGCTGTCAACTTGTGCAGTGTGAAGTATTTAATGATCATCAATGTGTTTTAATTTTTACAATCTCATATTTTGCAGTTTCCTATAATCATACTTTTTTACTGAAATATATTGCAGTCGGTATCCTTCTTTTATCCTACCGTGAAGTTAATGTCACATTTTTTATTCTTACTTAATGATTCTGACATCGAGAAAAAAACTCGGTGGGAATTCCACCAACGGATAAAATGACCATTCCGCTAAAACCGATAGCAGTCCATGAATTCGTTGCTGAATTGAAAGCAGAAAACGTTAAAAAGAAGAGTTGTTTCGATACATCGATGTATTCGTTCCGATGTATCGAGCTCCATCGAAGTTACGATGGCGATGTCCAAACATCGATCTTTTCTAACAAATTGCCATCCCTACACACACCACGTTGTCTGGCACAACAGTGATGAAGGCCACAGAACACAGCTGTAACTTGCTGCAACGCCTTGTTTTATACGCTCAAATACACATTTCTGTCGAATCTGTTTGGGATCAATTCCAGATCGATCTCAATCGTTCTCCGATTTTAGGTGGATTTGAATGTTCAGGATAGATACAAATTCTGCAACATTGCATTATCGGTTTGACTGTGGAAGCAGTTATAAATAATGAAAAGATATATAATATTTATTTATACAGGGTGTCCCAGAAGTCGACGTCAAGCCGAAACCGGGTGATAGGCAAAGTCATAACAGCTATCAGAAAAATATTTAAAAAAATTTTATGTATGTGTTTTGAAAATTATAGGTCTTTGAAAAAGATATAGAAATTTCATACCCTACGGCAGTCTGTCAACTCCTGTTACTACAAATATTAACTTTTTTTGGATTTTGACGTAACTCAGCTACATTTTGAATCGGCTTGAAATACACGTTTTCTTTTACAGTTCCCCAGTAAAAAAATCTAAAGGATTCAAATCAGATGATCGGGCTGGCCACGGTATTGTACCAGACCGCCTTATCCATCTGCCTGGAAAGTTTTGATCGAGATACTCTCTCACTGAGAGTGCATAGTGCGCTGGGCAGCCATCATGCTGAAACCACATGTCCCTGTAAATACTCAGTGGCACGTCCACCAATAAATTTTGTACATGATTTTTCAAAAAATCCAAATAAACTTCAGCAGTCACAGTCTCTGGGAACTCAAACGGACCGATTATTTTACCATTTAAAATTCCTGTCCAATGGTTTATCTTGAAGCGATATTGAGATTTATCTTCTCTCATCAAATGTGGGTTTGCGACGTGCCACTCGTGTAAGTTATGCAGGTTCATGTACCCATCTTTCCTAAATGTGGTCTCATCCGACCATAAAATTTTTTCAAAGAACTGTGGATCTTTCCTGTGTCTTTCTAACATTGTGCGACAAAAAGCAACTCGGGGCTCATAATCCCGGGGCAGGAGAGGTTGAACACGCTGTATGTGGTATGGATGAAGCACATCACTTACTAGCTATTGCACACTTTGATACCGATCAGTACTCCTTCGTTTACTGCGCATCTTTACATGTTCGTGCTTGTTTATTTCGTACTGTTACTAATTTTGGAATCGTGAACTGGACTGTTGATCGCTTGTGATTTGGATTTGGACTGTTTAATTGCTCTTCAAAACAACATTTGCTTTCCTTAGACTATCTTTGATAGTGTGATTGTGCAGTGCCGCTATGTCCGTGTACACCGTACAAGAGTATGCTAACATGCACCTCATTTATGGGGAAGGCAGATGCAACGCTACTGCTGCAGGGAGACTTTACTGTGAGAGGTACCCGAATGCAGCTCGTCATCCAGATCATCGAGTGTTCACAAATGTGCACCGCTTACTGTTCTCAGAGGGCCAACTACCAAACCAATCACACGGTGAGGGAAGATGTTTCCTTCCTTACGAAGACGTGGTGCTAGGAGCTGTCGAAGAAGACCCGAGTACTTAAGCGCGTGCAATAGATCTAAAAACAGGTGTGCCCAAAAGTACAGCCCATAGAATCTTGCAAAAAAACGTGCTCCATCCATACCACGTACAGCGTGTTCAAGCTCTTCTGCCCCGGGATTATGAGCCCCGAGTTGCTTTTTGTCGCAAAATGTTAGAAAGACACAGGGAAGATCCACGGTTCTTTGAAAAAATTGTATGGTCAGATGAGACCACATTTAAGAAAGATGGGTACATGAACCTGCATAACTTACACGAGTGGCACGTCGCAAACCCACATTTGATGAGAGAAGATAAATCTCAATATCGCTTCAAGATAAACCATTGGACAGGAATTTTAAATGGTAATAATGAACCACAAATGAACAACAAATGAACCCTAGTTCATCGATTTCTTTGTTCTTGGAGCTTCGAACCATATTTTTTTTAAGTTGTCGGTTCACTGTCTACCAACTTTCTGACGTTTGCGAATAAACCTAACCTCACTTATGCTATTCTATGCATTGTCTTCATCATTGTATTCATTGTCTACGCAATGCATACATTGTATTCATTGTATTGTTCTTTTGGGTGTGGATTAAAACACTGGATTCCACATAAAGAAACGCACTGATTTATTTAACTTGATAAAACATTTATATACACCACTAATTATGTCTGACTAATTCTTATGTCGCCATTGACTGCACTATACTCCACTCCGCTCTGCTACTCTACCGTATTCAGTACTCTGCCTCCATCTCCCGGCCGCCGTGTTATATATAGTCCCAATTGCTGCTCCGAGAAAGGCCGGGTGTACCACAAAGCGACATCTAGAATATTGGAGATCACTCGCGTCGATCTAGAAGGCGATCCACTGTCACTGGCGAGTAGGAGACTCGCCCAACAGATGGCGCTATTTGTCACAGTATACACGTAAACGCCCATCACTGCTACGAGATAATGAGTACGACAGAGAAGCACGAGAAGCCTGCAATTTGTATGTTGGAAACAGAGATAAATCCTGGAAACAGTGAACCGATGGCACCTGCGTCTGTAGCCTCGTCTCTCGGGTATATGGATTTCTCTGTATGTTATGTAAAAAAATAAATATATGAGACTCAAGCAGCGTTAACATATTGCAACAAACTTGGATGATAACATTCTATTGATTTTTTTAAATATTTAGCCTAAGTCACTCTCTTCTGAAAGCGCTCAATATGGAGTGTAGAGTGTATTGTGAAAGTTTTTTATCCTCGACTGTCGCGCTAGTACCACTTTAACCATTATTTAAGGTATCAGGTAACCAAATAAGTTCGTGCGGTTGCTGTATATCGCACATTGCCATGGATTTTGTTGATCGATAGCGATTGTTTGTTACCTGTTGTCACTTTAGTATGAATCCTTCTTTTCTGACACAAATAAAAAGTTGCTGAAAATTGTTACATACCTAGTTTTAATAATTGAAAATGGCGACGCATAAAACAGTAATTCGAAGTTGTTTACTGTATGAGTACAAACTTGGTACAAAAGCTCCAGCGGCGGCGCGAAAAAGATGTGCCGCATTCGGAGATGATGCCGCAGAAGTGGTTCAAAAAATGTTCAGTTTGAGCGATGAACCGCGCTCAGGGAGACCAAAAATAATGAACAACGAGGATCTTCGACAGGTTGTGGACGCACATTCCAGGACAACGTGCCAAGAACTTGCAGAAATGTTCAGGGTGCGTCCTGAAACTATTCGATTGCATCTGCAGCAGCTAGGAAAGACGTGGAAGTTAAGCAAATGGGTCCCACATGAACTGACAAATGATAACAAATTATATATATAAAATATTAAGACAGGCCATTTATTATACAGATTGTGCCAAAAAAGGAAAACAAAAACCAAACAGCGTGATAAAATATAACATAAAACTGTAATAAAAAAACATTTGACTATAAAAACCAATGCAATACTACAAATAACTGTCAAACAACAAACATTTATCACGCAGTCATATTAAAAAAATATCACAGGAAACTAAAAAATAAAAAGGATATGACTAAAGGCCATGTCTGTTTTGCATAAAAAAATTGAAGTTTTTGAGTTACTTAAACTTAGTCACTGTCTGTATCAGATTCTTCTTGTTGCATTTCTGTTTTCTCTATATTATATAAATTATTTTTGTATTTTTTAAAATGTTTTTCACCAACATTTTTTTATATTGTATCCAGTTTGATAATTATCGCGAACAAAAGTTAAAGATAAAATCCTTTTCTTTGATTTGATTATCTCCATATATCAGAATGTCCACTCGACATCTGCATTGCCATGTAGCAAAAGTTAAGATTATTAGACATACTTCGGAAATACACTTCACAGGTTGTGTGTTCTTACCACCTACCTAATAAGAAGTACCGACCGGTGGTTACCACTGTCGATTGGAAAGATATCTGTATTTAGATTTGGTTACTAACTACACTCGCTTTTTTTTCTGGTAAAAATATCCATCATGTGTACCTAAATTGCAAAAATCCAATTCCGCCGCTACGCCGCTACCACTTGAAAATTCCGCTACCAGTAGCGGAATTCCGCTACTTCTGGCAACACTGGAGGCACCGACAGTTGACAGCTCGAGATGGTGTAATAAATGCAGTCCGCCATTTTTTTACTACAAATTCAGGGAGTTCTACAATACCGGCATACAAAAATTGGTTCCACGTTGGCAAAAGGTCATTAAATGTGATGGTAGTTACTTAGACGAATAAATAGTGTCTTATTGTTTCTCAATAAAAATTTATATTTTTCTAATAAAAACCGCACGAACGTATTTGGTTACCTGATATAATATTGTACGGCAAAGACAAAAATAATCGGTCTAATTTTCCTGTCCTGTATTCTATAGTCTATAGTCATGTATTTTCAGAACTGTATGAATTTTGGATATTCCAACCGCCTTGCGTATCTCATATACTTCGAAGTTGAGTCATTTATTTTAACAGTGAGTAGATCTGATCAAAAGAAATATTTCTTTCCTTTACCATTTTTCTGGTAAAATTAAAGTAACAAAGTTATAGCCCTTTGGAAGTTTGAGTACCGCCCTGTGTCAATAATAATATCATGTGCTCGTGTTTGGCAACAACGGATATAATCCGCCTTATCGGTTCATCGCTTCGGAAACAAAAAAGCGAAAGAATTTGGAACGATGTTTTTACAATTATTTTATTCAGTTGTATACATACAGTCAGTGTCAGTCGGTAACGCGTGTGAATAGTTGTGTCTGTTGCGTGGCTCAAACGAAATAAAAAATGGCACATGTTTATGCGGATCGGTTTCCCAATCGAGTGCAACCAACCCCTCGTGCCTTTGTTAATGTAGTACAACGGGCTCGTGAATCAGGTGACTTAAGACCTCACAGGGGACCTCACGATCAAATACAGGTCCGCACTGAAATACTTGTCGGGAGGATACTTTATAAAACAAGGTAAACATTTTTTTTTATTTTTTTTATTTTTACACACATATTTTGGTTTATCTTCCTTCTACAATCATTATCTGAAAATTAATGACTCAACTTCAAAGTCACCCTGTATAACGGTCACGGTTCACAAGATAAAAACGGGTCATTCGAGTAACAATATTTGAAATGTTATTCAGAGCTGTATTTCCACTGGGGGTAACTGAAAGTGGTCACAGGGTAGGCATGTTCTGGATGGACTTGGACAAAAACGACCGAACAATCAGTCCGTATAACGTCGCCAGCCAAATAATTAATTCGATCGAGGTCATGGCCCATGAGTCAATTACTCTTCCATGGATTACGATACATGATTATGGAAAATTGACTACTGAGTATCTAACCAAAATCAATCCAGTCACCATCAAGAAGACATTTGTACCTCTGGTAAGACTGTTAAAGCGGAATATACGAGGTCTGTAAATTGAGTGATGAGATTTCTTTTAATTTTTTTTATTCAAATATAATTAAAATTTTATATTGTCTCCTTCAAAATAACTTCCTGCTGAATCCACTCAGCGCTGGAGACCGTTCTTCCACTCCTCATAGCCGTCAGCTGGTCTTTTACAGCCGTTTGAATGATTTCGACGATACGATGCCAGAGTCTCATCACTTAATTTACAGACCTCGTATCATGTCACGTTCCGTGAGCTCAGGTGCTATTTCGCAGACTTAGACTAAAATGTTTCAGACTTAGACTAAAATGTTTCATTGCCAATTGTTTTTCGGAAAATGGAAATTATGAAGGGTAGAAGTAGATTAGGTGTGTTTACCGACAAACGCGGCTGTTAAATTTCTACGCGGATTTTATGGAATTCATATCGGGCCACTGTATCACAGTACAAGTATTCAGAAATCATATTCGCAATAGAAATACATTAATTCAGTGAGAGTCAAATACAGAGAAAACAATAAAAATGCTAATGTTTCTAGAGTAGAAAGTATACTAAGTGACATTTGACCTTTAATAATGTGTGGATGCACCCTGATGTGCTACGCATTCTCCAACGCGCCTAGGCATGCTTCTGATCAGGTGGTCAATGTTCTCTTATTCCAGGCAACCACCAACTCCTCTCGAAGTGCTTCTAGAGTCTGAGGAGGACGTTGCAAATTGAGCAATCACCTACCCATCATATCCCACACGAGCTCAATTGGGGATAAGTCGGGAGATCTTGGTGGCCATGGTAACAATGTGACATCATTATGTTGAAAGAAGTCTATTGTGACTCTTGCAACGTGTGGTCGGGCATTATCTTGTTGGAAAGTTGGATCTGCCAGGGTGTCAAGATAGGGTAGAAGATGGGGTTCTAGAACTTCGTGGATATAACGCTGCGGGTTCATGTTACTTCTGATGAAGATTAAAGGTGACCTGAAACCATAAGCTCTAGCACCGCAAACCATAACTCCAACGAATGAGAAGTTTTGGGTTGTTTTCATACCGGCCACACTGGGTCCTCCCTTTAACTCGAGAACACCGACGTAATCGCCTTGAGTGGTACAGACAACGGTCACTCTGGGATCAGGAATGGAACAGTATGGTCTTTAGTGACGAGTCTCGATTTTGTTTAGGCATGCACGATGGTCGTGCCAGGGTTAGAAGGCGACGTGGTGAAAGGAGGAATCCACAGTTTTTTGTTGAAAGACATGTTCATCACACTGTTGGAGTTATGGTTTGGGGTGCTATAGCTTATGGTTCCAGGTCACCTTTAATCTTCATCAGAGGTAACATGAACGCGCAGCGTTATATCCACGAAGTTCTAGAACCCCATCTTTTACCCTATCTTGATACCCTGGCAGATCCAACTTTCCAACAAGATAATGCCCGACCACATGTTGCAAGAGTCACAATAGACTTCTTTCAACATAATGATGTCACATTGTTACCATGGCCACCAAGATCTCCCGACTTATCCCCAATTGAGCACGTGTGGGATATGATGGGTAGGAGATTGCTCAATTTGCAACGTCCTCCTCAGACTCTAGAAGCACTTCGAGAGGAGTTGGTGGTTGCCTGGAATGAGATACCACAGGAGGACATTGACCACCTGATCAGAAGCATGCCTAGGCGCTTTGGAGAATGCGTAGCACATCAGGGTGCATCCACACATTATTAAAGGTCAAAGGGCTTTAAAGCAGTGCAATCATTTTGAAATTTTTATCATTTACTTATTATGCTTCATTAAGTACTTATACAAAATTTTATTAAAATAAAACCATTTAAACTGGGTGTTCGGATTTATATGTCGCTTAGCATATATCCAAAAATACTAACAAACCTCCTACAAAAATTTCCTAGATACATGGTGCTGTTAGTAAGCATAAAATATGAATATTGTTCAAATATTGTTATGATGAAATAGGATTATTCTCTCCATACACTACAGAAAATTTTCCATATGAAGCTTGACTAACATTTTAGTAGAGTATTTTCAAATAGGACACGGGTTGAAGCTTCTGTACGGATTTTACCTCAAATCATCGTACCCGTTTTTCAGTCAGTGGCGTAGAAAATATTTTCTATCTTCAGTAGCGGTCAATATTTCATAATTTCTACACCAATAGTGTAATCTCGAACAGTACATTTCCTTAGAAATTTTAAATGACAAGGAGTAACGAGTAAAAGCTTGTTTGAAAGGTCTTTTGAAGTCCTTTATTTTGACGTTTGATTTTTTAAGATCAGCCGATTCGTTTTCGAGAAAATTAGAAAAATCTTTATTTACTTTGATTTGTTCAGATGGAAAACAAAAACAGAAGAAAAAATCACTATTTATTTCAATAAGTGTCCAAATCTACAATTCGTTTATAATTTAAAACGGAAACTACCAACATAAACAGCAGACGTGGCAACAACCAAATAACAAACTGAATTTTTTCCGCTTTCTTTTCATCAACATAGATATCCTGGGCGAACTGTATTTATTTGTTGCTAAGGGAAAGAAAGAATTTAATTTGTGACAATCTTGGGATAGTGAAAATTAATTTATGGATTGATCTGAAGACATAATCTTGTTTAGATTTTAAAATTATAATTTCAACATCCTGTATATCGCTAAGGAGACATTTTAAAAGCATCGTTTATATGAACTCGTTATTTTACGATTTACTGTAGATTGATACTTTTATTTTGGCAATTTTACATAATCTCACTCATTTTTGTCAGTCTAGCAGTTCTATTTTCCTTCATACATCCGCCGTCGTACAGATTTGAAAAGATTATAAAAATTAAAGTATAGAGACGTAAAATTTTCTTAATTTGTGCTATCGTATGAATGTAAAAAAATCAAGTAGGACTCTCAGACTGTGAAGCAGTGCTATACGAAATTAAAAAACTATTATTCTATTTCAGAAAATGTTTAGTATTAGACAAAAAGAAATACATATAGTCAATATCCCGAAATATGCTGAAATATTCTTAAACATGTATAAACAGTTCTTTATACCGAAGATCCGCGACAGGGTAAGTTATGACGTTATCATATTTTATTTTGTGCTCCTCATTAATGAATATTCTAGTTTATCGTGCACAGCTCACCGAACGAGCTTCAAAAATATATACCAAAATCACTTCTACCGATGGATTATGGTGGAGATCTACCAAACCTGAGAACACTAGCTGGTAAGACGATACGATATATTTTGTTTCTCTCATTTTTATATCACAGTCGGCAACTGCCAGATAGTAAAACCTGTGAAGCGTTGGCCGTAGATTACAGGAAAGAGGTAAATTTTCTTATTTCTTTTTCGTGCTTACATACAATGTCGTCACCAGGAACAATTTTCGTTAAATGTCTGGATGGGTCTTGTTGGTGACAATTTAACTGGTCCTTTCTTTTTACTCTTCGAATTAAACTGCGAATCTTACTTATAAGTACTATATATACAGGGTGTTTCAGTTTATTGTTGCATAACTTTAAGATTCGATAGAACTTTTAAAATTAATGCATAAAGTCTATATAAACATGGGTCGAAAAATGCGTGGCTTCCGAAATACAGGGTGTTTAAATTTACTTTCTAAAATAGTTTTTTTTTAAATATTTCGAACAATATTTGATGTATAACAGTGAAAATTGGTATACAAGGGTTTTTTGGTACGACAAAATGAACCATGGGCATAGTTTTACTGTAGCCGCTAGAGGGCGCTCTCTACTGTACCTGTAGTGTATTAAAATGACCGAAAATTTTTTCTTACTGCAATTTTTTGCTTGTTGAATAAAAAAACTGATTCTTCGCACTTTTCTGCATAAAAAAGCTCTCTTGTGAGTTTTCGTTATAGTTAGCCGTTTTTGAGATATTTCGATTTTTCAGGTTGAATGCATTTTTAATTATTTATGGGAAAATAATATTTTTTTTTACATTTTCGATTTGGGCATTACAAGTAATTTAGATGATCGTTTAGATTGTGTTTTTAAACACAGCAATAATTCCTAATTCCAAATAAACACAAAAAACAGAATATTAATTTGTTTAATTTTCCAATATTATTTTTAACAAATTAAATTAATTATTTACAACTAAAATGCTATTGGATAGTTAGGACAAACATACATAATCTAAAGTAGTTGCTCGAAATGTAAACCCAATTATTCAATACACAATTCACATCTACGAATGATCGAACGTGATATAGCATTATTCAAATAAGGCCTTATTTCATCACATGCATTCCTGATTCTGTCTATTAGCGTATCCCTTGTGGTTACGGGAGTCTGGTACACTTTTTCTTTTAGAAATCCCCACACAAAGAAATCTAATGGATTTAGGTCAGGGGATCGTGGCCGATCCATCTTTCTGGATAATTTTCGTCCAGCCAGTTTCTAACTATTCTCGAATAATGAGCTGGACAACCATCAAGCTGGAACCAGGCCAATCTTCTTAAATCTAACATAACATCATCTCACATATTTGCATGTTCAGCCTTTAAAAATTCCAAGAAGGTCGCAGCATTTAACCTTGAAGGCAAAAGGTAGGGTCCAAATAGTCGATTACGGTAGATACCAATCCACACGTTCACACTAAATTCATGCTGCAAATTTATTTCCCGAACTGCATGCGGATTTTCATGCGACCAAATATGTTGATTATGAAAATTTACCACTCCACGTCTAGTGAAGCATGACTCATCGGTCCATAAAACGTTACTTAAAAACTCCCTATTATTATCAGTTCTATCAAGAATCCACTGACAAAATGTGATTCTTCGTTCTCCGTCCCCTGGCTGTAGTCCTTGCACAGGTTGCAAATGGTAAGAACGTCTATGGTCATTTCTAAGAACACGGTGAACATGGCTTGCTGAAATTCCCAAGGCACCAGAAACTCTCCTAACACTTGTGGTCGGATCTCTATCAGACTCACGCAGAATCATACGGGTAAATCTGCGCTGACGAACATTTATGTTTTGATCCCTTTGGAGATTTCCAAAACCATTTTCAATGATTTCGCGATGCACTCTTACAAATACTGAGCGAGTTGGATGTCGTCTGTTTGGAAATCTTCGTGCGTATTCTCTGGCTGCTTCTGCTGCGTTTCCACTTACAAAGCCATACACAAAATGAATATTCGCTAACTCTTGATTGGAGAATAAAAATGGCATTTTAATAAAACTTACACAAAAAAAACAGGTAAAAGAAACTAAATGTCGTGCATTCACAATTGCAAAAAAACATTTCAGGTTTCAACAGACAACAAAACTAACTGTCAACTAATTGACGTTTAACCTTATTCTGCTTTCAATTTCAAAAATATTTGCAGGCACAGCCTACTTCTAAAAATTATCGAGATACTGACTTTTTAACGTTATTTTATCATAAATAATTAAAAATGCATCGAACCTTAAAAATCGAAATATCTCAAAAACGGCTAACTATAACGAAAATTCACAAGAGAGCTTTTTTATGTTGAAAAGTGCGAAGAATCAGTTTTTTTATTCAAAAAGCAAAAAATTGCACTAAGAAAAATTTTTCGGTCATTTTAATACACTATAGGTACAGTAGAGAGCGCCCTCTAGCGGCTACAGTAAAACTATGCCCATGGTTCGTTTTGTCGTACCAAAAAACCCTTGTATACCAATTTCCACTGTTATACATCAAATATTGTTCGAAATATTTAAAAAAAACTATTTTAGAACGTAAATTTAAACACCCTGTATTTCGGAAGCCACGCATTTTTCGACCCATGTTTATATAGACTTTATGCATTAATTTTAAAAGTTCTATCGAATCTTAAAGTTATGCAACAATAAACTGAATTACCCTGTATATATATACATATATATATATATATATATATATATATATATATATATATATATATATATATATAGGTGAAAAATTAAAGCTTCCGCCTTTTGTTGGGTACTTCGACAAAATTTAATTAATATAATTTTAACCATTGTACCATGTATCCAGCTCTCACCATGTTACTGGACGAAAACAACAATTAGCAACATCCTCACATACTACTCTCCTGATGATGATGGCAAAGTCCATTGAAAGCTAGAGAGAATTAAAAAAAGTATAAAGAGTCCTCTTTGCTTAAATTTTGTCGAAGTACCCAACAAAAGGCGGAAGCTTTAATTTTTCACCTAACTGGTCTAGACGACAATGACCACGTCTCAAGTTATATATATATATATATATATAACGTATATATATATACTTTCATATTTTTTAACAAGGAATCACCCTCTAAACTATCTCCATCTATTTTTCGAACACCCTGAATAACGTCTTTGGGTGAGATGCTCTTGTGGGAGGAAACGTAATCAAACGGACTTTCCAACAGCATTGGTATCGGTATCTTGGTTGAGGAGTACTCGTACATTTTATTATTGACACATCTCTGAAACACACTGCAAATCATATTAACAATTAGAAACAAATGACATTCCAATTAGAATTATTTGTTTCAGATGAATGGAACAAGAATTTTGAAAAATATGCAGAAAGATTTGACCAACTGGAGAAGTTGAAGGTAGACGAAACACTGAGGTCAACCCCACTAAAAGACGACGAATTGTTGGGTGCTTATGGACACTTCAGAAAATTGGACATTGATTAGGTTATCTTAAGATATATTTTGTGCTACTTTTATAGTATACAGGGTAATTGAGGCTCTATTTAAACTTTGCACGCAGCGTTTTTCGTTGAACAATAGTAAAAATTGTTTACTGTCTTTTGATCTATCTTTGTTTAATAAAATCATAATTGTATCCTTCTCCCTCAAAAGCTTGGTTGAAATTAGGATGGGCTGTGTGAACTAGAGATGTTCGATATACATCGATGCATCGGAGACATCGAGACACAGAATTCGATGTATCGAACGCTTCCGATGTTTCTCGATGCATCGATGCATTTTTATCGATGAATCGAAAACTTTTCATTTGGAATAGGTGTACTTACTTATTCTTCCTGTGAAATAATAATTTTTTTGAACATATAATGCAGTCTTAAGGAGCAGGGCAAACCCTTAATGAACAAAGAAACAGATTAAAAGGAAAAAGATTAAATCAGATTTTATTTTTACAAAGTTTCGATAAAAAATACTGGGACTCGGACTAGTGTTGTGCTGTTAAATACCCTGACAGTTTACCAAATAATATATTTTATATGTTCACAACTATTAACGTTCGATTTTTTGATAATTTTTATATTGTCAGATGTCATCTACATCGTTGGGAGCCCTATTTTTGAGACAACCGTCGTATATCACTGTAGCTGTATGGCCAATAAGAACACAGAACATATTTATCTTTCATGCTTCATCAAAAAGTTTGGTTTTCCCAAAATATGGGGCCGCAGCAACTGGTTAATGAATATAAATTATTAATTTTATCCAATGAATAAGCGTCCAGATCTGTCAATAGAAATTTATTAATTCAATACTCATCATAAATTACGTAAACAATATATGAACAAAATAAATAAAAAATACTTTAAACTAAAATTTACATATTTGAGTACGTATAATTATTTGTAGCTTTTAAACAATTCTACCAGCACAGCCTGTTCTTGTCTCTTGACGCATTTCATCTCCAGAACTTTATAAAACTCTGTTAAGTGACAGTCGGGAAGCAGCATTTTATATTGCTCTACAAAATTCTTCGGAGGATCAGCAGGTGTCATCACCACTTTCAAAATCATTTCTGCTTTTGTCAGTCCTTTTGTAACCACCTTAAATAAAAATTGGAAATACAGTTACAAAATATATTTCCAAAATTACAAATTCTACAAAATAAAACTATGAGAATCATTTTAAATAAAAACAAATATGCTAGGATTAAGTCTATGTTAGATGAACTACAATGGTTCAATATACAAAATTTCATATGTTATTTAGTCTCATTTCATATTCGAATCATTCATTATGATCACATTTGGAAAACTTCACAAAATTAAATAGTCATTATCATAACTACGAAACTAGAGGCAGAATAGATTTTCATCTACAAAATTCTAATAGTAGCATAACTAGCAAATATGTATTTCAAAGGAACGTATCTGAATTTAACAAATTGAATAGATATTAAACAGTTTTCGAATTTAAAAATGTTTAAGACGTAATTTTAATAAATGGAAATGGATTTAAAAAAAATGGGTCACAAAGAGCCCTTTCACAAACATACAGGGTGCGTCATCTATTACTTTTTTCTATTTGAAGAATCAACACGATTTTTACGAGATGAAATCGAATTTTTTTATTGATAAATGAAGGTTGTTTTATGCCATTTATGTATGAAAAATAACATCAGTCATGTGACCATCGCGGCTTCGTTTACAGGCCAACATCCGAACATCAAAATTTACAATGACTTTTCCCAGAATAATCGGGTCTATTGTCCGGGGACCATTCGCATACACTTTTTCTATCAAAAATCCCCAAAGAAAATAGTCAAGAGGTGTTAAATCGCACGATCTCGGGAGCCAACTGACATCTGAATTTCGTGAAATTATGCCGGCTTGAAATTTCGTGTGATTGTTTGGTGAGATGTGTGAGCCGTTGCTCCGTCTTGATGAAACCAAAGATCGACGGCACCAATACGATCCAATTGTGGCCACAAAGTCTGTTAACATGCCGCGATAACGTTCCCCGTTGACGGTAATGGCGTTCTCTTCGGCATCTTCAAAGAAGCATGGTCCAACCATGCCACCAGCCCATAATCTGCACCAAACAGCCACTTTTTCAGGATGGAGAGGTTGTTCATGATATTGGTGTGGATTTTCAGCCCCCAGAATCTGCAATTTTGCTCATTTACGAACCCATTGAGGTGAAAATGAGCCTCATCAGAAAAGAGCACTTTGCCGAAAATGCGTCTTCTCTTTCCAATATCCAATTAACAAAAACACGCTGTTGTTGATGGTCTGCCGGCTTCAATTCTTGTGTTAGTTGGATTTTGTATGGATGGAGGTGTAAATCAATGTGTAAAATCCGGCTTAAAGTGGTCTCACTAATTCCCAATTGTTGCGAACGGTGCCTAGTCGAGGTGGTTGGACCTTATCACACACTTTCACTCTTGCGGCTATGTTTTCACGAGTACGAGCTGGACGAGCATGTTGGTATGGTCTACGACCTTCAGCTGAACCAGTTTCCTCAAATCGATTAACAATCCAACGAATTCCAGGCTCTGTAGGGCGTCCATGTCGGCCAAAACTAGTGCGAAGTTTGCGAAAAGTATTTTTTATATTTTGACCGTTTTCGTAATAAGTTTGGATAACCAAAATGCGTTGTTGTTATAAACGAATCCATGACTATAAATGGCATACCTTTGACAGTTCATTTATGCATACCACACGACTTTTGACTCACATGGTCACACATAAACTTATAGGTAAAAAAAAAGTAATAGATGGCCCACCCAGTATCTTTTAAATGAAAGACATTCTGTATTCCTTAGCCAGGATTGCAAAAATACCGTTAGTATTGTTTGGACAGCAAAAATGTGCACAAAACTGCGAAAATCGCCATTTGTTAGCCTACCAAGGAAGGTTAAAAAGTGTTTTAAAATAAACTAAGCGAGCAATTCTCTTTAAGATCTTGTAGGGGAAGGTATTGACTTTAATTTAGACATTTGGCAAATCTCAAAAATGATTTTAGCCGGGGTTTTAAGCATTTCCCCTCTCTATTCAAGTTTTGGCATTTTTTACAATTTAATTTCCATTTGATATTTTGACCACCTGCTATAAGAAGACAAGGACAAGGACAAAAAATACGAAACATTCATAGGCTTACCTGAATTTGTGATATTTCACACAAATTTTGATATTTCTCAAAAAGGGTTAGAATTAGATACTGGATCTTATACAGGGTGGCCAATATATAACCGATTTAAATTGCGCGGCATTTTTTATGCACGCATTTCATAAGGTGGCGCCGTAGTAGTTATTTGACGTACATGTGTCCAATTCATCATGGAGCGCTACTCGATCCTACAACACGTCCGTACTGTTAAAACGGTTTACTTAAATAATGCGTCGATTGTTACAACGATTCGGAAGCTACGACAAGATTTCGGTCGAAATAGTGTGCCCAGTGTCAACATCATTCGTTAGTTGGTGCGGAAATTTGAACAACTTCTCGATTTGGTGATGTCAACTGGGCACCAAGGTCACCGGATATAATGGCTCCTGACTTTTTTATGGGGATTTTAGAACAATAGGGTTTAATTGACGTATTTTACGAGATTTCATTTCACAAATATTCAAGATACAAACCAGTCAGTTACATATCGGCCACCCTGTACAAAGAATGTATTTAGAATCTTGCGAGGATTTCAAAAATTGAAAAACACACAAGCAACTTGGTACATTTTGAAAATATTTCAGCCGAGTTCCTCATAGCAGTTATACCATAACCCTAAGTTTTCATAATTGTCTAACGCTAACTCTCCGAGTAATCGATCGCTGCATTTCTACGTGGAACACCCTGTATAGTCCATAATTTACCTTTGTATATGCTGCTGGCGCAGGATGGTTAATCTGAGAAGCAATCGATGGCAGATTCAACAGGACCGTCTTCAACATATGAGTGTCAAGCAAAAGCTGTTCTGCACCTTCTGATTTAATCGGTTTGCACTTATAAATACTTTGAATAAACTTTGGAATGAAACTATCCACAAACTTGATACAAAACTTGGTGAAATATTTTCTGGAATGCGATAAATTATCTCTGATTATAGGAACTGTCGTTTTTAGATGTGTTGTTATCGCTGTGATGTACGGACTTTGGTCTCCAACTGTATCGAAGTTCTGCCATTGAATCTGTGAACAAACGTATTATGACCGTGTTGAAAAATAAAAAAAAAATCAGAAAAAATGTCTTGTATCTTTGTTAGGTCGCAAACTTTTCAGACCACTGTCGTGTACAGAAGTATAAAACACAACATTGATTACTTAAAAATACTACTCGACCAAATATGGTGCAATTTTGATCTAATAGTTTTAACTGAAACGTGGCAAGTGGTTGATATTTCTTGCTTCAATCAGCAGGGATATGACACGCTGTATAACTTTGGCACTTATAACCAAAACGATGGGGTGATAGTTTTTGTAAGAAATAAACTGCAATATAATCATGATACATTCAGTTTCACCGATGGAATCAAAATTTTAAACATAATGATCCAAATTAACCATAACAAAATTGAGGTATCTGCAATTTATCGTCCGCCATGTTCAGAACCCCACGAGTTTTTAAAGAATATCGATTTTTTTTTCAAAATCAAAATAAAGTTCATTTAAAGCAACATATTTTCTTGGGAGATGTCAATATAAATATTTTGGACGATGATCCCATCACAAATGAATACTTGAATATCCTATCAAGTAACGGATTTCTGTCCTATATAAACCTACCTACAAGGTCCATCAGTGGCACATGTATAGATCACTGCTTTGTGAAAGACCTATCCAACAAAATTACTTGTATACCAATAATCCTAGAAAGCGATATTACTGACCACTTCTCCACTATTTTACTGATATCTTCAAATGAAAAACATTCTAACATCCCTACCGTTAATAAAAACCAGGAAAATTACAAATTTTTTGTCGACAATTCAAAACTAATATCAAATGTCAAACAAGAATCCTGGGAACAATTATACTCTATAAATAATATAGACAAAGCAACGGGACTGTTCATAGAGAAAATAAAAAACTAATAGATATTAGTACCAATAAAGTAAAAATTAGTCACAAAGAGAAAAGCAGGAATGCCTGGATTACCAAAGGATTAATAACATCGGCATTAGAAAAAGAAAGACTATATAATGTAACTATGTAACTACAGAGAATACCGACTGCTACAACCAATATAAAAATAAATTTATAGAACTTGCAAGACAAACCAAACGAAAACATTACCTAAATAAATTGAATAATAACTTAAATGATCCTAAGCGGCTTTGGACAACTATTGATGAGATTACTGGGAAAACAAAATTTAAAGAGTGTGTCACTGAGTTAAATACAACATCGGGAACAGTATTAAAAAATACTCAACACATATGCGACGAATTTGAACAATTCTTTACTGACATAGGCGAAAATTTAGCAAGTAATATACAAGCAAACGTACAAAATACTCAGCCTCCAAAAAGAACTTTGAACTCATTTATTTTGGATAAAGTCGAGCGATGTGAAGTATACACCACTGTTATGGCCTTAAAAAATCGGAAAAGTCCTGGGTTCGATGGTATTAAAAGCAAGCATTTGAAAATTATAGCCGAGGACATAACAGAACCACTCACTTACCTAATCAACAAATGCTTTGAATCTGGCATATATCCCTCAATTTTAAAAAAAGGTAATATAATACCGATACATAAATCAGGAACAAAAACAGATGTTAACAACTATAGACCAATATCAATAATATCCAGTGTAGCAAAGGATTTTGAAAAAGTTTCATCTACTAGAATGATTCGATACCTCACAAAATTCAAAATTTTAAGTGAAAATCAATATGGATTTACAGAAGGGAAGGCTACATCGGACGCAATAACTAAAATTGTAAATCAAATAGATCAAAATATTGATAACAGAATCCATTGAATCTGCATTTTTGTTGATTTAAAGAAGCTTTCGACACAGTTAATCACAAATTATTATTAGAAGCATTGGAGAGAATTGGTTTCAGAGGAAACGCGTACTCACTGATCGAAAATTATTTGTCAAATCGCCCACAATCTGTGCAGATATCAGGATCATTTAGTAAAGAAATGTATATTAAGTGTGGTGTTGTCCCACAAGGAACTGTCTTAGGTCCGCTGTTATTCAATATATATTTAAATGATATTTTCCAAATTAATTGTGTTGGCAAAATAACTAGTTTTGCAATATTATATGAAGGCACTGACTGGTCTGATCTGAAAAATGTAATTGAAAATGATTTTATCAAAATTATTCGGGGGTTTAACAGTAAAAAATTAAGCATTAACTACTCTAAAACACATTTTCTACCATTTGGATCTTATGCTAGACATCTGCCAAATTACACAAATTTCTCCTTCAACATTAATGATCAAAAAATGCAAATTAATAGAGTGCCCAACATAAAATACCTTGGAGTGGTCTTGGATCCTCACTTACGATGGGACATCCATGTCAATTATATTTTAAAGAAAGTTAGATTTGTATCCTACAAAATTAAATACCTTGGGAATATATTGACAGAAAAATATCTTCGAACATTATACCATGCACTGATTGAGCCTCATGTCACATATGGTATATTAGCATGGGGAGCTGCATGTTCCTCACATATCTATAATTTAGATGTTTTTCAAAAAAGTATGCTAAAAATGATATTTAAAAAACCGAAACTTTACCCCACTGAAAAATTATACGCAGATGTTCGAATGTATGATATAAGACAGCTTTATTTCTTACACAGTATCACTCACTACCATAAATTTGTAAACACCGACCAAAAAATTAAACATAATCATTATACCAGGTACAAAATTTGTGGCACAGTAGTTCCTCAACCGCATAAATCTATAATGCAGCGATCATATCTCTATTTAGCACCTAAATTTTATTAAATTATACCTAAATACTTAAAAGATTTACGTTTCGGAAATTGTTTCAAAAGAAATTTAAAAAAGTGGCTACATTCTATATCTAGGACTGAAATTCATAAACTCATCAATACAAACATCAACTAAATACATAATCTACTGTAGCTAATTTTTGTCCTTTTTTGTCATTTGCATTCTACAGTTTCAACTTAAATTATTGGTCCATGTACAGGCGATGCCTTCTATTGGGCCTGTTTTGATTTTATATTTATTTACTCATATTGTTTGTTATCTTTGTACATTGAGTGAATAAATATTATTATTATTATACATACCTTACTCATAGCTGTTAGGGCAGGTTCACAAGCATTTTCCAAATCTTGCACCAAAATCTGTATACAATTCGAGATTACTCTAAAAAATACAAATATTACGAATTTGTTGTGACAATACCTGAGGCTTACTTGTGGAAGTCATCTTGCCCCTTAGAAAAATCTATCTGGTCTGCCAAGGAAGGATCAATTTTCTCCTTTAGCTTATCTTGTAACTGTTGCGTGGTTTCTAAACAATACTCTGCGGTAGTTAAAACGTAACAAATTTTTGTTTGCTCATCTTTTGTGAACCTGCAAGATATAATATTCTGATATATCTTGATAACATAAAAAAGGCATAAAGAAACTTGTGAAAAAAATGTCTACTATCTTTACAAACATACCTTGTGACTTCACCTTCCTTCAGAAGTGACGAAAAATTATGTATTAATCCCGACGTAGATATTTTCTGTAAATCTTTGGTGAAATTCTGCATAGAAGCACCTAACGTCTGCGTTTCTATTTTAGGTAGATTGCTCATAAGCAACTTTTCGGAATACTCGTGCAAATATTTTTGGAAAACCTTTGCCAGACTGAGCATGGTTTGCCCTCTATCCAGTTGGTTGCATTGAATCATGCTCTTTTTATAAAATACAAACAAATCTGGACAACTGGGCAAGATGGCGGCCTGGGTTTCGGTAGCTTCAGTGGGAATGCTCTGTTTTTGGTCCATGACAAAACGATCTATCAGGTCAGACAGATTTCTGTCCACACTGTCGATGTAGATTTGAAGATGTGGGATGAAACATTTACCTGGAAGTCAGTAGCTTTCTGATAACAAAAGAGTAAACTGTTGAAAATGCTTGTAAATGCAGTAGCATAGCCCGTTATAAAATTTCTTGAATACAGTAATGGACAAAAGTATAGATAAATTAATATTGTGCTGTATTTCTATTTCAACTTGTTTTATTAATACACCAATCTGTATACATTATTCGTTATAGCATAATACTCACTTATACATAAATAAATTCATTAGACTCCCTTCAATAAAAAGTTAATTGAAAAAAACTTTAACTATGAAGGACAAAAATATATAGACAAAGCAAAACAATTATAGAAAAAAGAAGCAAAGTTCATTGAATTATAGAAAACCAACCATGTTTGTGTTAATATTTTGTAGCATAACCATTATTATCAATCACCGCCTGGCATCGTCTCGGCATAGATTGTTTCTTGATATAAGATTCATCAATCTGTTTCCACTTTTGCTCAAAAGCAGCAAAAAGTTCATCCTTGTTTGAATAATTTTTATCTCGTATTTGCTTATCTAAGTATTCTCATAGATTTTCAATGGGGTTTATATCTGGAGACTGTGAAGGCCATTTGAGAACTGGTATTTTTTCATCCAGAAAGAATTTCTTTGAGAGATTAGAAGTGTGCTTCGGGTCATTATCTTGCTGGAAGATTGATTTTAAGGACATATTGTCTTCCATATAGGGTAACATGATATGCTTTAGTATGTATGTGTATACAAACTTATCCATAATGCCATCTATTCTATGTAAAGGTCCCATCCCAAATCCCGAAAAGCAACCCAAACCATAACACACCCGCCTCCATGTTTGACAGTGGGCAAAGTGTACTTGGGGTTCAATCTTTGTCCACTAGGACGCCTAACGTAATGAACACCATCTGATCTGAACATATTGAACTTGGATTCGTCACTGAAACATACCCTCTTCCAGTCACAGATGTTCCAATCAAGATTCAACCGTGCAAATTGTAATCGGTCCTTTCGCTCGAGATTAGCGGCTTCTTACTCAGGCGACGTGCAAATAACTTCAAATCATTTAATCTTCTACTTATAGTTTTCGTAGAAACACTGACAATTCCCTTTGTCTCGATTTCGGCTTTTATTTGTCTTGGGGTTTTAAACGCATCTTTGGACGAAATTAGGTTTATTAATCTAACCACAGCCGACGTCGGCTGTGATCTAACTGATCTAGCATTTAGTTTTCTAGGCCGACCACTTCTCTTAGAGGCTTCCAAGATACCTATTTGTTTATATTTGTTCAATATTGCCCAAACTGCTTCAAGCTTCAGCTTCAACTTTTTGGCAATGTCGACTTGACGTTGACCATCTTTGTATAACTCAATGATCTTAGTTTTCACATCGAAAGAAATTTCTGGACCACTGGCATGGTCTTAAAATCGCTCAACTTATTCCACAATACTTGATGAACACAAACTAATCCTCTTCTGACACGAAACTGTACTAAACTAATGTTGAAAAGAATTTGTCTACATATTTTTGTCCCTCATAAAAAAGTGCTTATATTCAGTCTTGTATTGCAGATAATGTAAAAACAAGTTTTTCTACTAATAACGCATTTGTTTATGGATCAATGAAGTATGAATTCGTTTTCTAAAGGTATTTAGGTAAATATTCATATTTGTCTATATACTTTTGTCTATTACTGTACCTCTTCACGAGTTTTGATGAGGCATGTCTAGAAATGAATTTCAAATGGTTTGTGTCGCTCAATTCTGTGTCAAAATTAATTGGTTTACTGTTTCCAACTATCCACAAGCATTACAAATTCGTTGTCTTATGCTTATCAACAAAAAAGTAGGCACATCTACGAGGGACGTTTCAAAAATAGCCTTCCAACGCTGTAACCACAGCCGACGTCAACTACGTCGGCTGTGCTGTAACTTCACCTAGCGTGATGCTGGGCGAAATCTGGCAACACCGCTGTGTTTGTCGGCTCCTCAGCATAGATCCCAACAAAAAGCGCTTATTTTGGACGCTCAGTACCAGTTCGACAGCCATGCGTAATGGTGTGTTCATACGATTTTTGCACGCAAAAAAATTACAACCCATAGAAATTCATCGCCAGTTGGGTGAAGTATATGGGAAAACGTGTATAAGTAATCAGCATGTGCAGCAGCAGTTACCAAGTTTATAAACGGGCTGGAAGCGGATTACACGTTATACACCTAAAAATGCGTAGAAAAAAAAATGGCGACGATGTAGAAAAATAGCTTAAAAACCATCGTTTCCAATAGTGAATTAGTTTTTTTAATAATTCCTTGTACCTGAAAGATGTAGGAACCTTATTTTTGAAACATACCTTGTATCATTATATCAGCCACTGATATCCACTCACAGAATTTTGGTCTACTCACCAATTAGCCCATGAAAAGGTGATGAATTCAAATCCATATCCCTCTCATCCAAAGTGTCAGCTGTCAAATCCGCCTGCTTTACGTGTCTGGATCCTTCTGATTTGGCACAATCTTCACTGAGAGTAACTCCTGTAAATCTTCTGGAGAGCAGATTTTCAAAAGCAGATGTCTTCTGAATAGCGTAGAGCAACAATTTCACATCAATCTCGTTCTTCCTTTTTGCCATTATTTTTGAGAGTTCTTCCCTGGTAATATGGCAAAACTGGACTGCGATCTGTTCAGACACCTCCCAATTTTGGGGAAACATATTCCCTAAGCGGTCCTCAAATTCCAAGAGATGTCTTTTAAGCCAAGCATAGCGCTTGTCGATCTTATCGAGCCAAGCTGTATCTTCAGTTTCATTGAATAAGTGGTGGTATTCCTGCAGTTGAAGGTCTATGAACCATTTCAGGAGGTCCCGTTTCACTTTTGGATCTAGGATTGATACCACTAAACACGCCTGGGCCAGCTGTTTATTCGGAATTGTAGTCTTGTTTGAACCTTGAATTATAAAATGGTGTTGGGGGTCAATATGTCATGAAACTTTCAGTCACAAAATGCTGTACAATTCATAAAGTGCATTATCATGACTTGATCCTTGTATGAAAATATTTGTAGCTCGAAGATCACATGGTGAGATCAAAGGATTAAGGATATCTCCTTATATAGTATTAAGTTTTAACATGGTTGATTTACCTGAGAACGCTTCCTTAAAGTCATGTGTAATCTGCTCTGCTAATTCAACATGTATTTGTTTCACTTGATCACTGAGATTCTTTACTTGAGGTATATCTGTATAATTTTCAAAATGTGTCATTACCTCACTGATTGCTTGCAGAGGCAAAGCTATTTCCCCATAGAATCTTTTCTGAGTGAGTGATTTCAGTGTATCCACACCTCCTACTAGCATATGCAGATGGTTCAGTGTTGTTATAGCTAGCGTTAGATTCTTTTTAGCACAGTCTAGCTGCTTGATATCCCTTGTTATTTCTCGCACCATCTCCTCTGACTTTTCTGCTCTCTCCTTTATATCAGTAATGTGTGTGAATAGCTGCTTAATGACCTTTTGCGCCTCTTCTAGAGCTTGTTTTCCATCTTCACTGGCCTCAATTTGGCCCCGAACTACACTGCTTATTTCATTGTCTATTGCATTGATTTTGTTTTCCATTTTTAACACTACTTCATCTATATTAGAGAGGGATTGCTCAGTGGGGAATAATGAGTTAATGTAATCAATGCTATTGAAATCGGGCTCATCTAATGGATCTTTGCTTGGCAGTACCTGAAAAAAGTTTAATGTAATTTTTCAAATGGGTAGAAAACTGATTTACCTCTTCGATTGCTTTTTGGACAACAGCTGGAAAATGTGTGAACAAATCCTGATCTTCATGTTGAGTATCCTGTGCATGTTCCATATTTTCGGAAAAAATATATTTGAAAATTGTTTTCCCTTGGTAGGGTTAACCTCAACTCCTAAAACGTCAAGTGATGTCATCACAAAACGTCATTCGCGCTGACCCATTTGTCTGCAGCATTGCCGGTACTGCTCAATATTCATGGATGCTGCAAATTACATCATGAATGTGGTCCATCATTAGAGTTACGAAGAATAACGGATGAATCTAACATTGCTGCTGAAATGGCGGCTTCACACGCAGGATACTAACGAGGGCTTGGGCTATGCTGCCGTTATTGGAGCTGTTAGATACACGCCACAGATGGAAAAATCTGTTACTTAATACATAGCTTATTCCCATTTCAACATTGTCTTGTCCTTTTCGGAAAAATCGTAAATACTAGAGTCCAGTAGATTAACTTGTTTTTCCCAACGCATCATGGAAATATACGAAAAAGGGCTGCTAAAACTTTCTGATTTCCGATAATAATTTCTTTAGATGTCATACCCTATGGACTCATTTGTGACAATCTGCTTAACAAATCAGCTGCATCGATTTTGATTTTGATGATTTTTCGATTCAATAAGCTGTGCAGTTATAGTAAATGTAAACAGTGAGTGACGATTGACGATGGAGTGATGAGTCAGGACAATCAGATGATTTTCAAAGTTCATTTTTGTATTTTTCAATATTTTTGAGCATAGCTCCCCTTCACCGAAGCATGGCAACTCTGCAAATGTAATAGCTGCAAAACGTCAAAATCAGCTGTTTTTATTTTTGTTTACATTTGCATGATTAAGAATCAAAGTACATGGTTCTGAATTTTGAACAAATACGAATCAGTAGTGGAGTGATTTATAGATGTGGCAAAATGGAACAGTTCAGAGATGCCCATTTCTTTTACACACCTTCTCAAGGTAATATCTACACAATAGCTGAGCTGAAACTTGCAAATGGATGCAAGAAACTATTGGTAGCTTCATTAAAAAGAGAAATATTTTGCTTTGAATATCAAGAATCACCATCTGGTACATTGATGCCTACAGCCCGTGATATTTCTTTTACCTATATTCCGAGTAAGTCGTGAGATTCTAAATACATGGAAGAGAAATTTTATGTTATCTTATTCCTCAGATGCTGCTGAAATTATTTCTCTAGATGCGTTCAATAAATCTACAACAAGTAATGAGTTTGTAATTGGAATCACAATTATCAAGGTATGTGGAAACAAATATTACACTCCAGTATTCTATTGCTAAATAAAATCTCTTGGTAAAAGTGAGAAAAGTTTCTTACTACCTGAAGCTTTTTTTGACGTTGAAGTCTTCCTTATTTCTAATTTTTTCAGCCTGGCATAATTTTTATTGTATTTAGCCGCTTTTATAATATTTTAACCACACATTTCTCTGTAATGGCACCAATAAAAAGCATTATTATGCAGGTCAAGACAAATTGCAATAAACACATAGCAGCAATGTCTTGGTATTTTAATTGTTTCTTTTTATTTATAATTCCTATTCTTTGAACAATGCTTTTAGAACAGTAATGATGCTGATAGCACACTGGAAACCTATCTGAACATTTACTCAGAGTGGGAAGAATCAGAGGACTTCAATATAGAAAATATTGCACAAAATTGCCTCACTGTAGAGCTGAACTTCATTCCATACAAGCTGTGTCATACCCATCTAGTAACATGGAAAAATGACCAGATAGTGAGCAAAGAGGTAGGAAGTACCCATATGAGTACTAGTATTAATTAAAAATTTTAGATTCTCCAAGATCACGACTGGATTTACAGACGTCCACGTGATGGTTGAAATTTTCAATGACATTTTGCAACATGGTCGGTTCTATGGCATTTATCTCAATGATGTTGTTTTTGAGTTCTTGGAGGGTGGCTGGTTTATTGATATAGACTTTGCTTTTCAAATATCCCTATAAAAAGAAGTCCAAGGGAGTCAAATCGCACGATCTTGGTGGCCATGGCACATTTCCTCTGCGCGAAATCACGCGATCACCGAAGAAGGACTGCAATCGAAGGATATTGACGTTGGTTGTGTGGCATGTTGCACCGTCTTGTTGGAAATAAACATCGTCCATATCCATTCTTTCAAGTTGCGGCAAAAAATAGTCCTCTATCATCACGTGATATCGCTCAGAATTGACGGTAACGGCATCCCCGGCCGCATTTTCGAAAAAGTAAGGTCCGATGATGCCTTTTGACCACAATGCACATCACACAGTCACTTTTTGAGGATGCATCGGCTGCTCTTGATACTCACGGGGATTTTCGTTCGCCCAGATGCGGCAGTTTTGCTTGTTTACCGTCCCATTCAAAGTGAAATGCGCTTCGTCGCTGAACATGATTTTTGATGAAAAATTGGCATCAATTTGGCGGTGTTCAAGGAGCCAATCTGAGAACGTTCGGCGCGAAAAATGGTCGGTCCGACGCAACTTTTGCGTCAATTGGATCTTGTAGGCGTGTACATTCAAATCCTTGTGGAGAATGCGGAGCAAACTGGTTCTCGAAATGCCCAATTCTTGGGATCGACGCGTTGTTGATTGTTTCGGATCGTCTCTCACACTCTCCTTCACAACAGCAATATTTTCCGGTGTGCGAACGCTCCTTGGCCGGCCAGAGTCTGGCAGATTTGCCACAGAACCTGTTGCCTCGAATTTACGCACCAGACGACCGATGGTTGTTTCGTTTGGGCGGTTGTTGCGACCGAAATGTTCACGAAGCGCGCGAAACGCGTTTTCTATTTTTGCACCATTTTTGTAGCGCTCTTGAATAACTTTAATGGGGTCTTCAATCGAATACGACTCCATAGCGATCAATGGTAAACATTCAACTAACAAAATGACATGTCGGTGACAGAAAACAAAGATGGCGTCTATGTCAAATTGACGTTTACTTTCCTGCGTCCCTATTGGACAACCCATAATAACGGTAAATCCCCGACCATCTCGTCTCTAACTCACACGCCTGGCAGAAATGCAAAGAGGAATTTCAATCTCTTAAGGTTTATCTTAAGCCCAGAATCCATGAATGCGCTTTTTTATTTTTAGATGGTGTTCATTTTATCAGGAAATGACAATCAAGTTCACATATTCAAAGAATCATCATCTGAACACAATTATAGAGAACTAGAAGGAAACAACTTCTTTCCAGAATTTTCCAAGACGCCGAGTCCCGTTGTATGGATTGATATAGTCTACCTGAATAATTTTGCAAGGTACGCTCGATAATTCTGCATATGGAAGATCATCAAAGTGCGTAGAAAAACGTTCATTATTTTTTTAGGAGGGTGACTTCATTTGTGTGTGAATGCGGTTATGTGAAGCTACTTGTGGTTGACGTTAAATGCAACAAATTGATCTACAACTTCTCTACCAGATTTGGCAATTATATACCTAGAGTTCAAATTTATTTAGAAAAGGATAAGACTGATTTACAATGCAGGAATGAATTTATAAAATGCCTTGCAGATGATAAGACTGACAAAACTGAAGATGAGGAGTTTATACTAAACTTGGTTGTTGTAAATTCTATCTTGCCTGCCGTGATGTTTCAGTAAGTATATTCGTGAAGTTGTCGCACACTTAATAATTCTATTGAATGGTATAGTGCGGTAGGTTGAGTATTTTAGAATTTGTAAATGTGTGTCGGATATTTTATGACAGTTCTGCTATCATTTTTACAGCAATGTCCTCAAGTATGGATTATCAGATTACACTACACTACCACGGCTTGACAATACTACCGTTCTAACATCTTGCGAGGTTGCGGACATAGATTTTGATGGAGAAAAGGAACTATTAATCGGAAACAGTGCCGAGGTAAATTTATTCATACAGTATGTTAACACTAATACACAACTGAAGCATCATAAGGAGTGTGTAAATGGCAACATTGATTAGGTACTACGAGCCCCTTCCCACTTCAAGATTTGTACCAAAATATGCCTTTATAAACTTAACACGACGAAACTATTCACTTCTAAAACAATTTACTTTCTCAAAAACATTTTAGATACACTCTAGTCGTAAAAAATACATTTTTGAAATCACTTAGACCTATAACTAATAGAACATCTGAACAAATAAGCAATGTGCGAATAAATGCGCGAAGTTAACAAAGCAACAATTGAAAGATTACCATTGGGTAACATCACCTTTATTTTTTATTACGGCTGAAATTCTTCTTCTCTGGGGCATAGTGTTAACAAAGTTTTGGCAAAAATTTGGTGTAAAACAATCTCATATTTCTTGAAGCTTTTGTCTCAGTTCAGTCATTGTACGAGCAGGATGTTGTCGTAGAACCTTTTTCATCTCGTGTCACAAAGTTTCAATAGGGCACAGATCTGGACTGCTAGAAACCCATTTCAAAAGTGGTACATTATTTTCTTACATCCATTTTATAGCCTTTTCGAGGTATGGCATGCTGCACCATCTTGCTGAAACACAAAATCTTGGCCGGATGTCGAACATTCTTCCATCACTGGTAAAAGCGATTCTTCTAAAATTGCCAAATATTTGTTTGTATGCACATTTCCATCAATAAAATGAAGTTTTCCTACTCCTTTTGATGACATACTGCCCCGGACCATAATGGATGCTGGAAATTTCAGTTTTCTCTTCAGACAGTCAACATGGAATGCTTCAGTTTTTTTGCGAATAACTCTACTGCGACTGTCACCAACACAAACTTCGAATCGGGCCTCATCACTCCATTGTATTGCACACCATTGTTGAGGTGTCCATTGTCTATGTTCTTTAGCCCATCTAAGCCGATTTTTCTTTTGCAGTGGAGTTAATAGTGGCCTATAGACAAGTTGTGCAACTTTAGGGTTTTTACTTCACTTTTTTTATAAGAAAACTTCCTTGCAAGGGCTAAATCCCAGTTTATGGACCTCTCTATGAGTTGTGAACCTCGAAATTCTCCTTCCAACAGCGTCACTCCACAGAGCACTTAATTGTGAATAATTGGCACGCCTGTTTTTCACGATTATTCTTCTTAATGCTCTTCGGTAGGTATTTGTTATATTACTTTTTTTCACATATCGTGGCTTAATATTAACTGAACCAGTTACGTTATATCTTCTAACAATATTTCTCACACTATATACCGTGATAGGTCTAACAAAGTTGCAATTTCTGAGTTTGATTTTCCAGAATTAAAAAATTAATTATCAGTAACCGAATTTTATCACTAATAACCTTTCCTCTACCCATTTTGAAAACCTTAACTACCCAAAACTATTTTAAACGTATTCTGACAGCTGTGATTGATAAAAACAATTGTCATGGCTTTTATTTTTCACAGCCACCTGTGCGTTATAGACTTATTTTGTATAGAAATGAAAATAGGTTGATATGCTGTAATTGCAACATGTGTGATTTTTATGCTGCACATTTGATTAGGGAGTGATAAAGTTGGTGTTTTCTACTATATATTATCAAAATATTCATTGTTAATATTTTAAACCTATAACACCCTGATACATTTTTATTATTTGTGTTTGATAAGAAACAAACTAAGATTTCAATAGTAGGGCCAACTGAAGTGGGCTGAAGGGGCTCGTACATCCCCGGATAGGCAACGCCGCGTTAGGGTTGTCTCTTACACTGATTTGTACTCCTGATGCTGCTCGGCTTGTTTAGCGGTGGCATTTACAACCTGTATTTATCTATACTTTTTATTTTTGAAAGTATGAGGCACAAAACATAGAAATTGAGCACTGGCCAATCTTGATGAAAAATACGTATAATTCATTCAGAGAATTACGCGTACCCACAACCTTTGTCACCAGCAATAGAAACCATTTTTGGTCTTTACGTTCACTGGAACATTGATGCAGCAAAACATGAACTATCACTCTACGAATTAAAACTGCTAATTACTATGCGTATCTTCAGGAGATTATGCTACTAAAAAGAGATAAACTTGGTGATTGGTACTTGGAAGAAGTGAAGAAAATATCTGGTCCGATTCTTGGCGTAAAATATATTGACATGGACGGAGATGGAGTCAAAGATTTGGTCATTTTCTCAACAAAAGGGGTTCATATTTTGCAGGTAATTTATACTCAATGTGTGTACATTCCATTACTACTAAAATAAATAATCGAGGACTACTAAGCCCTGTCGCGTCTTAAATTTTTACGAAATGATTACGGTTACATGTCAAAAAATCCCTAATCCTTGATTCAGCGATTAAAATTGAGATGCATTTCTTCGACACCATAAGAAAAACAACTCGTGGTCACCAAATGGAGTAACAGAAACGTTTTCACAAAAATGTGAACTATCTTTTGAACTTAAGGTCTCGATATATAAATATATTTTACCAAAGTGTATTCCAAAAGTCTGACGTTAATGTTGACTTGAACTTCATCGTTAATCAAGATAATAAGATTTTAATTTTTTTTTCAGCATGATACCGCCCAACTGCAAAAGACTATAGACTCAAAACTAGAAAACCTACTTTGTGGCGCCAATTTGTTATGATTATTTTTCTATATAATTACAAAGCATTACCTCAAGGATCTGTAAAGACAGCAAATATACTTACATGATTTTTTCTGTGATACTGATGATTCAAACCATACATACCTATAACAAATTAATATATATGTTTTGATATATGTATATAATGATGTATTATGTATTATTTAAGTACAAATAAAAGTAGAGTGCTTTTTAAATATTTATTGGTGAATCCAGGCACAGATAAATTCTTTTTTTGTTGTGGGACTATAAATAGTTAAATACTACCAACTACCGCGTAATGGCTTATTTATAATATTTACAAAGTACATGTAACAAATCCTAAACATATAAAATCACGAACTATGTATGCCTTAACTAAAATTGCTTAAAAAATTATAACAATGACTTTTTGTCTATACTATATCCCAACATGACTCCTCCCAAAATTACGAAATTATTTTGAATTAAATAAAAAGCAAACCATTCGTTAAATTGTATATTAAAAAAAAGATATTACAAATCTTGAAAAATGGGTATCCACTGAATTTATACAGAATTATTGAATTATCTTCTCATAAAAAAGCAATTTTATTTTGTTCAAAAAAATTGTTGTTTCATTCATGATACCATATCAACAAAACGGAAAATAAATCTACGGAGAATATTGAACACAATCATCTTAAATATACAGAAAAGTATACACAGGGTGAGTTTCAGTGTGGGTTTGGCCAATAACTCCAATTATAATATGCATTGTATCTAAAAAAAGTTAACTAAAGAAAATTGACTCGGAAAATGTTTTTATCTATACTTCAAATGGAAAGCCCTACATTTTGTTGCTGATGTGGATAAGTCTTTTCAAATGAAGCAATGCCATAATAACCTACTATGGAGTGTTAAAAGATATAAAAAAAGTTTCTATAAACAAACGTCCAGACATGCAGAGTTTTCAACATACAGGGTGATAATTTCTTTTATTAATATCTTATAATATATTTACTAGATTCTGTTGAAATTTGGCAATATGATTTATTGTATTGAGCGGCTGATTTATCTCTAAATAGATTAAAATTGTTAGGACCAGTGGGTGGGAGCATCTTAGCGAACATTATTGGCAGAAAAAATGTACGCCACTGCCTTTTTTGTTACTTTAATATTTGTTGTTTGGTTATTCATCTACAGATACAACTTATTTGACTCTTGTATTTTTCTCGTATCCCACTTCGTTTTAGAGAAAAAAACCGTTTTATTGCATGTCACTGAACAAAATTGGTTTATTAATTTTCGCTAAAAAAATCACAAGTGCCTTGGAAAACAAAAATAAAACAATTAGCCTCTTAATACAAAAAATAATATTGCCAAATTTTTTAAGAAATGTTTATAGAATGTTTTTTTCATATTTTTTAACAAAAATATCTGTCCATTTTTCGAACACCCTGTCCAAAAATATTTTATGTTCACATATTTTCTCCCTACCTGCTCACTTTTTCAGTTTTTTTCTTTTGACAAATTATGCGGTGTTTAAAAACTTCTTCAGATACCATGCGTAATAATTCAGTTATCGACTCACCCTGAATATATTAATAAGAAACGATCACAAAATTATACACCAATGTGTTCATTTGCGTTGTGGTTATTTTCAATCTCTGTTAGATTTGGACAGTAGGCTATTCTATAAAAATGTATTTTACAAATATTTTTTTAAAAAACATCGTAACAACAATATAGACAGTTATATCTTTGAAGCCTGCAAATTCACGTTTTTATTTAATCTCATATTATCATCCGCATAAATCTAAATGTTCTACTAGCGTCTTTCAAAAGGATATAAATGTCCATTACAAATGCTACAAAATGACATAACTTGTGTGATTTTGGGAGTTGCTTAACACTAACAAGATGAATCCTATGATGCTTATATTTCAAATCACACACCTTATTAGACACGCGTATGCAGTGTTAAATCGCCAAGAGTCACACTCTGACAAATAAAATTCTAATAGAACTAAGATTTAAAAATCCATAGGCGCGGCATAATTTTTCAAAAATATGGTTTACATTCGTTTCTCAAAAATACTTGAATATCCGTCGCCTAAAGTACAATCCGAATACGATACAGATATGTTTGTTAATAAATTTCAATTATACAGGAAATAATGTACGGATATAAGGTAAAAACGTTACGTTGTATACAATATCAAAATTAAAATTACACAGAACATAATTTCACATATTTTTTTATAAATATTTAGGTGACGATCTTTTTTACATATATTATACTCTAAATGCTAACCAGTCTTAAACGATCATACATTTGCACTAAACATTACTATAAACAAATGATAGGGAGAATACCGAAAAAAAGGACATAGCGGGATATTTATAATAAAAATTACCTAAGACTTTCCCAGTATTTTTGCACCTTGGAATAAATCTTTACATTTTCGCATTCTTATTTGCCCAATAGCATCAAAGCTGGTGAATTTTTATCTGTAATTTAGTATCCTACATTGGAATGCATCATTTTTTAGAGTAGAACACAAGATGCAATAATACCTTATCCTTTCAAATACGATATTAAGATACAATTCGCTTACGACCATACAATGCACAACCGCATCAGTTACAGATACTCGAGAAAAAATATCTCTCATCACACTTGCGCTGCAGAGGGAAAAAAATGGAAATCTTGGACATTGACGTTCAAACTTTTGTCACAGTACACGATTCAAGTCTTCACCCACTATACAGTGGGACAGTATCCGGTAGAAGTGATCAACCGCGTTTTATCCAAAATATATGATCTCCATGTACAGTCAGTAATATTGTCGTATATCAATCTGCAACAGATATGGTGAACCCTTACCCGCTTTCAATAGCAAATATATGTACAACAACAACAGTTTCAATCGGAAAAACCTTTCAGCTACAAAATCTAAATATGAAGGCGTTCTCCTGTTTCTTGTAAAAAATACTTCTTGCTTTCTCACTTATTATCGTGTTCCCTACAATTTTATAAATATGGCGAGCAAATTTCATTTTTATTTACAATAATACATCGGGATGAAGCTAGGCAGTGGATATTTGATTGACAATGAAAACGGAATCATTTTTGCAAAATACCAGTCGGAAAGTTCACATTTCAAATTTGAATTACGCGGCAATCGAATACGTGAGCAAGTGGGGGAGAGGTGTTGATCGACGCGTTCGGCGTGCGGGTTAAATGGAACAGTGGAACGTTGGACCGGAGCGCAACGTGCTTTTGCTATCGAAGAGTGGTGATTCATACGCAGCTGCCTTACGGAAACTTTGTACACGATACAACATTCGTCGACCAAGTAAGTACCTATTGAAACAGTGCATTAAGAAATCCCGTGAAACAAGCTCCACTCTTAGTCCACCCATTCTTGCGCCACACCTACTGTATCAATCGCAGAAAATGTGCGTCGAGTAAGTGATTCGGTCATTGCAAATCCTCGGCGTTCAGTATGGAAGCATTCCGCTGCTTTGGCTTTGGCATAATGAAGAAAATATGGGTTTTCATTCTCATAAAATCCAATAAGTCCATGCTTTAAAGGAAAGTGATTACATATTACGGAAATCTTGTGCAGAACGGATGTTGAAACTTTTTCCTACGCAGCGCAGACTCGAAAACGTTGTATTCAGTGACGAGGACCATTTTCACTTAGACATTGCAAATATTGGGCACCAACGAAGCCAAAAAAGAAACATCAACAACAGCTACATCGTCCAAAGGTGACTGTTTGGTATAGCGGTATTACTGGGCCGTATTTCTTTGAAGATGAAAACGGTCATGTATCGACGGTCAATTCCGAGCGATACAAGGACTTTTTTTGCTTCTATTGGAAGAACATAACGTCGATTTGACAGAAACGCGTGGTTTCAACAGGATGGGGTCACCCATACTTCCAGAGAATCGACGGACACGGTGAAAGCACTTTTTCCTCAAAAAGTTATATCGAAGTTTGGAGATTTACTGGCCTCCTAGGTCACCCGACCTCACGCCATGCGATTTTTTTTTTGTGGGGTTATCTAAAGTCAAAAGTGTATTCCAATAAGCCATGAACACTGGAGGAGCTTAAAGACAACATTTGACGAGAAATAAACAATATCTCTCCGGAACTCTGTAAGTGTTTCACAATTTCCATGCGCGATTAGAAGAGAGGAATAGATATAGATATTTTATTTTCATTAAGTTTGTATTTTTTTCTTAAATCAAAAAGTGGACTTTCCTACTGAACACCCTGTATTTATTTCATATCTCACCAATAAACATACTCCACCTGATTATAGTCGACTATGTACTGTAAGCCGACGTTCTCATACAATTTCCGCTGTACTAGTGGCGTTAGTTATTACATATTTTCCTTCAAAAAAGAATTGTTTATTCTTAAACCTGCCACTAACTTGAAAATGAACCCTCACCCTCTCCGTAATTGTTTGTCAAACAATAAATCAGAAATTGACATAATGAAGTTTTCCATTTAATTTTCTACTTGTTGGACAAATCGGTCAAAGTGACGTGCGTGAATATTTTGTGCAACTTTATCGGGAAAATATTTCTTATTCATTCACAATTCAAAAACAATGACTTTTTGTCTGTTGAAATTTTTTGATATCTTGGTTCAGATGTATCGCAAACAGTTCTAAAACAATTATTAAAAAATCATCTACTAAAACCACAGATTGTTGTAGCGTCATCTCTGGAGGCTTGAGTTTTATTGATGCATGAAAAAATATCAGGATTTTCACGGAAAATGGAGTTTTTAAAAAAGATGACAAAAGAACCCTGCAGGAGTAATAATCTCAAGCCTGGCCAGGTATTTTATTAACACGCTGTATAGTGACATGAAAAAACAATTTTTTTGGTGTTTATTTAAAATAAAGCATGCCAACCAAATACCAACTGCCTTTAACAATTACGAGTACGCTCTCCCTAACGCTAGCGATATAAATAAAGCTTTGGTGACCTATTATTCTACAGACTCATTGGGGGCGGTTCATTCACACGCGAGACATAATATAATACATACAACGGATAACACGAGATGGTGCAGTGTCCAAACATTGTGTGTTGTATTCAGTCGACGTTGTCTTGAAAGATGAGCCGCACGTATCCCGGTGATCCGGATAGAGGGGAGGCGCAGAAAGGGCACACGGCGTGGAAACCGTTGGTTCCGTGGGGAATTGCCACGTTTGCCCAGTACCTGAAAATCGGCTTTGCTTGTTAACTTGCTCGGAATTATATCTACGCAAAATAGACAGATGGGAAAATATACTCGGTGACATTTGAAGTGGCAGTCGTACATCAAGAATGAAACGATGACATTCTCACGAAATTTTATTGTCAAATCATAAGAAAAAAATTGATAATGTGTTGGCCGACGCAGCAGCTGTCCAAAGGCTCGAATGCGGCATAGTACCTTCTTCTCCAACCATTGGTCAGCGATACGGTCTCGTAGGGCTAGTCGTCTGAAGCGCCTATCTTGACGCTCTATGGACCAATTGGCCTTCTCCGTGTTCCTCTACCTTCTTCTACCTACACACGACACACACGTGTTACCGTCATTGCAGTACAAATAACACGGCGGCCGATTTCGCGATAGGACAAACCAACATCTCGATAGGCAATAATTCTGCCGCTGTCAAAGTCGCTAACATGGTGATACAGTAATTTGGACGTCTTATAACTCGAGGCATTTTGTTATGCTTAGCACTAGTAAATAAAAGGACAATAACTAAAAATATCTGTATCTCTGAGACACTGCTTTCTTCACAAAAACAACGAGTTTACATTTTAACAAAGGTAAACAAAAACAAAGATAAAACGTTGACATTGTTGCCACAGCATGCTGGTATGCATATATACAAGTCACATTATTTGGGAAACGTTATGATCTTTGTACTTTTTACCGTTCACCAAACAGTGATGCGGATGTTTTTTGAAGAGAAATGCGAAGAAATGTGGAATTTTAGAAACAATATAATACTTTTAGGTGATTTTAATTTAAATTATTATAGCAAAAGCATGAAACGAGACAATTGAAAGAAACCATAAATAACTATGGGTTCAAGCAAAACATTGAAGAGAGTACCAGAATAACATCATTATCAGAGACTTTGTTAGATCTTGTTATTGTAAATTTCGAATGTGTAGGGATTAAAGCTGTACATACACCTAAAGTCAGTGATCACAGTTGGACAACGCTGCCCTTGGTATGACATTTTTCTGATACAAAAATTAAGAAAATCGTGAATACTATTAACTACAAAGAACTTGAACGAGAACTTGCTGGCTGCTATTGGAATTTTGGTGAGAATATGGAAAAAATATATGACAACATAATAGGAAATATAAAAACTTGTTTAGATCTTACAACTGATAAAAAAGTGATTTGCTCGACAAAAAATACACCCAGGTATAACAAAAATATTAAGGCAGCTCAAAATTTGAGAAACAAACAATACAAAAATATATATTCACAAAATCAAATGATGATTGGGAGGTAGATAAGACTCTTAGGAATAAATCTTTGTATGTAATTAGAGAAGCAGCTGACTATATGAAAACCAGTTTCCAGGGGGAAGTGTTGCATACACTTTCAAAATTTCATAGCATATCATTGAATTACCTAAGAAAAAAGTAAACAGTTTAAAATCAAACAACAACTATGCCGAAATCGCTATTAAAAAGTTCTTTTCTTAAAAATTTGAAATGCTCTACAATAACACCAGTTCCCAAAATAAGGAATTTTAAAAGATGCAGCGATATGAAACCAGTAAATGACCAATTAATGCAGTTTATAGAAGAAAACAAAATCTTACTGGAGGTGCAAGCAGACTTTCGAAAAAAATATTCCACAGAAACGGCTTTCCAGTTGGTAACTGAGAATTGGAGAAGAGCCATAGACTCAGAAGAAGTTGTCATAGCAGTATTTTTCTATTTGAAGAGGGCATTTGAAACGATTGATAGAAATATTTTGTTAGGTAAATTGAAGGCATATGGTATATCAGGAAGTGTTTTCGATTGGTTTAGAAATTATTTGTCTAAAAGGATGCAGGTTACAAAAGTTAAGACACTATTTCATCAAAAATTGAAAATACGTTGGGTGTTCCACGGGGCAGAATCCTGGGACCACCTCTTTTTATTTTATACATAAATTATTTACCTGCCGTAGTCAAAAAATGCAAAATTCAGATTTTCGCCGATGATACTGATTTATATAAGTACTAAAAATATTCAGACTGGTACCTCTTATATAAATGAAGACTTAAAACTTGTCTCAAAATGGTTAGCATCTAACAGATTCAAATTAAATATACAAGTAAAACGAAAGCTACGTTAATCGGAAAAGACAATGTACAAATTTCAACTGAATATTGATGGTGAAGATATTGAATTCATAGGAAATTTTAAATACCTGGGGTTTTTGTTGACTCTCGATTAATTTTTGATATTCATTATCAAAAACTTATAATATACTCTTCCAAATTTCTTGTACTGTTCGACTATTCTATATTTAGCAAATAATTCCATTTTTGAAAGACTGCAAATTTTACAAAATAAAAAGCATGAGAATAATACTGAATAAAGATCAATATACTCCAATTAGACAAATGCTTAGCAAATTAAAATGGCTCAATGTAAAAAAAATGTCAAATATCTTGTAATGATATTCATTTATAAAGTAAAAAATAATATATTTCCATCAAGTCTAACTAATTTAACATCATGCCGACCATCATTTACATAATACCAGAAATAATTTAATGACCAAAAAGTATAACATATGCTACAAATCTTTATTCCATCAAGGGTTGATTGAATATAATGAATTATACACAGAGATAAAAGACCAGAAAACTTTGAACAAAATTTAAAGTAAAATTTACATCATACATCAAATGGCTTGAATCTACTAATTTTAAGTTGTTTACAATTATTCTGTTTATGTAGCAGCCAAATGTGTTAAATAAATCTTTCTACTACTACTAAATATAATAAATGGCATTACCTAGTTGCTTTTCATTTCATATTCAAGTTAAAAAATCATCTACCAAATCATTTAGAAAATTTTATTGAATGGAATGAGTACCATAGTTATTCTACTAGATGAAGTATCGACTTTCATTTATAAAATTGTAGTAGTATATAAGAAACAAATCAGTGTTTCAAAAAGGATTGTACGAATTTAATAAATCAAGTAGTGATATCAAGATGTCTGCCAGTTTGAGAATGTTCAATGGGAAATTGAAAAAATATCTCATGGAAAACCAGAATTCATAGTAATGAAATTTTGTATAAAAATATTTAGATTTGAAGACATAAAATAAGTGGTATCCCATGTAACATTGATATGGTTGCATTAATGTATCTAAATAAGTAAAGTCTCGATTATCAAGCTAAAATAATCTTATACGAATCATTAATTATGTACTAATAAATAATTTGAAAAAATCTGACCGTATAAGCGGTTCTTTGAGAGACTTGGGATGTTTGAAAAAATACTTCAATTCCCTCGTTTTTAAAGAAATCCCTCAAAATAGTTTTCACTTCAATTGAAGAAAAAAGTTTCCACAATACTCCCCAACAAACCTGCACTTTAACTAGTTTTACGCTTACCCAGTAATCTTCCCCGGTAACGTAAACGTAAATAATAAGACTTATTTAAACTTACTTGACCGTTTTCTCAGTCGCCATGTGCCCGCAGGGATTGAAAGCAAATGTCGGTAGACCAGAGTCTACATAAAAAGCAGGCTCCAGTCCCATGAACACCTTTACAGCTGGCCCCATCTGCAATGAAACATGTTTTTATTAAGTGAAAATTAAAATTTAGAAGCCTCTGACTTCCTTAAATCATAAATGGAAAATCCTTACCAGAAATTCGTTAAACATATCGATCTTTTCGAAAGATTGGTCAGGATCTCATGTACTACAAAACATGTACCAATTACTAACCGACGTAAATAAATCTGCCATTCCATCTACCAGTTTCGATTATGCGTTGAGTCATCTTGAAAAATGTTGCATGAATAATACTTAACAACAATAAAGAATCAGTATAATAATTGTGGGCTATTGTTTAGAGGCAGATACTTGTCATTGTCCACCTAGGTCTAGGCAGCAGCGGTGGCCGCAGTAGTAGACTGTTTGGTCTCCTGATTAGTCGCCGTGCGCTGTGCGGGTTCGAATCCCGTCCTAGGAGAAATTGTTCTCTTGGCTATGGATGTTTTGATTGTCCGTAGATGGTAGACGGTCTGTGACTGTCGAACGCGGAGGTACCACCCGGCGGATCTCGTAGGCGGAGCCAGAATGTTTGCATGTTGCATGGACACGTGTTCCCTCGCCAGAGTCCGTGTGGCGTTCCCCCTTTCCTCTGTATCCCCCCATAGCCCCACTGTACCCAATGGATTTTTAGGCCTTCGTGGTATTTGGAGTATATAAAAAAACCTTATTTGCTTTACATCCGTCAACATACGATAGACTTTTCGAATACAATGGTGATCTTCTAATTGACGAGTTAACTTGCTTTTGACCCACCTCTAAGCAGATAGGACACTTCCTTGATCCTGTATCCCGATCCTGGCCCCAATCGTGCAGTCCTTGGACGTGGCCACAGTTCAAGTACACGTAAGGTTGCTGTTGGTTCTCATTCGGCGACACTCTTCGTGGTATGACTAGTGTGTTTAACCCGACAGGACACTGAGGTCTACCTGCGTTTATTTCGTCTATCTCTCGTTCCAGATCTCGTTTACTCTGGAAACGAAAAATAAATAAGGTTCAATTTCGAAATGAGACTATCTCGATAATGATATTCATTCATTTATAAACTTTTTTTGGAACAGATGTATCAAACCATTGATAATTATATCCGTGTAATTTCCATGGAATCATTACCTTGAGTTTTCAGGTATTCACTATGAAAACAAAAATATTTTACTTCCTGCGCGCGCGAAAAATTTCGAAATTAAAGTGTTATGTTTTTTGAATGTTTGTTTGTTTGTTTCAGATTATTTAGCATTAATGCTACAATATCCATAGTATCCATATTACACAGTATATCACAAAATATATTGTCTTCAAGACTACATATTTTTATACAAAATTTCACTACTATGAATTCTGGTTTTACATGAAATATGCTTTCAATTTCCATCCAACATTTTCAAACTGACACACAACTTGATATCATTACTTAATTTATTAAATTCGTACAATCACTTTTGAAATACTGACTTGCTTGTTATATTGCTACTGCAGTTTTGTAAATGAAAGTCTATACTTCTTCTAGTAGAATAATTGTGGCACTGTTCATACAATAAAATTTTCTAAGCGATTTGGTAGACGATGATTTTTTAACATGAATATGAAAGTGAAAACCAAGTAGGCTATGAAATTTTTGATATGTAACTATTGTAGTTCTTTCAGCATAAAATTTATTCTAGTATATTTATTTTTATTTAAGATGATTCTCATAGCTTTATTTTGTAATATTTGCTGTGAACAAAATAGTCGAACAATATAACAAATGAGGAAGAATGATAGTGTTGTACACAATTTTTTTAGAATAAACGCTTAGGCTATGCGCAATTCTATAAAAGTAATTTATTTTCTTGGATATTTTTGAAATAATATATTCATAGTGCCCTTCAAATTTCAATTTACTGTCTACGTATATGCCCAAATATTTAAATGATTCGTTTGACACATTTTTTTATGATTAATTGTAAGATTTATCGTATTTTGATCTAAAGATTTTCCTATTAGCATATATTTTGTTTTGTTTGTGTTTAGTTTAAGTGTATTTAAATTTGACCAATTTATTACGTTTTTCATATCATTATTTAACAGCTCTATTGCAGTTTCAATGTCTTTATTTGATATATATATATATATATATATTATAAGATTGAATAATTGATACTGCTGTTTCTAAGATTAGTAAAATAATTTGTGTAATAATTAAAATATTTATTAAAGTAATAGAAAGAGAGGGACCTGTTCTTCCTAAAAGAGTTATTAATAAATGGCCCGCAATTATATTGGCAGAAAGTCGAACGGCAAGAGTTCCAGGACGAAAAATATTTCTAATAGATTCAATTAATACTATAAAAGGTATGTATGAGTATTCCAGTGGTTCCCTGAGGAACTAAGTGGGCAAATATATGAGTTGTATTTTTTGTTCATCCAAATATAATAAAACTTATTCATAGAGGTAGGGCAAGAGTAAGGGTTAATACCATATGCCTGGTTCTTGTAAAAATGTATGGAAATAAGCCTAAAAAATTATTAAATAAAATTACTGAAAACAGAGAAATAAATATTAAAGTTCTTCTTTGAGATTTTCTGTTGTTAATTAAAATTTTAAATTCTTTATATATATATATATAACTTGAGACGTGGTCATTGTCGTCTAGACCAGTTAGGTGAAAAATTAAAGCTTCCGCTTTTTGTTGGGTACTTCGACAAGATTTAAGCAAAGAGGACTCTTTATACTTTTTTAATTCTCTCTAGCTTTGTCCATTGAAAGCTAGAGAGAATTAAAAAAGTATAAAGAGTCCTCTTTGCTTAAATCTTGTCGAAGTACCCAACAAAAAGCGGAAGCTTTAATTTTTCACCTATATATATATATATATATATATATATATATATATATATATATATATATATATATATATATTTTAATGTATCATCAGCAAATAGTTGAATTTTGCAGAGTTGTAAAATATCAGGAATATCGTTAATATATAAAAAAATAGTAATGGACCCAATTTGCTACCCTATGGCACACCTACTGAAATGTTTTTAATATTTGATAATGTGTTGCCAATTTTAGTTCTTTGACTTCTGTTGATTAAATATTTTTGTAATAAGTCGAATACTGAACCTTGAAATCCATAGCAATGCAATTTCGTTAACAATTTCTCCCTGTCAATAGTCTCAAATGCTCTCTTGAAATCTAAGAACAATGTGACTGTAAACTTTTTTTCATCGATATTTCGCCACTATTCTTCTACTAAAATTTGAATTGCTGATTCAGTAGAATACTCTTTTCTGAATCCTGCTTGAAACTTTATTAATATCTTATTTTCTTCAATATATTCCATGACTTGTTCAAATATGATTCTTTCTAAGAGCTTCTCGACATCTGGCAGTACATTAATTGGCCGCATGAACTCAGAATTTTGCACTTTTGGAACAGGAGTAATTGTAGAACATTTTAATTTTGAAGGACATTCGCCCTACACTAAACAGTGATTCACTAACAATAATAACTGTAATAATAATAAAATAATAAATGTACACCACGAATGTCAAGCCTTGGACAGCCTATAGCTTGCAAGGTACTGCTTAGCAGGGCTATCACGTAAAAAACCTATAAAACTTAAAAAAGGTTTAAAAGTCTTCTTTATTGTATAGGCTTCGATCCCAACGATGACTTTCTTCAGTACAAATGAGCTTTTTTTGTCAAAAAAAAGTTGTACTGAAGAGGTCACCACACGTATAGGTACAATAAAGAAGAATATTATAAACACACACGTGCTTTGATTTGCCAGACAAACATGTGGGATTATCGACATGAATAGCACATGAAAAGTTTCAGAGGTTACATAAGTATTAAATGTTTAAAATTTGAAAACAACATGATATAAAAAAAAAATCAACAATTCAAATATATTTTGAAGTAAACTTAGAAGCCTCCTTATTTGTTAACCATATTATACTAGGTGTGAGTTATACCATTCATTGAGATTCACATATGCAATTTTGTTTAGTTTTAAGTTAGCTGCAAATAAGAACGATTTATTCTTTAGACAATGAAGAATATTTATCAATCTATCTATCAATTGTTTTGGTTCGTTATATTTAATTGCATAAATATAATTACGGACGAAATACTTCACTTGACCACATCAAATATTCTTAAAAAAAACTTGATCTGATTAACTTACCGGTGACTTTGCTAAACCTTCAGCTGAACGCCACAACAAAGTAGCGCCACAGAAATCTATCAATGTTCCATCTTGTAGTACGTTTGTTATATCGTCAACCTACAAAAAAAAAAATTAGGCAACATGACTTTATTTTCTTAGACAACACTAAAACCAACTAGATTATATCAATGTTGACCTGACCCGTTCGAATATGTAACAAAATATAGGACATTCTATATGAAACATTTTGACTTGATCTGCGTAGATTGTGGCTCTCCCTAAAGATGTACTGCTGCTTAGTAATGAAACGTTGACGTCATGCTTCTGTAAACGTATCTATAGTTGTGAATATCCCGTAACCTTGAACATTTGACAATTTCGCTTGATACTCACTGGTTGACCCCTTTGTTGTGCTGATCTGGATTCCCTAAGTGAAAAAATGCCGCCTCCAACTGACGTTTCCACCCAACGACCATACTGTGCTTCGCCACCACAAAAAACGCCTTTTGGATGCATTAAAAGTACCCCGTTCGTTGTACAGCCGTCGATTTCTCTGCCGTTTTCTTGCCATTTTAAAGATTTTTCCTTAAAAAAAAAAGTAGCTCTATTAATACAAAAGCAGAAACATTTCTATCATAGTCACTTTTTATTGATGGGAAACGGAAAACCTTGAGGTCAATATACAGGGTGTTTCAGTTTATTGTTGCATAACTTTAAGATTCGATAGAACTTTTAAAATTAATGCATAAAGTCTATAAACATGGGTCGAAAAATGCGTGGCTTCCGAAATACAGGGTATTTAAATTTACTTTCTAAAATAGTTTTTTTAAATATTTCGAACAATATTTGATGTATAACAGTGAAAATTCGTATACAAGGGTTTTTTGGTACGACAAAACGAACCATAGGCATAGTTTTACTGTAGCCGCTAGAGGGCGCTCTCTACTGTACCTGTAGTGTATTAAAATGACCGAAATTTTTTTCTTAGTGCAATTTTTTGCTTTTTGAATAAAAAAACTGATTCTTCGCACTTTTCAACATAAAAAAGCTTTCCTGCGAGTTTTCGTTATAGTTAGCCGTTTTTGAGATATTTCGATTTTTAAGGTTCGATGCATTTTTAATTATTTATGGGAATATAATATTTTTTTTACATTTTCGATTTGGGCATAACAAGTAATTAAGATGATCGTTTAGATTGTGTTTTTAAACACAGCAATAATTCCTAACTCCAAATAAACAGAATATTAATTTGTTTAATTTTCCAATATTATTTTTAACAAATTAAATTAATTATTTACAACTAAAATGCTATTGGATAGTTAGGAGAAACATAAAAAATCTAAAGTAGTTGCTCGAAATGTAAACCCACAAATACTGAGCGAGTTGGATGTCGTCTGTTTGGAAATCTTCGTGCGTATTCTTTGGCTACTTCTGCTGCGTTTCCATTTACAAAGACATACACAAAATGAATATCCGCTAACTCTTGATTGGAGAATAAAAATGGCATTTTTACAAAACTTACAAAAAAAATAACAGGTAAAAGAAACTAAAGTTCGTGCATTCACAATTGCAAAAAAACGTTTCAGGTTTCAACAGACAACAAAACTAACTGTCAACTAATTGACGTTTAACCTTATTCTGCTTTCAATTTCAAAAATATTTTAAAATTTTAATTTAAAAAATTTTTTGCAGGCACAGCCTACTTCTAAAAATTATCGAGTTACTGACTTTTTAACGTTATTTTATCATAAATAATTAAAAATGCCGCGAACCTTAAAAATCGAAATATCTCAAAAACGGCTAACTATAATGAAAATTCACAAGAGAGCTTTATTATGTTGAAAAGTGCGAAGATTCAGTTCTTTTATTCAAAAAGCAAAAAATTGCACTTAGAAATTTTTTTCGGTCATTTGAATACACTACAGGTACAGTAGAGAGCGCCCTCTAGCGGTTACAGTAAAACTATGTCCATGGTTCGTTTTGTCGTGCCAAAAAACCCTTGTATACCAATTTTCACTGTCATACATCAAATATTGTTCGAAATATTAAAAAAAAAACTATTTTAAAAAGTAAATTTAAACACCCTGTATTTCGGAAGCCACGCATTTTTCGACCCATGTTCATATAGACTTTATGCATTAATTTTAAAAGTTCTATCGAATCTTAAAGTTATGCAACAATAAACTGAAACACCCTGTATAAGTTTTCCTGAAATCTGTCATTAAGATCAGATGTTTTTTTACACAGAAGCAGCCGCCCAGGCGAAAGTCTAGATGCCAGGACGCCGCGGCTGTTATGAGGATCCCAGTTTTTGTACAGGATGGCCTACGAAAAGGTCGAACCCCTATTTGTGACTGGTACATTTTGGAAACAACGCTCAGACAAGTCATTTTTGATTTCTAGGGGGACGCCTTTTCATACGAATTACGGCACTGCTATGATGATGATCTAATATGTAGAGTTGCTTAGGTTTGCACTTTTCAATTCCTTTGTTCTAGCGTAGGTTATAAGTAAGAGATGCATGTAAACCAAGGTGACCAGTACTCATTCGTCTTCTGTTAAATAAAGTCGCTTTTTTAAAAAGTCGTTCGTTGTTTGCACATTCTTAATTGGCGCTGCGAACAGGATATCGGCGTACCGAATCGATAATCGGCGGTATTGATTCACGAGTATCGCTCAATCGAGACCGAAAAAGTGCAAAAAATCGTCCGGTGTGTTCGGGTACGATTTCAATCGTTTTGACGTCGATCACAAAGAACTTCGAAGGCTACACCGAGCAGGCACATCACCATCGAAGTACCAGGCCGAAATACTTGCTAAGTATTTTGGGAGCAGGCAACGACACTTGAGAAAACGACAGGAACTGACAGGAGCGAGGTGCTGGATCCACGGCAGGCAAGCTGTCAACCAGGAGGAGCTGTATTGGCCCAAGGAGGTATCTCAGATCTCTCCAAATGAAGCTGCTAATGCCCAGTGTAGCGTAAGAAACAACATTTACAATTTTTGCTGTACTCAGTGATTTTTCCATTTATTTCTCGAAACTTTTTCGCCCTCTATTGCTTTACATTTATATATATTCGTAAAAGTTATCTATAAGTAAACTTATTTAGTGACTTTAATTGCATATATTTAATGTCCGATTCTGAATTTGAATCTGTAGTCGAAAATACACCTGTTAGACAAGTTATTTTGACACCCTCACGTCTTAATTTAATCAGTTAACCATGTCTCTTCAAGATTTACAAATTAAATTCAATGTAGCTAAATATATGGTACCAGAATATCATGGAGGTCACAGAGATCTAATTTATTTTTTGGATAATTCAGAAAAGTTTATTGCAGAATTTGTTAATACACCTTTTGTTTCGTATGCTTTCCAATACGTTATTTCTCAGCTGAAAAGCGAAGTAAGAGATTTAGTGCATCTAACTAGTCCGAGAACCTGGCCAGATTTAAAATCATTATTATTATCCAAATATAAAGATCCTAGAAATGAAGAAACTCTTCTCACCGCCTTATATACGTCAGTTCAGAAACCTAACCAAAAATATGAAGATTTTTATCAAGAAATTAAATTTAAGGTACAGAGCCTGAAAGAATTTGCAAATTTAGAATACCATGATAATCCCGATCATATCGCTTTTAAATTGAGAGACTATGATAGACAGTCTTTGAGCTCCTTTATCTCTGGTTTGAATGAACCATATAGGTCTTATGTAAGACAGCAAAATCCTACTACAATTGATTCTTGTGTTCAATATTGTCGTGATTATGATAATTTGCAAATGCAAGTTGATTATAAAAATTTCTTAAGAACGAGCCTATATAAACGACAACAGCCTCAGTCTCAGAATAAAGTACAAGCTTCAAATCAAAATTTCCAAAGGTCTAATTTTAATTTTTCTCAAAAGCCCAATCAGTTTAGAGCCCAAAATAGTCAAACTTGGCTAGAGCCACAACAAACCTTCCCTACAGGTCCCATGCAACTACCACCACCTAAACAAAATTTTAAACCTCATTACCCTACAAACATTCAAGCTTTCAGACCACCACAGAATGTTTTTTCCAAAAAACCCATTCCAGGTCAACAAAAAAGTAATCCTATACCTATGTCTGTATCTACAGCACGCACACCGAAACCCCGGCAAAACCCATATCGTCAACAAATGCCCACTAGAGTTAATGCCTTTCAAGTAGGTCCCAAACCAAACCATTATTATGTCGAAGAAATTACTCATCTTGAAAATGAGGAAGAACAAACTTTTGCAGGAACGCCACAATATGAATCTGAGGAATATACCCAAGATTTCGATTCAGACTATATCCCCGATGAATCTTATTTTGAAAACAATGACGAAGAAAATTTTCCTTCGACGAGCCAGTCTCAAAATTTGACTTAGATATAAATAATTATCAAAAAACCCACCTTCCGTATATTTTTTGTTCTCAGTTTAATCTTATCATCTTAATCGATACTGGTGCATCATCCTCCCTGATCAATCCAGAAATTGCTTTTAAATATTTTCCAGATCGTATTTATGACCATCCTTTTGAAATTAATTCATGTACGTCCAATTTTAGAGGTCAATATGCCTGTAAAATTCCCATATTTTCTGAATGGAAGAATAAAACTGAAATTGAATTTTTAATTCTTCCTTGGCATTCACGTTATGACTGCTTATTAGGATTCTATGATTTACAAAAGCTTAATTGCTCTATTGATTTGACTAAACATCAGATTATTACTGATAAATGTAAAATTACTTATAACACTTCTTTTAAGCCAATTCGAGAAAACAATCCAGTTCAGTATAGTTACCCGAAAAAATCATTAATTATCCGAAATTTGGATAATGGTTCTGTTGTTATTCCACCTTTGAAATTCAAAAATTCTGACGAATATTTTCCTGAATGTATTTGTAACGTAGAAAATAATGCTATTCAATATCCAATTGACATAAATCTTCTTGATATTTCCAACCCATTTTTATCTGAACCTCTTGATGATTTTCTAATTGAAAAAGAATCTCCATTTTCCACTGAAAAATCCAATATACGTGTTGAAAATTTAATTCGTACGTCTCATATGAATAGTGAAGAAAAAGAAAAGATTATTAAGCTCTGCAAGCAATTCAAACAGGTATTTTTCAAGCCTAACGAACCATTAACTCCCTGTAATGCCACTGCACACAAAATTAGGTTAAAAAATGAAGACCCAATTTATGTAAAAAATTATCGATATCCTTATCATCTCAAAAGGAAATCCAAAATCAAGTTTCCAAGTTATTGAATGATGGAATCATTCGACAAAGCAATTCACCCTATCAATCACCCTGCTGGATAGTTCCTAAGAAAATGGATGCATCCGGTGTTAAAAAATATAGGATGGTTATTGATTTCAGAAAACTGAATGAAATAACAATTGAAGATAAATTTCCACTCCCACTAATTGAAGAAATTTTGGAAAATTTAGGCAAAAGCATGTATTTTTCTACTATTGATTTGGCACAAGGGTTCCACCAGATCCCTATGGATCCTGAGTCTATAGAAAAAACGGCTTTTACTGTTGAAAATGGCCACTATGA